ATGAAAGTTCTGCAAACTTTTCCTTCTCGAATTCCCATTGTTTTTTTCTGAGTGTGCATTTGTTTGCATTTTTGTTGAGAGGCAGCAGCAGAAACGGAAAAAGTGCTCTGCAAATACGCAACGAGACGCGTCGTATAGTATTTAGGCAGTCCTTGCCGGGGTCCTCGTCCTGCCCCCACCTCCTTCCACCTATAATTGTGTGTGTGTGTGTGTGTGTGTATGTGTGTCGTTTGCCAGCGTCTTTTTATGAACTTGTTAACAATCCACTATGGGGCCAACGACCACTTTTGTTGGCCAAAATTAATAGCTCGCTCAATTTTAGAGATATCGAGATAAAACTTTACCAATCGTTTTTTGGTATATTTAGGCAACATATATGTTAAAAAGAATAGGATCGAACAAATATATCCCATAGCTGCCATACGATCGATTTAGTCAACTTTGTTATTTTTCAAGATAATCGAACTATTTTTTTTTTTATTATATACTTTAAAATTACATTTATATTTTATTTTTTTTAATATTTTTTATATCTGCTTCTGAATAGAATTCAAAATGCAAAACAAAATGTTCTTCGTTCCACAAATGTTCAATGTAAATGCACAAAAATTTGGATTAAACAAATTTTATCAATAGGTAAAAAAATGGCACCTGCTATTAAACATCATGCTCTTCGGATTCTAGTTCAATATTTCATTGAAAATCAAAAGGATTCTAATATTCAACGCAACTACTGTTAAGGTTGCAAAACTTGAGGTTATGTGCTTAAATATTAAATTTCAGAAAAAGTGGCAATAAATGGCGATTCTTACCATATACATTTTAAAAATAAATTAATACTCTACAAATCTCAATAGGTTTCAGAAGTGGAGTCCGCTGGACTCACTTTGTTTCTCTACTTAAAAATTAGTTTTCTATTTAAAAAACGCGTTTTAGACAACTCACTTTAACACTTAAGTACAAAGACAGCACGATAGATTTCAACCGTTTAAACACACAAACACCTAGAATACACCACCATTCATCGAATTCATATCACAAAAATTTTTTGGAACGCATATAAATGCTTTTTTAAACACTTTAAAAATGCAATTTAAAAGTCGAATTTCAAAAGCACGTGGCTTGCATTTTAAACATCTGATTTGACAGCTGTTATCTTAACAGAAGCGCACTCTATCGGAATTCCTGAAACGTAACATTGCAGATTGGTCTTCTGTTAATATATCCTAAAACAATTTTTTTGGTTTTGACGACTTTTCAAAAATGGGTTTTGGCCAACCAAAGTGGTCGTTGGCCCCATAGTGCAATCTAACGACCTTTTTGCCTGGCTACCTCATTGTGGCTGTAGCTTTTGTAGCTCTCTCTCTGTATTCCGTATGTCGTCGAGTGGCAAGAGGTTGGCACATCAAATGTTTGGTCTTGGCAAATATTTGCATACTTTCGGCTGCTCATGAAAATAACATAATTTGATTCCAAGAGAAGAGCTCGAGGTAATGTGATTTTGGCTTGAACAAATGTAAACATATGTTTGCGTTTGCCTAGATATTTTCTTAGATTTTTATGACAGCTCCTGCCAATGCAAATGCTTAGTGATTTATTGGTATTTAATAGTCTGTGAATCGAATGGATTTGAGTGCACACCTCGTGGAATTCAAGTCCAGGGTGTATACTTCGGTCCTTTATGTAATGCACGGAAGCAGCTTAAATGGCACACAAATATTGCATGAGCCTATTGCCCCCAAAAGTATGCAACGCCAGGACCATCACTTCGCCGGCGATGGAAGACAAAGCTCATTATTTATTCATAGCATTCGGCACAGAAGTGTTTATGTGGCCAGGCCCTAACTCTGCAAGCAGCTCCACTTCGGCCACAAATTGGCCAACAGCAAGAAGCATCACAAAAAGGACAAGTGCCTCACAAAAAATATGCAAATTTAACTTTTTACCCAGCATAAAAACGAAACTTTTTGATTCAACCTCTAGTTTTAGGTCTGGCACCCAAACAAAATTGTCAATATTGTAAACAGATTCTTTTCGACCGAAGCTGATTAGATAGGATTGGGCAGTGGAAGTGGCAGTGGCAGTGGCAGTGGCAGTGGCAGTGGCAGTTGAAGTGGGAGTGAGAGTGGAAGTTCAACTTGAATTGTGGTCGACTGCTCCTGCCCCTTATAATTGCTACTCTTGTTGCCGCTTCCATACGTGCTGGCCAACTTTTGCACTGCCACTCGTTCGAATCGTACGATTGGTAACATTTCAAAGCTTATTTGCCCGGGTCGCACGTACCAAACCCGACCCCCCCCAAGTTCCCTTGGAGACCATATTGGCCTGTGGGCCAGCCTTTGTGTAAATCGTTATTGAACACTCAAATCCTAATTGCACCCAGGGTGATCACTAGTAAGTGCGACTGTTTGTCCATGTTTGTGAACGGAAAATGGTCAACGACTCGGTTCATTTGGGAAATGAATGCTTTATATGGAAAATGCTAGTGTTGATTTGTTTTGTTCTTTCAAAGGATTGACCCAATGATGAGTGTCGTTTTAAGAGTGGGTTTCAATGTACCTACCAATAATTTACAATGTGTATCGGCCTTGAAACCCCATTGTGCTGTTCTCTGTAATAAGATTAGCTAAATCTGATTTGATTAAATTTGTCAGCTTTGCCGATATCCCTTTTTAAGTTGCGCAAACAAAACTTACAATCTTGAAACGGAAAATGGCTAAGGCACACACTTTAGAAAAAATATTTAAGATATTCTGTGCCTGCAGCTAGACACAAGACAGTCCCTTTCGCCAGATGCCGTATATAAAGTAAACAATTGTTACATTGATTAGGGTCTAATTTTTGTTCAAGGCCCCTGCATTGAAAAGGCTGCCGGACAATTTGCATTTGTATGGACAGCGTCTAAAAGACTTTCATAAATACGGCTATGTATATCAAATTTGTTCAGCAGCTGTCGACTTGTATTGGCATGCATATATTAGATTTTCAGTCCCATTTGAGGGTTTAAATTTACAAAAAAAAGACGAACCCTATTTTGGCGGGCCCTTATATACACAAACTTGAATATACAAAGTTGATAAAACAACACTAAACGATATGAGAAAAACATGTCGTAAGTTTATTTATTTTTGATAGCAACGAGTATGGTAATTTGCTTGAATGTTTAAAGTTTCTTGGAAATTCCAAGTATAAACAATGCAATAAAATGTTATGTGAAAGAACAATAGAATACTTTTTAAATCGCGTTGCTTACAGAAAAGGCCTTTTCGCTAGTCAAACTCAATTTAAATTCTCTTTTCGTGACATAACATATTTTTAATGTCAATCCCCAATCACTGGATTATCACAATATGCCACCAGTTCCAATAACCCACGAAAACGCCATCGATCAGAGCGTCAAGGCTCTTAAAAGAAAGAAAAATAAAGGCTCAAGGAAATGGCTACAAAGGAAACGAAAACATAATCGACCAAGCGAAAAAATGCCCCGCAATAATAAATGATAATTGATAATAACATTTTGCTACCTTCCTTCCGCCGAAAGCCGCAAAGCAAAACGATGCGAAATGGAATAAAATAAGTGTATGTGGGGGAAATCAATAAAAACGATGGCGAAAACATTTGGCCACAATTTCAATTTCGTGGCAACCAGCAAAGGAACTGAGGAACATTTCAACAATTTCCGCTACCGGCTGGCTGGTAAAGTGAAAATTTTCATTTCGCAACTGTCCCAGAATATCCCGGTATGTGCCATTTCTTAGACACCTCCAACATTTCTATGCGACTGCACACCGCGGCGACAAAGTTAGACGAAATGTCATCATTTCCGTTGGGAAACTGTGCGCGCTCAACCGGCAACTCGGAGGAAAATCGGGGGGAAACCGCCGTTTAGTTTACCCAGAAAAATGATGGCGGTGCCGACTGGTGACTGCTGACTGGTGACTGGTGAAAAAGGTTAACTAAGAAAGCCATGCAAATGCCTTTTTATTTCCCCACAAACTTTGGGGCCGCAAAAAATACAGAATTCCCGGGAATCAAAGGAAACTCTTTACTGGCCCCGGCCAATCCCTCTTACGGTTCTTAAACGAAGCGTAAAATTGTTAAATGAGTGCGAAAGTCTACGACGGGAAAAGGTCCATTCTTTGGTTCAAACTTTCATTCTTTGACCATTTCGCAGCGCACTAAATTATTGATTAACCATGTTGTTCGCTATGCACGTTTGCTGCTTAGCTTATTTCAACATTTCGTATTCGAAGCTGAAATTAAATTGGGTTTCTCCCCACATTACTGAACTGAATTTCAATTGATTGGACTTCAAGGAGTATATGGAGTGTAATTAACACGAATTGCATAATATACCTAATGTCTAGGTATTCACATAATTAAGTAGTAGAGCTACTCAGCAGGTTCTAGACAAATAACTATGCTTTAACTCTTATGTTAAGGAATTGCTTAGAATTCACACTGCTTTGACACACAATTCAATGAAAGACTCAAAACTACCTAAATACACTGGTAGTTATAGAGAAAACAATAAAGCCGTTCTGCGTGATGAAAACGCTGTCGTAAATGATGATGCATCCCAGGCGGGCAAGACAAAGGAACTTCATTGATATTGATGGCGATGATAAAAGCTATTACGTATCAAAACAAGACAGGGACGTCACAATAAGTTTTGTTGCCTAACTAGGGTGCTGTACAACTCTGTTGCAGGAGCCCCGAGTTCCTGTGTCAGTTTGCACCTGTTAAAGACAAAGTGGTCCTATATTTCTCAACTTTGTGCAATTGCATTTGGCAAGCAGAGAGTGGAGTGAGATAGCTAAATTGAATTTGTTTGCTTACCTGTGGTGTGTGTCGGCGAAAGCAAAAGAAAACCAGTTTGCGGTTCTAATTGATGTCGCGAGTACAAATAAACCTCCGGACACAGCTGCCCAAGCAGTCTATGTTGACTTTCAAAGCGAGTTAGTTGCTAAATGTATCAAAAGAATTGCTGAAATAGTCAGTTAGCAGGTCTAATTTCAATTTATTGGGAGACACTCAAAAGTATTAGCTTATAGTTAGGTTTTACGCTGCTTATCAAAGTCTATATAAATGGGTTGTTCATGTTTAGTGTAGTCTATTTAAAAAGTATTTTAATAACTATTAAGCTTAACAGTAAAATAAAATATATAACAGCATATTATTAAGGTATTTTCGAAGCTAGTAAATGATAAGTGCTACGTGGGGCACTCCAAATATTAAGTAAAACATTTTACAAACTACCAACTAATATCCGAAAATGTAGATCGCTATCGATACCTACTATTCCTACCCAGCTTTAGAAGTCTTTATCCCACCCGCTCACTTCCTCCGGTGGCTCATAGTCGTTCTCAACACCCGATGGTCCGAAGTATTGCAGATCGCTCCAACTCTTCAAAGGTCTCTTGATAGGAGATGGCAATTGCTTGAGTTTCAGTCGCTGCCAATCCAGACTTTCGAACCAGCTGTGCCGCTTGATATCGGCGATTCCCTTCCGCTGATATCCCAGTCTTTCCGCCGGAAGTTGCTTACACAGATGCCGGACCAAGTGCTGTGCGGATTTGGGGATGCGCGATGGCATGTGGATGACATCAATGCCACTGAGGATTTGCTGGTAGATCTTGATCTGATTTACGCCCCTGAAGGGGGTTTTGCCAACTAGAAGTTCATAGACGAGAATGCCCAGTGCCCAGTAGTCGACGGCACGATCGTGTCCACGATCCAGGATAATCTCGGGGGCCACATATTCGGGGGTACCGGCAAATGTGTTCGTCTTCTCATTGTGTCTCACGAATTTGGCAAATCCAAAATCCACCTAGTAGAAAGGTTAAATAATTCATAAGGACGTTTAAAGATTTCTGTGCTATTTAGCTATTTATATTTTCATTACCAATTTGCAGTAGCCATCCGTGCCGAGCATTAAATTCTCGGGCTTCAAATCTCGGTAAATGAAGTTGTGCGAGTGCAGGTAATCGAAGGCTTCCACAACACAGCCCGCTATAAATTTAGCGGTCTTCTCATCGAAATACTGGCGCTTTGACATCACCGTCCATACATCACCGCCCATGCAAGCCTCCATTAGGAAGTAGACGTATTTGTCATTGCGGTACGTGCGATAGAGTCTGAAGTAAAATAATATTTAGGTCGAAGCTAAATGCTTGAGTTGTTATTACTTACTGTACTATGAAAGGCGAGTGGCGACACTTAATCATTACGTTCTTCTCATTGTAAACGTGCTCGATTTGATCTTGTTTCACCACCTCGATTTTCTTGATGATCTTCAGAGCCAAAGCCTGTTGGCCGAGGGAAACCAGGTCCACGCGTCCAAAAGCTCCGCAGCCCATAGTGGCTATCTTCTTCAGTTCGGAGATGGCCACTTGGGAGTACTCGTTGTCGAACTCCAGGGCCTTGTTACTGGATCGACCACTCGTATCGCTGCGCTGGCTGTTCGGCTTCTCACGCAGCTGTTTGATAGTTCCCAAATAGCTTATAAAGGCTCTGAAGTGAAGAAAACATTAAAAGAAAATATTAATATAATATGAACAATATTTAAATATTAAAAATAGAATGCCCTATAAGTTATCAATATGATTAAATTTATTTGTGTCATGCACCCTTATACTTCTGACTTTACATTTGTTATAATATGTTAGTTACTTTTTTTCTTATTTTTGAATTCCTTATTTATAAATTATATTTTTAATTTCTTTATTTTTAAGCTACCGCCTTTTTCCTAAATCCTATAGTGCATAGATCTGATGATATAATGCCGCTATGAAGAAAACATTCCCCTTAAGTATGTATTTATGATCTGATTCACAGCTTAAATTAAAAACCAATTTTGGCAAAAAAAAGTATACATTTTTGAAACAGAAATATATATGCAAAAACTTTATAAAATATTAAAACACAAAACCCAATTAATGAAGCTAAAACTGTTATCAAAAATCTATATCCTTAAAAAAAAATATATGAACGATGTATTTAGGTAAGGGGTATTTATAGTAAAATCTGCAATAACTCGGTCTTATTTTTATTTTAGTCAACTTAAAGTCATGGTTACTCTTTTTTGTATCCTATTTGATTCGGTAAGCAAAAAAGAATGTATATGTGGTTTATACAATTTGACAAATAGGATCTGCAAGGATATATTCTCTTTCTCCTCAGTGATTTCATTTATCGATAGTATTCTTCGACATAGAACCTTATTGGGCACTCACTCTCTGTCCAGCATGAGCACTTCGGTTCCTGGAGCATCGGCATACACACTGGCCTGTCGCACATCCGCATTCAGCAGGGCCTGCTCCCCGAAGTAGTCTCCCCGCATCCGCTTGGCCACAATCTGCTCCTGCCGCTGTTCATCCCGCTTCTTTATGGTCACGGTTCCGCACCGGATGATGTAGAACTCGTTGCCCACCTCGCCTTCGCGCACAATGCAGCTGTCGGTCTCGTAGAATTTCTGAAATACAATCAGGCACTGAGTTAAGGCATCGATAACCCGGCTGATGAATTACCCTTTGCAGGAGATCTACGACTTTGTGCAGCAAACTCTGGTCGAGCTCCTGCAGAAACGGTGCCGAGCGCAGGAACTGAAGGTTTTCCTCGCGTTCCCGGGATCCAGAGATTTGCATGATGGCCCTGAAGGTTTCGCGTGCGATTTTCCAAACACGTGCATCGGTGGCAGCTAGAAGAAAACGCCGGCTGAGTTATTTTCTGAGTTATTTTCCACGCAGGTCAAGGAATTTACCCTGTATGGTTGCCTGACGAGGAGCGTTATAGAGGATGGCCAGTTCCCCGAAGACGGTGGCCGGTCCAAAGTTGGCCACCAGCTGGCCCCCGCGGAATACATCGTACTGCCCCTCGGCGGACACATATATCTCGGAACCCTCCTCGTGCTCGTGGATGATGAGACTTTGCTTCTGGTAGCTGGCCGGCGCCATTGCATTGATAACCATCTCCTTGCGCTCCTTGTCCATTAGATTATTGAGGAAATCATTGCGCTCAATGGCCGTTCGTATGAGATTGCGTGTGCTGCGAACCGGATTCATTGGGTAATAAGCACGGATTGTTTGTTTTTCTCTAATTCAGCATGGCTGTTTCACTTACGCTTCGTCCTTTGCAATAAATTCGATTTCAATGTCGCCTTGAATGGGAAAATTGGGACGGACATAGATGAGGCCACCTTCAACGCGATGGGTTTTGGGTGTCGAGGAATCGCTGGATTTCTGGCTTTTGCTGTCCCGTTCGCCACTTTCCTCTGGCCTTGCTATTTGATCCTTGGGGTTTTCATGCGAAATTGGCAAAAAAAAAAAAGGGAATAGAGACTTTTAGTACAGCTGATAAGGGCCAAGATAGTATTTCGTTTAAATACGTTTTTTAATGGATTCCAACTAGTTAAGAGAAAGGGACATGAATGGCTTAGGCTAGGCATTTATCCAAATATAGAGCCATGATAAATATTTGTTACTTTGTCTTGGGAAATTAGAAACAATATGGTGTACCTGAAAGTGAACACTTTAAGGAAAGACCACATTGTCTTAAGCAACATCACGGAAAACTCAACCGTAAGAACCTCATTTCGCTGTATCAGCAACAGATTCCATTGCGAAAGCTGTGTAAGGACCTATTAGCCACAGGCTGCCAATGAAGCAGATCCAAAAAAAAAATAAGAAACGGCATTTTTCGATGGCAGAAAGTTTTGGTTCGTGTCTGTTGGCGAACAATTAACATTTAACTTGTTTTAACAAGTGTGTTGGGCGCACGGTTCAATTGCAACCAGCTGTTTCGTGTTTCAGTTTCCCCATTTGTGCCTTTGGGCAATAAAAGGTAAGGGGAGTTGCACGTTGACTCCCATATAAAAGTTACTCCAAATAGTAAATGGAGTGTAGCTTTCCGGCACACAGAAAGACAGTATTTAGCTATTTGAATATGCATAGAATCAAACTTTTTTCAGCATGTATAACTATGTAGACTAAAAAGAATGTATGGACTTGACATTTTTGTGAGATTTACCCTAGCAATTATGTTAACAAAAAAAATGTAAGTACATTTTTAAATGGAATTATCAGATAATAGAGATTATAGAGTTTAGGTGGAAACAAACACGACCAACAGTGCGTATTAGTATTTTTTCTTAAATTGTTCATACTATTATCATTTTTTATAAAAAATAATAGTGCTTTAGATATAACATAATCACAAACCATTAAATATTTAAAAATTATTAATGTTATTTTATAAAATTTTTGTAGTAGAATATAACAATTCTTTTCAATTTATAACAGAAAAGAACGTATAATTTTTTGGTGCAGTTAGACGGGTAAAAACAATAAAATGTGTGTATTTTCACCGCACAATTTACGGTGGGGTTGTTTACGGATGTTACAATATGTAAGTATTTTTTTGTTGGCAAATTAGGAGTAATAAATAAATTAAATAATTAAAAATTAAATTGGATAATATGGTATTTTTTTAAATCTTTGCTTTCTAAAATTATTCCGACACATTCAAAATAGTTGGCTTTAATTAAATGGAAGTTTAGTCATTAAATATAATATTTTTAGGCAATTAGTTTATTGATTGTTTGACATATACAAACTTACAATATTGGACAATGTATGCATATTTTCGGTTTCCGTTTAAAGGCATAAAAATAGCCACATTTTGACTGAATACTAAAGCTGTTATCAGGTACTAGGACAATGAAGAAGCTTTTGGTTACTATTTACCCCACCCAGTAGATCAGAATAAAAATGAGCTCTGCCGACCACTGGCGACATAGGAGAAATGGTTGAAAAGCCGCAGAGTTCTGGCCAGTTGCCGGGCATGTCATCTGGCGAGCCACCTCATTACTTACTTGACTATTCAAAGCATCCTGCTGCTCCTGCGGACGCTCCACGCTCCGTTTCTTGCGCAAGTGAAGGGGCGTGCCGGGGACGAGGAGCTCCGGGGGCATCGGCGGTGCCGGCGGTATGTTAATATCGGGCATCGTGGACACACGGCGGCGACGTTGGCTGTCCGGATGGCTCTTGGCCGGATAATTGAGTGACACATTGCTGGAGCTCTTGGCGCGGGGCGGAGCCTGGAGCGGCTGGTGGAGTCCTTTCTGTTCCTGTCGCTCCTGTGGCAGGACACCATTTGTCAGTTTGCCGTTAATGGCGGCACTGCTGTGGTGGTTATTGCTGTCGTTGTTGTTGTTGTTGTTGGCATCGCTGCTCTGCCAGGACAAGGTGTCATCCGTTTGCTGCGCGCTTAGATCCTGCGTGTGACCAATGAAAAACTTTACAGGACCCTCGGTCACAGGTGTTGTGGAGGTGCTGGATGGTGTGGGTGTGGCGACATCATCGGCACCGCCCTCATCAATTATGCCATTCACATTCACTTTGAGTTTTGACTTGCCGCCATCGAGGACATCGGCATGTGCACTTGCATCCGGCTCCTGCTCCTGCTCCTCCTCCTTCTCCTCCTCTTCAGCATCCTTGGCATCCTCGACCTCTATGCTGGGCACCTCGCTGGGCAGGGCGGTGGGCCGTCGCTCTTTGACGGGTTTTAATTTTGAACTTGAGCGTGTGACATTAATTGCACTGCCGCCGACAGAAGAGGCCGACTCCTCGTCCTGCCTGCTCGCCTGCAGTTTGTCCTTGTTGGAGCGGAACCTGCGCTCCTGGCCGCCATTGTTTGCCCTGCCATTTTCGGCAACAGGCTGGAGAGGAGTGGGGGAGCCGGAGCCGGCGACGGGGACGGGGACGGGCGACTGCTGTCTCAGCCGTTGAAGTTTGGCCTAAGGGCGAGGACCGAGCATCCACACCCACCAAACATTTACCAAGACAAACACAGCGGTGCAAAAGTTTTGGGCGGTCGTGTTCGGTGGACATTGAAGGCGTTGTCGAGTGTGCATATTTACAAGTGTTTTTGTGTCGATATTGTTGTGTACACCGAATCGTTTGAAAGTATAAGAAACATACAAGCATGTGTGCAAATATTAGTCGAGTCTCACAAAGGCAGCGCGTACAGTCGAACAGGTGGAAGCGCGAACTGGAGTTGCTAGGAATCAGTTTAGAGTTTTCTGGGGTACTCACCTCACTGGCACTCGGGGTGACGATGGGCGAGTACAGGGGCTTCTCCTCGCGACGGATGTACAGACCAATTTGCTGGAAGACAAAGGACATACTTTATTCCAAAGAAATGTAGCCTAACAAATACCCTCTAACAAGTGGAAAGATCGCTAAAACCAACATAAACCTTTAAAGATATCTCTTAGGTCCCTTCAATCATCTTGTTAATTAAATATTTGCCATATCTCACTATGCTAACACAAGATATAAGCTGCAAAATCATCCACAGTAGCCTTTTATATCAGCCGACTTATCAGTAATATTTATTTTGTATGACTTATAGCTTTTACATTCTTTTAAAACCAGATGCCTTGCACACCAACACTGAAGAAAGAAAGTGAAACGTTCTTTGTGACCGGGTTCTTAGACTAATTTGTATAGTTGAACTCCAAAACGTCACATTAATTGGTTTCAAAGGGTACTTTATTTATTTTTTTTTCACTGTGTGAAATTCTTATAAAAAGTGCCTAACAAAATTGCAAATTTATTTGATAGTGTTTTTTTCTTGCTTCGTAATTGTCGTAAATTCTTTTTATTTATTTTTATATCTTATGAGTTTCAATGCTCAAAATCTCTTTCTACAATTTTTTCTGACCACTCTTTTATATTGTCAGTTTAAGCCTCCATTAACCCGGTAACAGCCAATTTTCATTGGCATTTTGTCCCTTAAATACAGGACTTTATTGTCTCAGTTTACGCTCAATACATTTCCACAAAAAAGTGCTCCTCTTTTGTCCCTTTTTTGACCTCTCGACACGTCAGTTGAGGATTTCCCGTAACGTTTTTCGGATTGATTGGCTCAGGATGGTGATAAGTAGCCAGCTTTAAACAAATCTGACTAATTTACATAAACGTAAGAATTTTCTACTCAGAAGTTTTGACACGGGTGTTGTCATGTGCCGTAAAAAGATTTTAAGTTTCGCTTTTTTTTCTGTTGCGCAAATATGGTATACATGTTATAAGTAACTCAGACAGCTATGACTTGTGCTTGACATAAGTCATAATTCAGTTTGAATATATTACTTGTTTTTATTATTGTCTACACAACCTTGAGGAAAGGTATAGCATTGATCACTTTAAGCTGGGGTTAAACAAAGTATGTTGAGTGGAAATTGTGGTAGGTTTCCGATACTTTTTTCGATTTACCGTCCATTTAAAATGTTAAACTTACTACAGTCGAACTTTCTTAAGTTCACTCATGTGAAAAGCATTCGCATCTTATCTTTCAATTGGCGTGGGGTCTAATGAAATATTCAAACCTTTTTGGGGGCCTAGTGCAGGCATAAATAAACACGTGTCAATTTGCGAGTCGCCTGGTTGGCTCTGCTTTGATATGCTAATCGACCTAAACGACGGCATTTTGACAGGTTTTCCGTTTTCCCACGGAAGCGCCGAATTCTGTTCTGGCTTTTGGCCGATAAAGTCACCGATAACGGCGACGCGCAGCCTGCAGTCGAAGTTGAGCATTTGGTGGAAGCCCTTTCCCTTTGACTTCCCAAGTGGCGCCTCTGGTACCCACGAATTCCTGGTCGACGTCATTCCACGTATTCCTCCCCGGGGGGCGTTTGCCCCTCCCCCCCAACGTTTTTGGGCCCTGAACATCCCGCAGTTATTTAGAATTACTGTGACGTGTAAGTTGTGCGTGCAATCACGTCCATTGTCATCCCCGCGCCTAGAACCATGTCAGTGCTCCACCGAGAGACAGCTACAGATGTTTCTATAGATAGCCCCGCAACCGACGGATCCTGCATATTTATGCGTCATTTGGAGCTCCGGCTGCAAGCTGTTCCACTCACACATTTTGTTTTAGATTTATGCATGAGCTCTATCTCCCCCTCCACCCGCCTCCCTCCACAGCACGAGTATGATTTTTCTTACGATTTCTGTTTCTTCCCACACCTATTTATATGCATGCTTATCATATTTTTGCATACCTAATACCAACTCGTAGTAGAATGTTTGTTATTGATGAAACGGCAAGATTGCAGAAAGTCAAGTGCCGAGCAGATTGAAGTAGTGAGTGGTGGGATTATGTGACGAATTTGACAAAGTACCCCAAACTAAGCAAATTCAAATGTATTTATGCAATTTAATACAATGCTGTTTCTTTTATTAATCAGAATCGTGTTTGTGCATGCATGTTTTTTCGGAAACATTGGTTTCTTTTTAACATTTGCAAAGCAAATGTTATCCAATAAAATATTGTGGACAAAAGTTAGGTAATAGGCGAATTTCCATTAAAAACATTTTATATGCTCAATTAGCATTGCGCATATGGTATTTTCCCAAAACGAAATTTAATGGAAATGCAGCCATCACCACTCGTGTTTTTTTCCCAGGTTTTTTTTTGTTCTTTTGAGATAAGCCCATTGAAAAGTGAACGTCATGGACAAAAAATTAGTGATAAGGGAAACAAGGCTTTGCTTCAAACACATTTTAACGTGATTAGATACCCTATATTCGGGGAGAGCAAGGTCATTTCCGATTGTAAAAATGCAGGAAAACAATCAGAAAAAATATATGTATATCTAAATTGTTAAGAATTTGTCTAAGCCTTTGTAGATTTATATAATTAATTATGCATTATTATATTATTATTAAGTGGGGGGTCAAAAAATGCAAAAAAAAGCTATACGAACATGATAGATTTACATGTGAAATAAATGTATAAGAAATAAAAAAACTTTATTTAAAGTTATAGGCGTAACAACACTGGTCTTAAAGTGTACGTATTACGTACGTACGAATTACGCATACGACACGTATGATCAGTTAAAATCGCGGATTGTAGTGGGACCTCATCATTTTCCTAAAAATGTTAACCGCACAGATATAAAAGGTCAAAGAGCATGCAATTATATTTATTGTTATTCTTATTTTAGTTAAATGTGTACTGTTTATTGGGTATCTTTGAGTCGGAGCTCACTAACTTTATTTGCTGTTTCGCTACACATTATTTATGTTTTTTTCTCGCCGCCCCGATTAACTTAATTAAGCACTTGATGAACTTATCAGTCGACTTATCAGACAAGTGCATTGCTGAAGCGTGATCTGTGGCACGCGGAACTCACCACGGGACTATCTTGTGTGTTGAGTATCGTATCGGTGTTCTCATCTTGGGCAGGGGTGAATTTGTTTTTACTGCGGTGATGGAAAAGTCGGGGAAAGCAGGCCATATTGCTGTCGATTCGGCTAATGTATCTGTATCCGTCTATGAACCTTTGTGACTTTGGCCACTCTTCTATTTTTATTAGCCGTGGTTAGTTGCTCGCTGTTTTATCTCAATTCGATTGCTGCGGTTGCTGCGTGTGGGTTAAACACTTTGATTACCACGGCCATATTCCCTGATTTATGGTCAAGGATTTAATTGCGGCTATAAATTTGTTGTGTTCGGTTGCAATTGTCGCGGATTATGTATGCTTCAATTGTGATTGGACTTCAATTCGATTTACTTCGCACATGAAACGCTTATTGCTTTCTCTTATATCTTAGTTATTCAAAAATATCTTATCACATTGATGTTTTAATAAAAATAATGGTTTTGTTTTTGACACATCAAGATTATAGTTTTTGGTACACTAGAGAAAATCAGAAGAGTATTTGTAATTCTGATTTTTATTTGTGTTGCAGTAACTGACCGATTTTGTGAACTATCTTTATATAACTTATGTTTTTATGTGTTTTTATTCTTTTTTTTGAGTCAATAATGTAATAAAATAAAGTATAAATCGTAAAACCAAATAGTATCTAGTTTAAATTTGATAGCTCTAACTGAGCTAGATGCCGTTTTAGTTTTCAGTGTTTTGAAAGGACCCCTAAATCCAGTATCTGGGAAGCTTTAATAAAATTTCGAGAATCTAGAAGTACGCACTCAAAAGGAAGCGAGTCAGATATTGTGCAGGCCATCAGCTTTCAGTTTGCCATCAAAAACAAAGGATTTCAGAGGGAACCACAAAATTCTTGGTTGACCACATCGGTTTATTAACTGTCCCAGAAACTGAAAGCAGCATTTGCTTTGCATCTGATAAATTTGTTTGCGGAACAAAAGTTTCAAAGTTCAAAAATTATGCGCATCGTCAACTGGCTGCTTTAATTACCGCTCAGAGCGAATTGCCACCAATTTCTCGGTTTTTGTTTCTGTTCGGTCATAGCGATGAGTCAGTATGCTTGCTGGCTTTTATCATTTCGCTCTTATCGTCTCAAATGCCTAATTGTTTTCTATTTATGCGGGGGGATTTCATTGTTTGGCCAAAAGCTCTAAAGTAAACGCCTTGAACGGCCGCCCAAAAGAAAGGCAACAATACTGGGGGCAATTCTGTTGGAATTATCATGGCTGTAGCCTGGAGTATTAACAAATTTACTGGCCTCAAAAATCTCATACATATAATACCGTGTTATCAGCCACCAATTGAATTGTATTTCCTTATGCGATTTGTCGATAACGGCGAACTGCCGTCCGATGAAAATAAAGAACTGCCCGCTTGTTTTCACAGCCATTTGTGTTTTGCTTTCCCTGCCCTGATTTGCTTTTGGAAAAAGAACATTGGCATTGGCAACATTGGGCAAAGTAATGGCAACAGCTACATCAACAATAACGACAAGAGAAAGGCCCGAGTGATTCGACGGAGCCGCCAGTCACGAGTCACTCATTTATATTAATTTATTGACATTTCGTTTGCAGTTATCAGCACACTTTTCTGCTTCTTTATTTGTTGTTCTTCACTGGCTTCAACGTTGCCTTTTCTTTTCATTGCATTTAATAATGAAGTTATTGCTTGATTTGCTCCAGCTCTTTGTATTGTTTTAAGGTTTTGATTTCGTTTATAGCATAAGCTCGTTTATTGGACCAACAATGGCTTTTTGTTCGCGACACTTTCGGCGCTGCGATAAGATTTTGTGATAAAGCTAAAGTTCACGTAATTTTACAAGGCGGTTTGGAAATATTTGTCACCGAAAAACTGACCACAAAACTTTAAACTAATTTTGAACTATTTTTCATGGACTGACGCATAAGCTTTTTTTTTTTAGTAGGGCACTCAAATGTTTCCACGAAGTTGTCGGAGAATATGTCAGCCATATCTTTTGATTAGATATCAATATCAAGAACTTCAAGATGATTGATATATTTGTTGACTTTCAATTTGTCAAGTTGGATGGTAGTGAAATGCAGAATCATGGATATTTCCAATTCGAGTATTTCACTTTTTGCCCTTTAGAGGTTCACTTTCTGTGAAGCACTTTATTTTCACCAAAAGAACTTAAACTTTTTGAGTAGTTTTTCACTTTTTAACAAACCACTTGAGTTGTACACGCAAAACGGGCATGCCACCACCACCGACTCACTGAACCAACTGACCACGAATTAATCGGGAATATTGAGGGACATTCGTGGGGTTTTCACTTCCCAAAAAACTCCGATCGGGTCATTTTACAATTTCGCACGCAATAACTTCCGCTCCACGAGGGCCATTTCTATGGGCTGAATCACTTAACGCGGAGCCCCAAGGCTTTTCAATGCAAGTGGGGGGGTGTATGGGGTATATATGTGGGTATTACCGCCCGATCCGTAAACCTTCCGCACACCTGCCGCCGTGGAGGCTGATAACTCGACTAATTTAACGCGGCCAATTTAAATTGGCAATTTGCTCGACGCGGTAACGTCGACGTCGACAGCGAAGGCGACTGCGACTGCGGCGGTCGACTAGCTTTATGTTTATCGGTATCAGTTGAAGTGCCTGCCTAGAGGCCTTATCTACGGAGAAGTGTTGGGCATGCCAGGCGTCACTGTTAACGCGAGACGTTCTTTAGCCCCAGCACACATGGAAGTCGCGTTAAAGGGGGTTACACTTGCGGCGAATGAAATTGGAATGAGCAAATACGAACCAGCTTATCTTACTCAAACTCCCATCTGCCACACGGAGAAAGTCAAACATTGCTATTTTTGGGGCATTTATTTATTAATTACCAATCGAATCAAGAGAATAAATGTGCAATGTTTAATTTTGGATCTCGAAAAAAAGTGTTATTTTGTAGAGCTTTTAAACTAATAACTCATAAAAACAAAATTAAAAAACAAAATGTATATTATTTGACTTGTAATTTTATTATTTTGCATAACTCAATTTCAATTTATGCAAATACTCTTTTTTGTATAATTATTCCAAATGGAAAAGTAAAGTCAAAACTACGTGAGTTTCTAAGAAATTGCTTTATTTGTTAAAGGTGTAGTCTGAAAAGCAATGTTTGATTATTAGTTGAAAACAAAACTATAGAAAGACAGCTTAAACAAATGTTGTATTAAAAGTTTTATTACCCTTGCCTCTCCAAAGTAAAAATAGGTTGCCGAAAATTCACCACCTTCGCTTTCTATTAATATTTACTCAAATGTTGTTTTATGAAAGGTTTATTCATAAAGCAATCTTGATTTAAATGTTTTTTTTTTTCGAAAATAATCTCTATCACTAATTTTGTATATTTGTATATATTTAAAAAAGCTAAATATTAAGATTGTAATACCTCTGTCGCTCTAAAAATTAGCAAAAAGGGTAACCGAAAACTCACACTCTTGCCTTTCTAAAATATTTAAATCAAATGTGTTGACAAATGGCAAGACTTGGCGTCACAAATTAGAATTCTCCAGGCGTTTAAGATAGGCGAAAAGTTCGCCAGTTACGACGGCGGAGTTTTTATTCATTATGCCGTAAATGCGTAACTAAAGCAATTTCCAAGTGGAACTCATTTTCACTCTCGACTTCTCCCCCACTCGTGCGTCCCCCCCCCCAGCCCCCTCGCAACTCTACGTGCCCATATGCCTAAAAGTATGCACGTATCTTCTGCCGACATTGTCGTTTGATTAAACTTGTTAACACACATTCGCGCAGAGCGACATTTCAGCCATCCCGCGGAAGGAGCGGATGCCAAAGTTTGTCAGCCGAGGACGAAGACTGAGCGGCTTTAAAGTCAACGGTGCGAACTCATTTGGTCCAAGGAAACCAGGGCTTACATTCCAAAATATCTGCCTGGGTATTTCCTGCCACGGCAGGAAGTTCTATTGCATAATCTTATTAACCACACAACCCAACTCTGCCAGGACTCTATGAATGTTGAATAATTTATGCATCCAATTCCCAGGCAGCGGCATTTGGCCAAAATTGTTGACAACTTGCCGGGGGCCTGTAGTAATCCGTATTTTGATTTGGTTTGCCAAGTTTTTACTTATCCGATTAGCCCATCGTAATTACCACCGGCTGTGTTTGCATTTGAATTTGAATTTTATTAGATTTGATTGCATTTCTCTTTGGCTTTTGTCAAACTAATCCCGAGTGGGGCAAGTCCGCTGGCAAATATATTTATTAACCCGTCTTTGGGGTCATGGCTAACTGATTCAAAGCCGGGAGCTCAAAAGAAATACCGAGTTGAGCTAGGCGAGCACTCGAAATATGGGAAAACAATTTGAGGGCTGAAAAGAAAAGCGGGCTTTTTGAGCTTGTGTTTTTGTTTTATGACCGCCCACACTCGACGACACCCATGAAGGCCATGATTGATGCGCCCCTCCAGCTCCTTCGCGTTTTAGTGGATTTCCAAATTGCTTTTTTCACGCTGTCAGTCGACGGCAGTGGGAACGTGGAAGGCCAGCGGCAGTTATTCAAATGCAAACGACAGCTGTCAAAATGGTTTTAACTAAAAATTCGACTCTATCTTTCCCTTTTTTTCCTCCTCTACTTGCAGCCGTGCGAAAAAATGGGCCAAATGTCAATGAGTGACTGGGCCGTGGCAGCCAGGATCGCCAGGATGCCAATTCACGTCCTCGCCGAATGATAAGCTAGCTGCTGGCTAACAAAAAAAGAGGGTTAAACCTTAAGAGCGGGGCCAGAGCAAAAGCCAAGTCAATGACCCTCGTCCGGATATCCGCGACCATATGGCTGCTGACGCTCCTGCCGGCGGTCCTGCCCCACCAGTCGGATGCCGCCCATGTGGTGCACCCGGCGGACCAGAAATTCTCGCTGCCCGCCGTCCCGCTGCCGCCCCCGCCGCCCTTCACCCCCGGCAAGAATCACTTTGCTCTGAACGCATTTGCCGGCGAACATGCCGGGGGCGGCCACGCCCCCTCCAGCTCTCCGGGATGCGGCGGGATGCTGAGGGCACGGCACGGCATCATCCAGACGCCCAACTTCCCACACCGCTTCACCACGCCCATCGAATGTGTGTGGATAATCGATGCCTCCGAGATGCCGGCTCCAGGACAGGGCAATGTGTCCATCGTGGTGTACCTGACCCAATTGTACGTGCTCAGCGGACTCAAGTTCACGGAGTACATGTACTACTCCGATGACTTCAAGGTGCCCGCCCACCGGGTGTTCGCCCTCAACGAGGACGACGTCACCCAGGTCACGTGGGTGCAGTTCCACAGCCAGTACCTGGAGATACGGTTCACCATGGCCACGCTGGACGGGACGCACCTGCGGGCTCTGGATCGCCTGCTGGACGTCTATGGGTTCAACATAACCTACGAGGTGCAGAACGAGGTGAAGTCGTCCCAGTGCAACACGCTGCAGTGCCGATTCCTAGGAGATTGCTACGCCAGTTCCGACTACAGGTATGTGCATCTGAAAATACAATTTTAATTGCCAAATATCTGTTTAAATTATGTACACATAGTCGGAGAGTTTGAAGAAAGGATTTGAAATCGGCTAACACAATTTTGATGGGGAAGATTTAATAGCTTAAGCTCGGAAATTGAGATATTGAAGCGTTGCACACTGGGCTAGGTTATATTTTCTTTGGCACAAAATAAAGAATTTTGAAATAAAAATAAGTAAACTATATATATTCACTTTTGCATAGAACCAACATGGCGGATAAGTAATATTAAGTAAATTGTTATGGTTTTATAAATATCACTTATCCGCCATGTTGATAATAGGAAAAAACTTAAAACTGGTTTAAATTAAAGCTTAAATAAACATTACATGTTGGGATTTGAAATAAAGATAAATAAAAATACATTAACTGTATATATTCACTTTTGCATAGAACCAACATGGCGGATAAGTAACATTAGGTATATTGTTATGGTTTTACAAATATCACTTATCCGCCATGTTGATTATAGGAAAAAACTTAAGACTGGTTTAAATTAAAGCTTAAATAAACATTACATGTTGGGATTTAAAATAAAGATAAATATATTCACTTTTGCATAAAACCAACATGACGGATGGGTAATATTAGGTATGTTGTTATGGTTTTATAAATATCACTTATCCGCCATGTTGGTAATAGGACAAAAAATTTAAACTGAACTTAAACTTATTTATTTTGGGAACCACTGTCAAGTTAACTTAATTATATTTTCTATTCAGTTTTTTTTCTATTCCATGGTTTTAATGAAATTGAAAACGTATTAAATATTACTAACAGGCAACTGGAATGCAAATATTTCCCAATTACTAAACAAAAGTCATATAATAAAAGTGTACATGGATAAATGTTTGACGCAGCTGAGATATATGAGTACTACCAGAGCAATCTGGCCGTCTGCAATGGGGTTCCCTGTGGACACGAGCACTGGCGTCCGGAACATATAGCATATGTAAGCGCAGCCAAAACTTTTTCGTCTCGCATCGACCTTCCTCCATCCGGACATTCAAAATATGGCGAGGGAAAGTGAAACTGGTTGAGAACTTGCCCAGATTCAGCTGGGTTTAAAATTCAGCTTCTCCTCTGTTCAGACAAATTCACACACATGGCAATCGCCCACGCGAAATCACCGGCAGGTAGCCGTTGAAAATGTTAACTGCTCGCACATCAATCTTTCGCCCCTTTGCTGCGGGTAAACCTGTTCAACTCGACGGGCTTTGCATTTGGGTTCGGGATCGGTTCAAGGCTCTCAACCTAAACCAAGTGGGAGCCATACATTTGTAATGTTTCAATAAGTGGAGCCCGAGTCAAGCATCCCCCGCTTTTCCCCCGCGGAAAAGCAGAGAAGCCGAAACAATGGACGAGGCAACCCATGTCAGTGAAAGGAAAAGTACAAAAGTACAAAACGTATGCATACACACATACACCCACACACGCCAAAAGTCAAAAGCCAAAAGAAAAGCTGTAGCGCTTGATGCATTTTCCCTGACAAAATCCAGGTAGTGGGTTTTATGAATAAGCTCCGCAATTGAGTTTGACGTGCTCGACGGCGAGAGCTTGTGGTACAATGCCTTGACAACTCGTGGACGGGTTGTTCGGGGCTTGATTAATTGAAGAGCTGCTTGATGCAGCGAATATCCTCCATGGGCCCAGCGACTCACCTTTCCCACGCCCTCCCCATCCCGAATAAAATAATATTTTCAATTGTAAGGCAATTGAAAAAGTTTATTGCCAACAAATAGACAACAATTTGAAGGCAATTAACATGTAAATAGCACGGCAAACAAAGACCCCAGAGGAGGTTAAACAAATCAAATTAATTGCCCGATTTGTTGGGTAAGCAAAACGAGACTTCGCTCTTTATGAGCCCGAATATTTTCGAAATAACTTCTGGGCCAAGTTTGCGAAGAAGCTGCAACTTCCTCGCCTACTTAACATAATTATAATTAATTGGCACGGCCCAAGGCTGCGCATCCGTCCAGCTAATTGAATATTAATATCAATGTCGAAGTGAGAGTGAAATGTTCTCTGCCTGCGGGGAAAAATTAATATAAAAGTGACAGCTGAACTAACTTGCATCAGCCTAGCAGCGTGTTGTCTTTCGCCTGGAAATATAATTTCGCGCCTGCCACGTAGCATCCCGTAACTTAATTACCAACTAAAGGCAAATGAGGAAAGGCCCCGTCCTCTACGTGCCTCAGATAAGGAGGCACAACCCTGATATTCCAGCCGGGAGCCCCAAATATCTCTCAGTGCATGATGGCGGAGGGGGGGGGGGGTTGGTTCTGTCAAGTGACTTGTGTCAGAGCCAAAACATCACAGCTGCTGCGTACTCGTATAAACAGCAAAACAGTCATGCTCATGTTGTCAACTCCTACCACAAGGATTTATCAGGACGAAGGGAAGCAGTCCCGCCTTAATCTAAGCACCCTCCCCCCTCCTCCTCTTTCACTCTTTGGCCCGCTTTAGCTCAATCTCGCAGTGCATCCTCGCTCATGGCACTCGTTTTCAGCATCTCCTTTGTTAAGTTAATGTGCGAAAAATGCATAGCATCGGAGAATGCTAAATAGATGATAAAAGCGCGGGTGGAGCTCGTTCCGAATCTTTATGTGTCACCCAGTATGCGTGTGCCGAGTCCTCCCAGTTTATTAATTTTTTTCATCTCGTTGTCTTTGCATATGCTACAGTAAGTGTCCACAGCTGCGGCCACAATAATAGGAGAGAATTTGGAATAGGTTTAAGTTAAAAGTTAGTTATATTTATTTTCAATTAACTTAATGTGCTATAGAGATAAACGCCTAAAAATAAAATGGTAACATGGTATCTACATCATTTTTATTTGCAAAATCTTATCTTAGTTGTTTTTTTTAGGAAATGGTAATGAATAATTTTAAAATTTCAATTACAGGAGTAAATATAAGTATCTAATCTATCTATCTAGCTGTCTAAAATATTTGGTTCCAAAAATATGAAAACACAATTATTATTTTGACCTTTGGTGTTTTTACATATATGCGTTGGCATTTTTAATAAGCATCTTCAAACGAGAAAAGTAAAAGTGTCAAGTGTTGCAAAGATTAAATGATGAAATGCTGTTAGGAGAGAAGCGGGCTCAAATGAATCGCACGCTCGCAAGACATTTCATTAAAACCAAAAAGTTTCATTATTTCAGTGATTTAAATTTATGTGTGATATTGCTTAATTTGGTAATTCCAGCAAAAGTTTTCCAAGCTCATTAATGGTGGCGACCACTAACCGTATTTGATTGCCAATAAACTTTGTATAAAATATTCAAAATGCTGTTGAGCTGCGAACTCCTCGCAGAAACTTTAGAAAAGCGATTGCAAGTTGCCTGCGAAAGCCAAAAAGAGCTGAAACAATAAGCCATAAACAATTGGCCAACAGCCAGCAAGGAGTTGCTGTCCCAGCCAGAAGCTGTTCGTTTCCATTTCGAATCTGCTTTCTTTTTAGTTCTGCATTTATTTCGACTGACTGGATGCGATTCTGGTTGCATTTTTATGCATTTATTTGGGGCTCTGGCGTTCATCAATTTGCCGCTGGCCAGTGAAAATCTGTTGCACTTCACCGCAAAACTCAACAGAGCAGTAACCAATTTATATTTTTAAATACTTTTTCGTTTTTAAGCCATTTGGGCAAGGCCCTTACTTTTGTTTTCCTTTCCTTTTCCTACGGTTTTCGGCGCATCTCCCTATATTTTCATTAACAAACGCTTAATTGAAAAACTTTTTCGCTTTGAGGGCCGTCAGGCGGCTCAGGCCCTTCTTTATCGAACCGATTCAGTAATTTAATCTATTTTTCCTTTAACTTTGCAACAGAGAGGAAAAGTATCTAAATGTATTCACAGTTGATGAGTAAAACGGAAAAATTCCGTCCGTTTGCATTACGCATATATTTCGAACTTGTTAGCTCAGTCTGCCGCCAGATTTTCGCTCTAAACACAACATTGTATATTTGAGTGCCCGAAAATGTAAAAGAGGCTGTAAAACCCAATCCCAAACCGACTGATTGGCAACCTTTTTGCGCCGGCATCGGTAAACAAGCAGAAGAAGCTGCACCAACAGCAATGACATCGTTTTAGAATTAGGCCACATTCAGGAGGCAAGTTGTATGGGTCCCTAAAATGGGGTTACGTGGGTCCAGTGACGGAATCAGGGGTATTTCACGGGGTTTTAGTAGAACAAAGGTACTTGATCTTATCCAGAGTTTGTGTGCCTACATTTAAAAATTGTACTTTTTGTAACTGCAAATTAAAGTTTTTGTTTTTTATATAGGATTTTTTTTAAATGAGTTAGTATTTTAGTTTTACATCTTTATTATTAAGTTTTTTATTACTACTCTTAAATTGTTCCGTTTTCTAACTGCCAAATTAGAGGTTAAATAAATAAATATTTATGTTTACTCATTTTTGCCACATATATTGGCAACTGAAATAAATTCTGCAAAATCCTATTGAAATGTGGGTAAATAATTTAACTGCACTGGTTCTGACTGTACATAAATATGAAGTATAAGTGGTCAAATCAATCAATATAAATAATTGTACAATTGTTATTTATAATTCGACTATTTTTTTTTTGGTATGTAGTTTGATCTGCTGATGGTCAATGGATTAAAAGTGTGTATAACTGTAGAACTGAATTTAAACACTAAAAAATATATTAAAATCCAATTTACTGCAATATTTCTCAAAGTCCTACCCCCAGTTCTGGATCCGCTCCTAGATGATTGGAGGTGGGTGAATATGAACATGCACGGCAATGAATATGCGTGGCCATTGGCTGTGGATCTGCGTCCGTTTGGGCTTTAATATCAAAAAGTGAAGCTGGTGCTGAGCAAACAGAATGTCAGCACCAAATGAGATCAGGTTTGGGCCAAGGGTTGTGGGAGGATGGGGTTGGGGCTGGGTGGATAGGGCGATGGAGATGCATATGGAGGTGCATCCTTGTGGCCGACGCACATGCCAGTGGGCTTGCCACATGGCAACTGTGTCAGTGTCATTCCGATTCGCCTGCGTGCGCCCCGTGCATTGTTTGCCATGTCAAACATTGTCATTTATCCAAAGTCGACGACCGGGCCCAGGGAAGCAGTTGGTTCGCAGAACAGAGTCCGAGCTTTGCATATTGCAATTAAGTTTTGTTTGGCCCCGAAATTCGCACATTGAAGCCCTGCCTGCGTCGCCTGATTCCCGGCATGTGCCGCTCAATTAAAACTTTTTGCCCCCAATATTGTGGAAATTCGGTGCTTTTAATTTTCCTGCCTTGCAGTGACATTGAGGCACCTATACCGCAAATTGGGGTCTTCGCATGAACGAGAGATTTTATTACATATTTCGAAAGTTTGCAAATATATGTAAGAAAGGCAGGTGGGTCGAGGTCAAACGGAAAATATTAAAAACTTGCTAGGCGAAAAGGGACAACTACAGAGCGTTTTCTGTATATTAAGTATCTTATATATTTATACAGCTTACTCTTTGCTCTTTACTCTAACTAAATTAGCTTATTATAATTATGTGGTGCGAAAGTTTTATACAAATAATACGCAGATATGGAAACGAATTATAATTGTAAAAGTACCCCTTTCGGCAAGCAAACGCAAACTAAATAAGTTGGCACAATCAAAATAAAAATAATTTTAATGCAAAAAAACAAAACCATTAAAATGCAAATGGAATAACACATACATGTATATTTTTCATATTAAACATCCTTTGTGTTTTACGACTGTGAAGCGGTAAAATGCCAGCCGCAAACCATTTCACAATCCCTATTCTTGCCGCCCGCGCAGTCACCTTTTCACATACGACCATCAAATTAAATTTTATTGCATTAGGCGAATGGGTGAAAAAGTAATTGCCAACATTTCAGCCTTTTCTTTCTTTTTTTTTTCTTTTTTTTTTCAACCGCTTCCTTTTACGGCTACACGTGCCACCGGCAAGAAAAAAGCAATTTGTTGTAATTTCATTGCGTTTTCATCGCACGCTGCCCAGACCAACAGTCATTCAATGGCACATTGGTATACGCCCATCATTTAAAGTGGAATTAAATGCGGGAGCACAAACTCCTCAGGCTCTGATTCGATTGGTGGGGGTTTTAATTATTGATTCGTTTTAATGAAAGACATTTATTTGAAAAAATATCGAAGGAGGCGGCTCAAGAAACTATTTTTCTATCGGGAGTAAAATTCCTTAAACAACTGAACCTCCACGAACTCAAGTGGTCCCATACAACTTAATTTATTTAATTTATTCCTCACATTTAAGTCTCTGCGCGATGTGAATGTCTGCTCTGCACAACTATTTGCTTTTTCATATTTTCCGATGCACTTTGGCTTTTTGTCAAAAATCTGGCCAAGTCCCGGCTAGAGACTCGCGACTAAGTAACAATGCTGGCGTCTCACATGACATATTCATGGCAGCCATATGTGTATTTTGGGCTATCCATTGAAGCTATTCGCATTCGCATTCGGATTCGCCCATCGTCATATTTCGAATTCAGTCGAGCATTTCCCCAGCGTTGTCAGCAGTTTTTGAGTGCAGTCCCATAAAGTTGCTGCAGAATTTTGGCAAGCGATTTTAATTGTTCGGCTTTCCAAATCTGAATGAATTTAAAATGCGCAAAATTGGATTGCCAAGAGCAGTCGAAACAATACCTCACCCCTGAGATTCGTGGAAAATCTATCTCCACGCCACCAGCAACACATGCCGTATGCGCAGCACATTTAATTTTTATTTAAAACAAAGGGCCGGCAGCGGCAGGCCCAAAATAAAGGCAAAATAAAACTCTGTGTGCCAAATACTTTTTTGTGTAAAAAAAACTTTCGAAGTGCACATGTCGCAAAATACACAGAATTATGCAAAAAAAGGAAAAACTGCAAAAACTTGCAAACACACCTCTGAAAAAATCCAGCTGCAGGTGATTTTCGACGAATCGTAAAAAATGCAAAGCCGTTTCATTGAAACGAAGAAGGTTTAGTGCCTGAAAAGAATTTTCTCGCTTTTTTGCAGCCCGTTTGTCATTACGAAATGCTGTCGATGGGTATTTTACGTTAAACGGGGCTTATTTTGATATTAACCGCATCATCGTGAATTAACAAGTGCTCTTAAAGTTAACAATTCAAAATAATTTGCATAGGCGAAGAAGTTATTCCTACATTTTTTTTTAAATGTTTGTCGTTGCTTTAGAAAAACTCTTTACTGTTTATGAGCTAGCAGAAATAAATTCAGACTTTGTGAATAAATCATGTAATCCTTTGCTTCGTCTTAAACTTAATTATTCATTAATAAGTTAAGCTTGTCTTTTATTTAAGTTTGTAAAATAAGCTCGGGCAAGTATACGGTTGTCCTCGAAAAACGTTTCCGTCACAGAAGGCAAAACATGAAACGAAGGCGATAAGTAGACAGCACGGACTTGTACCCGAAGTCCTGACAGGACACAGAGGCAATTAATTTCCGCTGTACAATGGCAGGCATACAAGACCACAAAATTCTTATGGAACAAGGCAGTAGGTCAGTGTGTAAGTTTAACAAAAGGGGCGGATCCCTGAAGTACAGGCATGCTTGAACATGTATCTATGTTCGAATGATAAACTGCTTTATTTTCAAAATCTATAGTGGTCAAAATATGGGTACAGAATGTGCATGGCAACAAATACTTAAAGGGCATTCAACGAATTTTGTCTCAAGGATATTCTAGAGCCGCCAATTTAATTTTCCCAGAACGCCCGGATCAAAAATGATGCCTTATTTCAGCCAGTGAAAGACAAAGATTTCGAATAAAAGTAAAAGTTTTATGAGCATCAAAAGTTTTCTTGTCACTTTTTGTGTTGTCCTTTTTCCAGGAGACGATTTGGTTATTCTTTGTCTAAGCGGCGTGAAACTTTTTTTTATTTGCCTTCTCGTTAGGATTGCAACACAACCAACATGATTTGAGTTTGATGATATAGTACAGCTTGGTAGCTGCAGATGGCACTAATAGATCAATTAGAATTTTTCTTTTATTGAATACCCATTAGGCTTAAGATTCTGGAGGAGTGTCAGCCAAAAGAAGTCGAATTTACTGTCTTCTTCGAGCTTTTCACCCTTTTAAGACCCAGTGCTCAACCTTTTTTAAAGGACGAAATGGAAAATTAATTTCGGTTGGCGTGTGTCAACAACGCATGACTTACGAACAACTGGGGTAAACATAACAATTGTTCCTCCAGCTGAAAAATGGGCGACAGGGACGAAACAAATGGCAAAGGATGCCCAATTACTTTGAACAAATGGTTACACATTTTTTTGTCATCGCGTTTCCCGAACAAATTTGGTCAAACTGGGTAGCCCAATTAAATTGTCAAAAAAGCTGTGAGCGTAAATTATGTTCCGAGATTTTAAATGTCCTTAATTTTCCGGCGCAAATGGCATTCACAATGGATTTGAAGAAGGGGGTTTTATTAAAAATGTTGTAATAGAGGTCTGACGGATGCTTACTTTTTGTACAAGCAAAATGTATATTTTATTTTCGAAATCAAGGTCTTTTTTGTTTTGACAAAATGTTGTTTTTTATCTACTTATTTGGATGAGTATTGATTTACTTGTATAAAGTATGAGTATGAATCTTTACATTGGTTACAGTGCATATTTATAGACTTTTTATTTACTTTAACTTCACCTGCCAGATATCCATTTCAAAGCGAAGTTTGTTTTTTTTAAATAGTCCAAAGCTTATAAAGGACTTAAAGAAGATTGCTAAATTCATGAAAAAATCTTCTTTAAGATATTTTCGTTGGCAACGGGACCATTTTTTTCGAATCCATGACCTTGCCTTCCGGCTTACAAATTTAAATTATTGTCTGAGGTCAAATGGTGGACCCAAGTGTCCGTATCTGATGATGACGCGGTTGTCTTCACTGCCAGGGCAGATATCCAAATAACTACAAATTCAGCTTAGGCACGTCCTTAAAAAAAGTCCCCATCAAGTGGGTCCAATAAAAGTTTTATGAGTTGGACGCCAACTCGGGTCCCGAAAATTCCGATTCCGCGCTCGACGTTGTGATAAGTTGTATACTTTGACCAGTGGTAACAAGTTTGCAGTACCGCACGACAAACAACTTCGCCATTTGATTGCAAACTGAACTCAAACGTGCTCACATCCTGCTTTTCATCTCCTTGCAGCTCCTATGGATGCTCCTGTTTTCCCGGCTTCAGCGGCAGCGACTGTGGTCATGGTCCCCTGTGCCAGGACCTCCACACCAACATCTGCCAGAACGGAGGCACTTGCAAGTAAGTACTGAGCCACGCTTTAAAATTGCTCAATTTGTTATTTTAAATTGAGAAAAACGCATGCCAAATAGTTATGTAAGAGGTCCTGGTAGCGTGAAACTAAAATTAAAAATGTTTACTTTTGGGAAAATATGGTTATATAATTGGGAGACTTTAAAACTTTCCGCATCTCCCTTACTATTACATTTGTTTCAGTTTTTTGACACACAATAATAATTTATTGGATATTTTGCCCAATCTTTAATACTTGAAACAATCCAAGGAAAGAATACATTTCTACACATTTCTTTTTCTGACTTGTTTTTGTGAGCAAGGTTCTAGTAACGTCAACCTAAATTTAAATATAATTGCTTTAGAAATCCTTACAATTTAATTCAGGGACTTTACAACTAGCTTTTGCATTAAATTTATGTTAAAATTGAACAAATTTTTTTAAAATGGTTAATATTGTTTGAATATTCTGCCCAATCTTAAACATTTTTAACAGTACAAGAAGGAAATGTGTATAAATACACATACCCATTTTTAATTCTGGCTCTTCGCATGTTTGCAAGCTGTCTTTTTTGTGGACCTCATTTTCTTATTGTCGGATCATCATTTGCAGGCACATCGGCGACGCCGCCATAACTTGCCACTGTCCGAAGGGCTTCAAGGGGACCAGATGCGAAATACCCGAAATAAACGAGATGACACAGGGTAAGTGCAATAATAAATGTTATTTGGAAGACATACATATCTACGTGCATACACATATAGTCTGGGGTATATCCAGGCTAATAGGCGCCACGGTCTGAAAGGGGGAACATAAAAAGCTGGAAAAAAGGAATAAGGATGGGTATGGGGGCGAAAGGCGGGACAAAAAGGCACGCTGTTAAAGTGAAAATGTAATTAAGGAAATAATTAGCATTAAAAATGCACTCATTGCCAGCTGAGGTACCCACGCAGACACTGTGCAGACAAATTGAAAGGAAAGACTTTGGACGGGAAAAGGCTTTCCCCCCTCCCCCCCATCTGGAAATTCTCTCGCCCCATTTAATCGGCAAGTGCGTGCAAAAACAATAAAAATGTGTATAACAACTGCAACGGAGAGCATTAAAAGGAGCGGGCGCCGCAGTGGAAAACCTCAGGTTGTCACTGTCCCGGATCCGTGGCAATTTCCATACGGCTCCTGCTCTTCGCGATGGGAAACCCATGACAAGAACAACAGCGAACGTGTCACCAGCCGCCAACAATGTTTAAGCTTTAAGTTGTGCGTTATATTTCAAAGTGCCTGCAATGGTAATGAGAACGGAAAATACAGGACCTGCAAGCCGATTGCGACATGTTCTGGTATTTTGAGAATGGAGGAACTTGTAAACTGAGCTATTAGTATTTTTGTGTAGCCTGCAGAAGTATGTGGACCCATGTGGCACAGTAAAATTAGCTTTAATTACCCATAACTAATGATTTATCTTTCTATAATATATATATACTGAGCAAATATCAGTCTTATTTCTTAACTAAAGTGCCAGTAATTGCATTTCAAATAGCCAAGAAACAAATTTTATTGCTACCAATATTACAGAGATGAATAACAATTTATTAAATCGTTTCTAGTGGACTATTAGATCTGATAGTCTGATTTTATTAAGTTAACCAAAAACTAAGAAAACGTAATTTTTATTTCAAGAACGATTTTAATTTTCATAAAATTTTCATACAGATGTTATAGTCAGAAAAGCATTCAAAGTATTAGTAGTTCAAAGAGCCAAGAATCAAATTTTAAAGCTACCAATTTTCCAGAGATGCGTTAAAATTTCTCAATAAGTGGTTGTCTGCAGAGAAAAATTCCAATTTTATCGATTTTGACACTCCATTCCGTTTTATATATGGAAAAATGCATAGAAGCCAGATGAGAGCGTGGGTGGAGGTGGGAGGAAAACATTATCCAAAGAAATGCCTGGCACATGCTCCGCATATTTGCCGCATTTTCTTATGTCTTTTATTCAGCTTGATGGCCCAAAGCGATTTGAAGTACTACTTTTGGGGGAAGTGCAACGGACCGTCAATCCAGCCCACTGGGATAATTTGGTCACAGGTGTTGGTCTGCAAACATCCATGCCTTAAAAGATATTCCTCATGACTTGAACTTTTATCGAAGCAATTACCAATTTTTGTTTCATCCTTTTAGGCTGCACCAGCAACACCAGCTCCATCGAATGCCATATGGCCTGCGACTTTGACAATTTCAGTCGTTCTGTGTCCTCTTCTGGTCAAAGTTTTTCCGTCCTCAAAAGTAACAGGAACTTGGCCCGCAGCGGAAAAACTCGATATGAGGTCACCATGCGTCTTGGTGCCAACCTAACTGGGTATTATCGACATGCCGACCGGGAACAGTTGTCGGGCGTTATGGAAAGACAGGTGAGCTTATTTGACTCTTACATCTATATTTGTATTTAAACGTTAGGTTTTTTCATTGGTCTCCATTTTGGGGGAATTCATTTATACTTTGTTTTTAAGCTCAACAACTGTTTTGAATGTGGAATCGAGCGTACCAGTAGTCTAGTATGTTATACAAAATTAATTAAAGCAGATGATCATTTAAACAAAACTATTGATTTGGGATTGCTTCCCTATAATTAATACAAAATAATATAGTCTATTTATAAATCCAACAAAAACAAACATTGATTAGGGTCTTACCTTACCGAGTTAGCCTCTGTATAAGAAAATAGAGAAGAATGCAGACATTTTTAAGATCAAGGATAGTTTGCTGTTAAAAGGGTACAAAATAGTACAAAAAAACCATCACACTTTTTGTAATAGGGGTATTTATATATTGATAGGAGAAACAACCAAGTAGAAGTTTTCAAATTCAAACACAATTCAATCTTCAAAATGTGAAATCTAAATCGAAGTGGGGTTACCCATAGATTATCCCACATAGTTTTGTGTCAAATTTAGCTGATCCTCGGCCTCAGGTCTTGCCACACCAGCGGTCGCTTGGCCGATGCCGTGGAGTACATTTCGCACCGCTCCCTGAGTGGCGTCCAAGGATGCAGACCACATGGGCGGGTGACCCGCCTGCGGCTGCGCATTGTTTGGAGCTGGACTGCCGGGACTGCCCGCACTGCTCTCCATGATCGTGGGCATGTTGGGTTGGTGCTGGGCGGACGTGGCCGGCGGATCGACCCGCTCCATTAGTTGGGTGAAGCTGCCCCCGATCAGATCGCTACTTTCGTGCCGCTTGTAGCTGTGTGCGGACCGGGAGAGGGGGCGCCAGCGGTTGAGCTTCTTGGAGGCCATCCGCTGGAGGGGCGGGGTGCGGGTGCCCATCTCGGGGTTAAATGGAGGAGCTCCCTTACTCCCTGAAGTGTGCTGCTCCAGAAGCGTACTGACCAGCTTGTCCAGCGCCTTCAGATCTACGTTCAGCTGGGAGTTGGGAATCGAGTTCATCCGACTGCCGGACAAGCTGCCCGAGCTCGTCTGTCCAGGGTCCAAATCTGTCTTAAGCCGATTGAGTCCGGCAATCTTGGCCAGTCGTTCGGTGAGCTGCAAGAACCAAGCGATTATTTTGAATATATGTATATGTATATATATAAACAATATTTATACCCGTTACTCGTAGAGTAAAAGGGTATATTGTATTCGTGCAAAAGTATGTAACAGCTAGAAGGAAGCGTTTCCGACCCTATAAAGTATATATATTCTTGATCAGGGTCACTAGCCGAGTCGATATAGCCATGTCCGTCTGTCCGTCTGTCTGTCCGTCTGTCTGTCCGTCTGTCTGTCCGTCTGTCTGTCCGTATGAACGCTGAGATCTCGGAAACTATAAAAGCTAGAAGATTGACATTTTGCATGCAGATTCTAGGAGTTCCTACGCAGCGCAAGTTTGTTTCAAAAAGGTGCCACGCCCCCTTTAACGCCCACAATAGCTTATATACGATTTTAAAAATTTACATATTTCGGAAAAGTAAAAATGCAGTTTTATTGTGTTTATCAATACCTATCGAAATGTTGAAGAAATTTTTCAAATCCGACCATTCGTTAAAAAGTTATGCGTGATCAAAGTTTCTATCTCCATCTCCCTCGCACTCCCTTAACCTGAGTAACGGGTATCTGATAGTCGGGGCACCCGACTTAGCGTTCTCTCTTGTTTTTTTTAATATGTAAGACAATCCTATTAGTTTGGAATAGTATAGTGGATGTATTGATAATATTTGTATATATGTTAAATCAATTTTAAAATGATTTTAAATTTATTTAAACTAATAATGACATTTGTTATTAATTAATTATTAAATCAATTTAAAATAATTTTTAAGGGAATTCGGGACATCAGGAATACTATACTATATTTTAACAAAATCTACAAAAACTGACTAAGTAAACAATTTTTTTGTTGCAATGAAAATAAACTTGGAACAGCGTGAATATTAAGATCTAATAACTAATATTAATAAGAACTGCAACTATAAAATAAAGCAAATTTGTAATCTTATCTGAAAAACATTTATTAAGTTAAATCATTGTTTTAAAACCATATCAAATCAAATTACTTTTAAGTCCATTCTTTTGGAAACTTATACATTTATTAAAAATATTTATGATTTTCGCTTAAAACAAAAAACGCACCGAATTTTCTGCCTGTGTCAAATTAGTCTGCAACTTCCCCAACTTTCTTACTAATAAATCGCCTGTGAGACGCTCAGAGACTGATACTTCAGCGCAGCCAATTAAACTTTCCGTTTCCCATATGCGAAATTACAATTAAGCAATAAAAACTAACGAAATATGCCCATAGGCTTGTGGCAACCGAACAAGTGGTGGGGCAAGTGTTCAGAGTCGGTTGCAGTGGAGGAGAAGGGCAAGGATGTATCCTCGAAAGGAGAAGGCCGACTGGCTGTCAGGACACCAGAGTTTTCAGGCTTCCAGGCTTCTCCTTCGACGGATGCGCTGGCGTGGAGCAGCTCGGTGTGCGACTTTAATTGATGTTTCATTTCCGTTGCAAAGTGCTTCCGTTTTCCTGAACTCCGCATCCGCCGTTTGTTTTGTCCAAGTCGGGGAGTCGAGTGCCGACCTGGTAATTGAGTATCAATGCGGTTTTAAGTGAAAAATGCTTCTTGGCCTCCCTCCCCCTTCCCCCATTACCCCTCCAAAAACCTAGCAACCCAACCACACTGCCAACCCACCATACTCAATGGCCAACCATTTCCGTTTTTAATCTTTTGCCTTGATTTGCTCGCTCTTCGTTCCGTTGCCGCTTTTCGTATTCGTTTTCGAATTCGTTTTCGTTTTCATTTCATGTTTCTGTGTTTTTTCAATTGCCTCGTGCTCCATTCAAATGGGGTTAATTGAGTTTTAGTGGCCAGGACTCACTTTAAACTGATTACAAGCTGCCAGGGGGGAGTGGGGGGTGGCGTGGTTGTAGGCTTTGCAAGTTTGTTTTGCATGGCACTCGGCTGTTCCGTGGCTGTCTCTCGAAATATTTGGAGCATGTCAGTCTGGCAGCCACTCGAGCTCCTTGGGCCAAGCCACCCACCTCCAACCTCCATCCTCCATCCGCCATCCGCCAACATCCAACCTCCCTTTTTCCGCCTGGAAACGAATTAATGTAGAAGTTGATTTGTGGCAATCGACGCTTGGATGGCTTTTGAATGCTTCTTGCCGGCGAGTTTTAATTGAGGCGCTCCTTAAACAGGAAATTAAGAAAGTTTTTCACCAGGCCCTATGATTATGGATTCAGACGAGTGGAAGGCAGACTGAGCGTCATTAGCGGATTCAGCAAGGTGATGGGACATGCGAATCTTGGTTGAGTACATCTTTCCTGCTGAAAAAGCCACCACCAAATAACCAAAGTAAACTGAACTCAATGACAAGGTCTTAGAGCTCAGAGCTGCAACTTGCAGCTTAGAATGTTTTTTTTCGTTCAGAATGACAGATATTGCCCAGTGGGTCAACTTTCATCTAGTGCATAAAAACCGACAGGAGTTTATTTTCGTCTTGGGCTCCTCCTTCGCAACAGGTTCAGCTGGCTTAACTATAAATCTTACATGATTTTCAACTACTCAGTTGTTGCTCTGCTGCTTTTTTTTGCAGCTGCCCCAAGTGACCCCTTTGCTGTCCTTCCTTCGCTGCAATGCCGCCTTGATTTATGATCTCCCCAACTTGGTTTATTGTCGCATCGTTTGGCCGGCACTTTTTCCGGGCGCCGTGCATTTTCTTGTGCGCCTCGCAGGGCTTATCAACTAATGATTGAGGTCAGTTGGCCAGCTGCCTTCGTCTCCGCCGAATAATTGCCAGTAATTAAGCTTAAATGCCGTTTGTCCTGCCCCCGGGGCCTTGGAGTTCTGTGGCTCGTGAAAAATGCAGTTTCCAGTTACTTCCTGGCCCCAAAATCGTATTGTGACATTGGCAAACTTTAATTGCTTAGAAAGTTGGGCAAAACATGTTTATTAAAGCAAATACATCAGGCGGACTTATTGTTTCTGCACCAGATAAACAAAAACAGGTGTGCTTGACATTTAAGTTTGTCGAAAATCGATAGATGCCATGCCAACAGAGCGTTGTATCAACTGAGTCAACAAATATATTTCATTTGATAGCGGCATTCACCCATTCTGCAATTGATGAATAAGACTTATCAAATATTAGTGCCATTTTTTGGCACAATGGTCCATCAAACACTGATCGAGTGAGAAAAGTAGGTAAGGCAGCTGTGCAAACTTGATAATCTTTAAAAATCGGATCGGCATTTGGTATAAAAGCAGGGAATTTGGCAGGGAAATAGTATCATTCGACATCTGTCAGCATCTCCAGCAGCATGAGCAAATCAATTCTGATCGTTGGCACACTCCTGGTGACCATCTTCATTGGCCATCTCCCAGTTGGCCAGGCCGTCACCTGTGCCGATGATCCCGACGATGCGGCCTGCATCGATTGCACGGCCGAAGCGAATGTGGACAATGCCGAGTGCACCACCACCACGGTGGCTCCCGAAGTCACGACAGCAGCTGCCGAGGTCACCACCGCGGCCGCAGCTGCAGACTCTGCCACCGACTCCACCACCGCTTCCTCCACGTCCACTACCAAGAAAATGATGGTCATCAGGAAATTCAAGCGGACAAAGACGATGCCAAAAGTGATCGTGACGAGGACGAGCAACAGGAGCAGTGGCAACAGGAGCAGTGGCAACAGGAGCAGTGGCAACAAGAGGAGGAGCAAATCTGGTTAGGCAAACACATGTTGCAATCAAAAAAAAACAATGGAAAAACATGACACGGAAAATATTACGCTTTTAGTCATAAACTATTTGTAGTTAAGAAAATAAATAAATTGCATTATGGGCCCACTTACAAAACTCCTTTTTATACCCTTGCAGAGGGTATTATAATTTTGGTCAAAAGTGTGCAACGCAGTGAAGGAGACGTCTCCGACCCTATAAAGTATATATATTCTTGATCAGGGTCACCTCCTGAGTTGATATAGCCATGTCCGTCTGTCCGTCTGTCTGTTTCTACGCAAACTAGTCTCTCAGTTTTAAAGCTATCGAATTGAAACTTTGCACACACCCTTCTTTCCTTTGCACGCAGTATATAAGTCGGAACGGCCGGGATCGGCCGACTATATCCTATAGCTGCCATATAACTGATTGATCGGAAATGCCATAACTTTCGTGTTTGTAAAGTTAGGAAGTTGAGATTATCTATGGGTTTTATATTTGGCCAATCAATCCGACTCACCAAATTTCATAAGGATCGGCCGACTATATCCTATAGCTGCCATATAACTGATTGATCGGAAATGCCATAACTTTCGTGTTTGTAAAGTTAGGAAGTTGGGATTTTTTATGAGTATTAAGAATGCATTATATGAATAATTTTGGAGAATATAATTTACAGAGTATTCTGCAAGGGTATATCAACTTCGGCTCCGCCCGAAGTTAGCTTTCCTTTCTTGTTAATACAAATCTTAGTAATTGATTTAGATAACTATATATGCGCTGACATACATTTTAACCATCAGTCAAACATTTTATACAAAATTTGGGCTCTTTTTAACACTAAACAAAGTTTTAGATATAGAAATCGTTTATTTTTTCGGGGCTGTCCATATCTCACGTATTCACGTTTTTCATTGACCCCCGTTCAGGAAAACTCGCTCCTAATATTTACGCGCTTATGTGAAAAACAAAAATATCCTGTTTTAATAAAGACAAAAAATATAAATAAATATGAATATCACAAATAAAATTTCGTTAATCTCTAACATAAATTGACTAACAATAAATAAATACCCTCAATGATAACGTAATATATCAACAGAACCTATGTAGCTAAGTAAAAGTTATACAATGTTTACGCTATGGGTTTCATGAATGTTTAAAAAAGTGAAATCAAAATAGCACTCGTTTATGCGATATAGACGAATTCATGAAACGATGTTTATGCATGCTGAATTAGCAGAATTATAAAACTACTTTTTCCTCACCTCCCCAGCCGCATTGCTCGAGTAGCTCATCCGCTTGACCTTCCGGAAAGTGGCGTCGTTCTCGGCCTGGGCCAGAGCCCTTTCCAGGGCATTGTCCATCTGGGCATCCCGCTCGTCCAATCCGTGATAGTGGGCGTTACTGTGGGTGGGAGGGGCTAGTGTTAATTTTATGCAACAATGCCATGAACTTTGAATGACGCGTCGGGGTGGAAATAAATTGCACTCTACCAAAACATTTATGGTTTTTGTTAGTTTCGTGTAAACAAATGGTGCCGGCATTTTGTGCTAAATTAAAAAGCTTACAGCTGTGTATTAATTTGTTGCATGAATTTGCATTGTTTAAATGTCCATCACCGTGTGCGTTATTTTTCTTTTCGCTTTTTCAGGTATTAAAATGTTCTTTTTTTTAGAGTCATTTACAGGGAATGCTCGTTTTCAATTTGCCTTCAGGGCAACATAAATTAGAACTAGCATTTAAATTCATATTGATTCTGTTGCTGTGCATTTATTTACAAGCATTGGTACTTTTTATTTAAAGGTTGGCAAAAAAAAAAAAAATGTATACAATTTGTATAACCATTTGATGCGGATTTTCTGGATATCCAGCTACTTGGGTGTGTTCCAACTTTCTGGTTGACTTTATTTCTGGATTCGTTTTCATATTTTATAACCATTTGTTTCTTTTTCTGCTTTGGCTTTTTCCTAAGCCCGCCATAAATACTTGGCAATGATTTCAATTATGCGATAAATATTTTACAGAATGTGCAGCACCATATTTATTTATGGACTAGATGGCGTGGGCTGTACATTCGCACTCTGACGACATAAATACCTTCATTATTTACCTTTTCAGATTGCGTTCAAGCATTTGCCCAGACAAATGTTAGGACTAAATTGACTTGCCCCCAGGACGTGTTCATGAGAATGAGTTCGGGGCCACGCACACACACGGCCGGGCTCAATTATTCAACAAAACGGAATTGTAAAGGATATGGGAAATATGAGAATTGGTTCAGGGGCGGCCGGTCTCGCAAGGGCCTTCCCCCACTTGTGTGTTTGCCACTCACCCGCCGAACTTGTCCATGCCCCTGACGGTTCCCCTCCCTCCAGGACCTCCAGGTCCTCCAACCACGCTGCTCCGGCTGCGGGGATGCCGCATTGTTGAGCGATTCGTTTTGCGAACGGTGCGAAGATCTGTTTCCCAAAATCTGTGTAAAAAGGGAAAATTTATTTTAAAAATCGTTGAATTTGTGTGCATACGAGAATCAAGTAAAGAAATCGATTCTAAATTTTTGGTCCAGGCAGATTAAAGCAATTTCCTTTTGGAGGCTGTTGATACCTACTGTTATTCTTATTCGATGTCTTGGCCTCAAAGTTAAAATGTCCCACTTTTTATTTTAACTAACATTTAATATTTTAGTAAACCCTTAAGTAAACTTTTTTTTTTGTTTTATAATATATAAAAATAAAATATAGACAACTCATCCATTACTCGGTAAATTGGTTATTTATCTTATTATTGTATGTTGGTTTTTATTTGTTTAACAATAAAAAAACTGTTTTTTTTTTAAACTCTAGCAACTGTTTTTTTGGAAGCTTTTATAGATTTGATACGATTTAATTTAGCAAGTGTTAAAATTTAATAGTTCAACCTATCTACCCTGACATTCAAGATGACGTAGTCTTATTTAATTTCGTTAAATATTGTCCCTCGTCCACCTATAAAGTTGTACTGTAAAAAGCTGTAAAATTATATTATGAATGATTGACTATGCACGACTTTTTGCAAAACTTTTTGTTCAATTTTACTCAGTCCCTATCGAGAAACTTTTTCTATTATTGGAAGTAACCTTCGGGCTAGTGGCAACTGTCCCCATTTTTGTTGGCATAGGAGCTGCTCTCGTCTGACAGAAATCCCATAAAAATCATTTTGAATTGGCGGAGACAAGAAATTCGCAACCATAAACCGCTGTCAAAAGAAAACCGCAGCAATGAAAACAAAACCAATTCGCCAGAGTCGAGCAAACTGGGTCCGGGTAACAACAAATAAATATGAAATCATGCACTTTATGCGTAATGCAACAGCCTGCGGAAAGAGCCCGGCCATGGAAGTCCCTTTTCTGCCTCCAGTTTCTGGTCCTGTTTGTCCTGCTCTCCGCATCGTACTCTTGGCCAAGAGAGGGTCCAAGTGCGGCAGGCAAACAGACAGAAACAATCGGGTTTGGATACCGAATGATTGGACAAATGCCCGCTCTGTCTAGTAACCAGCTTATGTAAAAATCTGATCCAAGTGGCTTTTTTTTTAATTTTGTTTCTCGGAAGCAAAAATGGTCCATACTGACTGGCTGAAATGCAGTTTTCAGATCAAAATGAGGGTATCCCGAGGAGAGCGTATGCACAGAATACACACCATTTCTAAAAGCTACACAAACAAGTCAAACAAGCGGGCAGGCGAGCGTGAGCGTGCCTAAATAAACGTTGGAACAGTCACAGAACATTCATACATATGTATGTGTGCACACTATAATAATAAAAAGGATGCCGCAAACGGCGGCAGCGAAATAAAATTGTAGCATACTTTCGCGGGCCGTTTATGCGGGCTGTGTGCGATGTTGACAACTGGGACGATGGCGATGGACGAAAGCTTAGTCCCCGCTTAAAGCAGTTTAATGTGCCACTCTGGGAAATTAAAGCCACATGTCTGGCCCCGACACTCAGGGGCAGACGCCAGGGCAGACGCAGACTGGAGCTTAGATCCCCATTTGTCATTCGAACCGAAAGCCGGCGATGGAGGGCATTTATTTTCATTTAGATTGCCTGGGCCACTCGGCGAGTGGGCAGAAAACAAAATAAAAACACGAAATCAGTCAGTTAATTACGCGATATATCATATTTTGAGCGGGGCACTTGTGCAGACAGCCTGCTCGCTGCCAAGTATAATTTCTTAGGGTTCTGCGAACTCCAGTCAAAAGGCATTGGTAACAAATCGCCTGGCCTAAAAAGGCTTTCAAAGCCGAGGGCGCCAATCCTCTAGCAAAATGACAACACATCAACTTAGCCCGAAATACTGCTCAAATAGAGCCATATCCGAAATCCTTCGCTGGGCTTTATTGATTTAAATGTGCAGCCTAACAAGTGCTGAGAATTATAGGTTAATTTCCCCAGCTAGTTGGTCACACGTGTGGTTTAGTGTCTACTAATGTTTACCCATTGTTCGACTGGAGAAATGGCACAAGCTCAATCTAAGATTGACTAAACAAACAAGCAGACAAGATCTGATTTATTAACTTGGCCCAGATTAGTTCAATGACAATGTTGATGTAATATATAATTCGCCTGCTAATTGATGTGCATTTTAAGTGAGTATCAACAGAGAATTCTCTCAGAATCAACCAATGCGCTGGAAACCGGACAACCCTGTTGTTGGCTATTGTGATTTTGTCTGTGTCCGTCGTCGTTATTAATTACACTTACTAATGGGCAACTGACCAAGCGTACATAACGGAAATGATAAGCTTAAAAGCACTTGCTCCGCCGTCATTAAACACACTCCACCGCTTCTCGCTGTGCAGATTTTTAATTTGCTGCTACTCATACACATTATGTTCTTTAGGGTGAACCTCATTCTTGATTTAAAAAGCTTTCATTACATTACTAATTTCATTTAGCCATTTGATTTTTTAAGCCCATATTATAATTTTTTTGTCTTTCCCTTTTATCAAGTGTCATGCATAATTATTAAAATGTTTATTGACCGATTTTTTTCAATATTTGGTAGGTGAATAAATTTCAAACTGTGGCTGTGGAAAAAATTCCTGAAATTAAATGTAAAAACCTCATTCATAGTTATTTAAAAAAAAACCCAGTAAAGTCCACTTTAATGAGTTCCCAGAATGGATAGCGACTACATGTCGTCATCGACTAAAATATGCCTGCCAAGTGGCGGAAATGTACTGCAGAATGGGCTACTCACCGCTTTAAGTCCGGACTAGCCGTGTATGGCGCCGAGACCTCTTTAATTTTCAATACGATTATGGCCGTGATAAATATGCAAATCACATTCACGATGGTCAGGCAGGCGGAAACGATGCCGTTGATCAGGAACTCGGTGGGCAAGTAGTTCGTGTAGATGAAGGGATACGCGCTGGTCGAGTTCATCGCCTCGTTCTTCAAGTGGGGAATCCGCTTCTCCGGGTAGATGAGCCAAATGCAGGCCAGTGACCAGAAGAGACCCTGCAACACAAGCGGAAGAAAGTGGATGAGTGGAATAGAGGAATAGAGGAAGTGGCTGTGACTTTGAAGTTCCCATGGTCATATGTGGTGGTCGGGCGTCTGATACTGCCTTCGAGGTCATAAGGTCGCCGCGTGCTTTGTTCCGGTTAGAAGGCGCTCCCGTTGGCATACCAAGTAGTGGCTCCCGGCCTTGAATTGTTATAGCTTTGCAGCGTGTGTGGGCGCCACACAATCGCAAACATCCCCACCTCCCCCCCTCCCCAGATAGGACTCCATTGTCGCATTTTCAGCTCGTTCTCCTTTTCTGCCATTCGTTCTCCTTTTTTTTTGATTTCGTTTTGTGTCCTCCTCTCTGCTATTATAAATTATAATGACTCAGCACATTGCTCAGCAAGTCCGGAAGTGCGTGCTTTTCCTATATGTGCCGGATTACTATTGGGCTCAAAATGGTAGTAGGTAAACGTACAATAATTATTAAATCATTTTTTGCTATACCAATGCACACTCTTCATTTTTATATTTTCCACCGCAATAAATAATTTTTATTATTTCTGTGGTGATTAGTTTTTTTTTAATTAATAAGGATATCTACACATTTTTATTTTATTGCAAAACTAAATTATTATGCTTTTATGCATTTTAAAAATATGTTAAAATGCTTTGTTATTAAATTTCAATTTAAAAAAATATCAAGGACTGTCTCATTTGTAATCTGAAGCATTCGCAATTAAACCAATTCAGCTTCAAATGTAGTTTACTTTTAATTTTGTAAAACAATACCATTTTTTTATATTTTCATAAGTAAGACATATTTATTTATATTATATATTATTATAAGTTTAAACTTAAAGAATTGAAACCATTCTGCAGTCCTACAAACCCATCTCCTATTTTCTTGACCTCTACTGTTAAATCCGCAAATCTGTGGAAAGTATTTGTTTTTCCATTTGTGTGCGAGCTCATGACTTTTCTTTTCCTCGACTTACTTTCTATTTTCGCTATTATTCGAATTTACGACCATTTCTGGGTAAATTATTGCTTGCACGGATTTGAAAGTAAGGGCGTTGCAGACCGTTTTGAAATTGGAGTTCATGTTGCCAAGCCACATAAATAAGGTCGCTGGCAATTTAATAAGCCGAAATTAAGAGTTGCAATTCTTGCGCGATGCGATGCAGTTTACTCAGTTTACTTTCACATTTTAAGTGTAGAACGCACTCGGGAGAAATGAGAGCTCGAAATTACTCATACGCTCTGTTGGCCATGCTATTGCCTTAGGGCCAGACACATGGCAATTAATTGTAACACGCTCTTTGCTGGTAAAGTAAAACGAAAAAAAAAAACCGAGAAAACATGGACAAAGGTTGCTTCAGCCTCAGTGCGTGCCACTGATTTATGCAGCTCATATGTATGAGGACGAACTGGGATAAGGACGTGGAGTTGGAGCTGGAGTCGGAGTTGGGGCGACACTTGCACACATGCTCGACCGCAGCGGCCGCCATGATTAAGCGATTTCAGCGCCTTTGTTTTGGCCGGTTAAAGTTCGGGAGTCGGCAGACAGCCCTTCCCAGTGTCCATAATTCGCCCTTTGCATCATTTTGTCATGCTTGTGGCCTCCATTCCCCTCCCCCCTCTACACCCCACCCCCTGCCGGCAACGCCTTTGTCCCTCTGTCAGCATTGATAAATGTCAGCCTGCGACGCTGTTTGTTTGCCGGTTTGCAGTTTGTGTGGCACTTGGCCTGCCGGTTCCTGTGTTTGCAAGTTTTTGTATGCACTTCCCTTCGGAGCAGAGCAGAGCAGAGCAGGGCATTGCTCACTTGCTTTATAATTTTACCCAACATCCGCCTGCAGTTGGGGATTCCGATTCGCAATTTGCACTTGAAAATTGGGTCGAAATTTATGTACTCGCTGCGGTTGCGCCACAGAAAGTGGGAAAACAGCTGAGAACCGGTCCCGGCCGTCGCCCTTCTTCATACTCCTGCCGCCGGACAGATTTATGGCCAAAAGTTTTTGGGCAATGCACTCCAGATTAATCAGCAAATTGTATTTTGGGCCTAATTTATGGCGAATTTCACTTGAAGAGCCCCGTCCCCGGCCCAAAAAATATTAGCCTGGCCAAAACTTCTAGCCCCGTTTTGCATTTGCACTGGCCAATCGTCGTGGTCGGTTCTTAAAGTGCGTTGTTATATCCACTTACGGCTTTGAGCCACTCGGAAGTTTCGACCACGTTTGCGGCAGTTGAAATATGGCAATTTAGGCCAGGCCGGCAGTCATCGATAGTATAAAAAAACTCAAATGGAGTCAAAACTTGAAAGCATATAATATAAATGGGAATTGCGTAATTTTCCATTCGGCTGACCACAGTGGATATTTGATAGAAATGTTCGGATCCTGTGCTATTCACATTTTGAGGAATGCTTTTGGGCCTATGGCTATGGCCATAAATAATGCTGGCAAAGTCATTTCCGGCACCTGCTCACTCATGATGAAACACCAACTGCGCAATCGTTGCCAAAATCGAAGGTCGTCGAAGCTTTTGTTAATAGCATGCTAATGGGAGGAAAATTACTTCGCAGAAGCCTTCGGAACATTCTTTTTTAAGTGGGCTTCTACGTCGTCATATTTATAGGCACGAGTATTGACAAGTCGCAATCGATGTGTGCTGAAGGAGCTCTTTGTTTGCTTGAGGTATCGGCTTGCCAATTAGGCTAACTTCAGACGGAGATTGCATATTACTGTTATTCGTAAACAAGTTAGCTCATATAATACAATCAGTACACTGTACAAATTACTCTCTTAAAAGCTGAACAAAATGTATAGAATAACGTGGTTTTATTATTTAAGCTTATGAGCTCATGTTTAAAAATTTGTATGTTCAAATAGTACCATAGATTTTTAAAACTCATTAAAATGCAAAAGTGCAAATTATGGGCATCTAAACTAATGACATAACATTGTATTCTTGGTGGTCACAAAAATTCTTCACCATTTTGATCTTAAAAACTTTAAAGAAAACTTAAATCCATTGGGCTTGTGTTGAAATCCGAAAGTATTGATGTAAGCTACCTTGTAGGTTATAGGCTTTCAAAACTTAAAAAATTGTGAGATGCTTTTTAGACACCTACTTAAATTATTGAAATGGAGGAATAAAATTCCCAGAGAGAGTCAAACTTCCATAACTCGAACCACCACCTGCCACCAAATGATGGTGGGCGTATAAGTGATGGACCCCTTAAATTATAGAATTTATTTTATCTATATTTTTACTGTCCAATGCCACTAAAACCAGTTCGACTTGTAGAGGCATGGTATTAGGAAAGTTCGAGTTATGAAAGTTCGACTGCGTTTTTTAATTTAAAAATATTTTTGGACTCTGTAGAATACTTACACAATTGACAACTGGCGGCAGGAGGGAGGCTGAAATGGCGACCCCGATCAGGGGTCCTGCGGAACCCTGGAGCAAGGCCACGGCCACGCCAGTGCCAGATGTTAATGCCCACAGAACGCCCATCCAAAGGGCGCGCACATTGCCCCTGCGAATCGAAAGAGAAATTATTGAAAAATCAACTGTGAAATGGGCATCGAAAAAGTAGGGACGAAATGTAAAAAATTAATTAAAAATACAACAGCCGGCGGATGACAAATGCCGGCCCCTGCCGCTAAAACGCCATATCCGCGGGCCATTCTTGAAAAGGGTGGGGTCAACTGGAAATTAAGTCACATTAAGATGAATGTTTGGCCAGCCAGGAGGACTGTCGCAGACACTGCTTATCTGCCGTTTCGCGTCAGGGTCAGCAGGTGGGCCAAATACTTCACTTTGTCGCTGCCAGGTGACGCGGATTTTTCCATGCCCCCTGCCTCCATCCATGTCGCGGAGATTTTTTGACACTCGCGCAAGTTTGTCAAGTGTCAGCGGCTTTGTTATCGCTTCCGCCAACCAGCCTCCTGGTCGCCCAGGGCTCGTCGAGCCAGGATTCAGGAGTCAGGAGTCAGAGTCACTTAATGGTGAGAAATGTTGGCAAACTTTTCATTGCGCCCGGCTTTTATACCCTTCTTAGGGGTATTACGAATTGGTCCGCTAAAGTTCCTGTCCTTCCCCTCGCACAAGAAGTCAAGTCCCTGATTAAACCTAAATCCTCAGTTTAAAATATAAGGGTGACCCTGAATTTTAACATGAATTTAAAGTATACAAAGAGATTGGAGCATTCGCAATGGCGTTTTACGTTTATCGCTTAAACGAAATGTTGTTATCACAAATTCATTTTTGAAATGATAAATTTCAAAACGCATTATATACAGGGTATACATTTTCAATATTTCATTTAAGATTTGTTTTTAATTTTATTTAACAGATGTAACAGACAAGTGTGTTTGGCAATCAAACTTGATCTTAAATGTCAAAATCTTAAATGTCAAAATCTCAATTATGAAATTAGAATGTGTCTTTAGACCTTAAAAAATTTTTTTTTTTTTATTTATATGTTATTAATTGAACTTTGGAAATACTTTTAAGTAATAAATGCCTCTTATGCCATTTTTAATATTTTTTTAATATTTATTATTTGCTAATTAGCTCCTATTTAGCTCCTATTTTGCTGCAAAAAATGTAATAAAAAAGTAGGTTCAAATTAAGGTCCACTCTAGTTAAGGTTTCTTTCCGTTTATCTTTACGGACGATTTGTTTTATGTCGTTTCGAGCATTGAATCTAAGCAGGGTGCAAGAGTATTTTAGACTTTGGATATCCCAAGTTACGTAACTCTCTCGTTTTTTGATTCATGCGCCTCATTTGTGCCCTTGCCTTGCCTATATGAAAATTCGGGATTTTTACCTGGGACCAACTTTTCCTGATTAATGGCGCTTTTACTTTGCTTTGGTGGGTTTTTATGCCACCGAAAGTGTGAGTTTTATTTATGAATGCCGCAGTTTGAGTTATACAAGTATTTAACTTTTATGCATAAAACAACTTTATTATACGTCGACAATTTACGCTCAATTATAGCCCAAACATTAGGCAAGTCGTATAAATTTGTTGCAGCAAATTGTTTATGGTTGAGTTTCGTAGATTGAAAACAATGCAAATGAGGCCAGAACAGGATCGAGATTGGTTTGATGTGGGTCAGAGAGGGTCTGATTTCGCCGCCGGATAAAATATCGTTTAAAACCCCTTCCACTCCTTTTATTTTTTCTATTTCTATTTCTATCAAGGGAAAATGGAAAACGCCCACAACAGACGTTCTGCTTTTAATTGCGATTTATTTAACTAAGCTGACCATGGGAATTTGGTTTAGTGTGCATTTAAAATGTAATAATCAACACAGCGCGGCAGGAGCCGTAAAATATTCTCGTATTCCCATCCCCAAAAGCTAACAATATTTGGGTACTTTACTGCTGGAAACTAGACAAACTCTCTCCACCTTTCGGATTTTCCCCCCTCGACGACATTTGCACAGATTATTTTTGCCCGCTTGTATGTGGCATTTGCCGACAGTTGCAACTATGTGGGCGTGTCATCACGCCCCCGCAGTAAAGTAGCATAAATTTAATTTGGTTCGGCGTTGTAATTTATAGCGAATAGAGTGGGCCAAGTGTGGAAATGTGGAAAGGTAGGCAGCCGACTGTCTAGTTAAAATAACATAACTCTATGCTGATTGCTGTATCAGTTGTAAAGTAATTAAGCCTTTCATCAACACATTAAAGTGGTGTAATGACTGCCAGTTGAAACTCCTGTACTCTTTACACTTTTTAAGCTTTACGGGCATTTAAAATATAGTTAATTTTGATGAGTAACTAAAAATAAGTTTGAAAATGTAATTATTTGTATAGCCACATGTTTTAATGGGTTGTTTTATTTTAATAGGCTGTTTAATTCTTTATAAATGAAAATTAAGTCTTAATGTTGAAATTTTGCGTTAGTATATCCTGGAGCATTTTAAATTGTTTTGATTGTAAAGTTAACGTTGTTTTCCATTTTAAAGTATTTATAAGACGATTTGTATCTTTAATAATTAATACTAAGCCCACCGCAAAATCGCCAGCTAAATTATTAATTGCCTCAGGCCATTCGTGGAATTACAAAGGGGGAATAACACCTCACCTCCCTTCACTCTAATGAAAAGTGATAGAAAATGTGTTATTTAAAAAGTATGCTACAAAGTATTTGTTCATAAAATCCCCCCTCAAATAAATACTTGATCCGCCACTGCCTCCAGCATTGTCTAATTAACCCCAAGCCGTAATCATTTATCAGGTGCATACACACGCCTTTGAGAAATATTGGCATATCACTCGGACGTCTGGGATCCAATGGACCGAATGACAAGGCTCTATTTTCACGGGCCACGTGACACAATTATGGAGTCCAGTGGGCAGCGACAACTGGTCAGATGAGTTTAAGGATGACCATTGGAAACTCACGGCGATTGCATGACTGGCGATGGGCACACGCAATCTGGAGAAATTCATTATGTGTGCCTATTATTATGATGGAAATGTAGATGGAGATGAAGATGAGGATGAAGATGGAGATGTAGATGTGCGCCTGGACAGAGCCACTTGACTGCCCTCGGCCAACAACAAAGCAGCCAAGGCACTTAATTATAGAGATAGGCCATATATGTACATATATATTTAGATGTCAGGCTCAACGGACCAACTTACCGACCGAACAGCCAGCATTGTGTATTGTGTATTATTATTTTAACAATTTATTTTGTGCAATTAACACAATTGCCGACACACATTCATTTCACGCAACTTCCGGCAAATTCTGTGGCTGAGCTTAATTTATTGTGCTGCCGCTTTTTCAGCCGCCGAGGGCGTGTTTTGCTCTAAGCCCATTGTGGACCCACTGCTGGAAGAGATTTACACAGCCGGCGCGTGGCGACTTAAAGATTTGTTCGGCAAAAAACGATGCCGTAATAAATGTGTGCCCATATATATAGACTCAAGTGACTGGGGGGGCGGAAGATTGTCCCAGAAAGCCGAAAGGAGGCCTCTAATGAGCACACGCCTCACATTACTGCGCGGCCCTAGATTATTTGAATTATTTGCAAGTAATTTGTTACATTCGCACTCATAGATTTACCCGCCGATTCACTGTAGTAGCAAGGGCTGAGCTGTGCGAGACACTGGATAATTAACATACTTAATGGATTTTGGATTTTCGGCAAACTCCTAATTCACTTTCGAAAGTCGAGGGATTTGAGAGGGTCTCACTTCGTGGCTCTCGGAAATGAATGACTTGTGATAATGCGTCTTAATTAATATCAGAAAACGGATATGGTATAGCATTTTTGATTTAAACGCATCAATCAAAATTTTAAGAGTTACTCTCTTAAGCGATTGTGTGATACAATATCTTATAATTTTTATATTTGGCTCTTGGTAAATATAATTAATAAGGGTATGCTATGCATTCGTAAAGCTTTAAAATATGTTAATCGAAGGGTATTTCCATCTTCAAACCACATTCACTCACATACTTCATGTTGAGCTATTTCTTTGATGAATTTAAATAAATGGACAGCTGTCGTTTACTGTCTGGCACATTTCGGAGTTCAAAGAACTACAGCAAATGCAAATCATAAATATCTCTTAATGAAATTCCACATTAAATTGGATATTGGAATTGTTTCGGGCACCGCAACAACTTTAGTGTCATTCATATTTGATTTATTTTTGATTACATCCAATTCGTTGATAACCATATAAGAGAATTAATTTAATGTTCCTGGTGGTTTCCTGCTTGATTTGAACGTGCGGCGTTTTGTTCAATCTAAACCAATTGTTTGGTCTGATTGACATTGATTTGGGCAGCTAGCCTACCTTACCTACCTTACCTTATCCCCTTACCTGCCGCGCATCTCCTCCGTGGGCCAGTCGGCATTCTGGCCCCATGGCATTTCGGTGGTGCCCAGAATCAGGCCGAAGACGAAGCCAAAGACCAGGGAGATGAACATGCCCAGGCCCAGACACAGGAAGCCAACTCGCTGAAAGGAGAATGGAAATTGGAAAGGCGAAATTAGGGGCGAGCGTGAGGGTGAGAGTGAGACAGCGGGCTAAATGCCAAAGGACCCCAGCCACCGACACTTTAAGCGATAATGTTGCATACTTTGAAGCGCCAAGGAACTGCGAGTAGATTCGTGACATGTTAACCCAAATTTGCAGCCACGCTACTGCAAACTGTTGTTGCCAGCAGCAGCAGCAGCATCAGTACACACAAAAGAAAATCGCTCTAATGTCAGCCACACGATGTCGTCTTGGCATTCTGGGTTTTTCCCATTTCCCCCCCATTCACCCATTCACCAGTCAAACACAACTGCGACGCATATAAAGTAACTTGTCTTGAGGCTTTAAGGAGCCGGCTAACAAGCTGGAAATATTATGCGGGAATGAAAGTTTGCAGTTTGAAGTAAATGCAGTTTAAAGAGTTTGCACAACAATTTAACCAACTGGCGTTTAAGTAGGGTGTGAAAACTTTTGCTAATTTCTTGTTTATTGAAGGTATGCACACACGAACCCACACTGCGTATGCGTAATGTGCAAACAAATTACATTCATGTCCAAATCAACTTTAAATGGCGTGCAAATATTTGCAAAAATTGCAATTCAATAACATTCAACTAGCATTCAACTCGTCCACCAATATGTGTAAAGCCAACTCGTTTTCACTATATTACGCGGATTCCGGTGCATTTTTTCACTGCCAATTATTTTTAATAGTTAGCCATCAATTTCGACTGTCCCCCTTCGATTTTGCCATTTTTGTCATCGTTTGTAATTGGCATTTTTGTGTGAAATTGTTTAAACACTTTTGCATATGAGTTTTGCCCGCAAATATTGGCAGTGAATAGCTGGCGTGACTTTTTCAATTATTTTCCCAGCATGTGTGTGTTAATCTGAATACGGGCTTCTGTGTATTTTGTGGAGATAGTCAAATATTTTGTAATGAAATCAAAACATCTCAACGGTGTAGAGTTTTAACAATTACCAACAGGGCGATTCAACGGAAATGAAATAAATGCAACTGACATAAACATTTAAGTTTAAAGTCACAAATTGATCCGTTACACACAAGTTTAATGTTGCTGGCATGGCATTAATTCCTTTAAACTTGTACCAAGGACTCCGGATATTAAATGCACCAAGGGAGCATTTGAAATGCAGGTATTTTTGTGACCGCAATCTTTGGCAAATGCTGCCAGCAATTTCAACTTCCTTCCCCAGCTTTGTCAAAGATTATGATGACACAGCTTGAGCCACTTCACAAAAGGAAGGCGACAAAAAAGATGCACTCTGGCATGTGTTCGCACACGAATATATATTCATTTCAATTAAAATTTAATTGAAGTACACGACGCAGGTGTCAACAGCCGGCAAGACACCAGGAATCCAGTGTGTTTGTGGCAGGTGCAAGCCATCCTGCGGTGGAAATTGTGTCAGCAGACAACAAGTTGCCTCTGGGGCACATACACAGAACATCGGACCCACTGGCTGAGCCGTCTCTTCATTAGAAATGGCAGTATGCGATTATTTTTACCTTATTTCTATTTCACACAGCTTTATTTTATTTTGTTTGTTTTTTTTTTAGCCATTTTTTGAGGTTTTTTACTGCCTCAATTTTATTTATTTATGTACACCGCTTCTATTTACTACTCAGTCTGCGCGTTAAGTCCTGTCTCTGGGTTTCCTGAAGCGCAAGCCACCGCCTTTGATTCAGCAGAACTATAGACACCAGCGATCCCTCTTCACAATATAAGCACTGGGAGTACCCACCTGGTTGCTGGTGACAATTATGACACTTTGGAGAGCAGGTGCCGACGTCTGGCTGCAGTTAAAGTTCAGTTTTATTGGCTTTGCGCTGAATGGCGGCCCTAAGTGCTGTGTCCTTTAATTCTAAGTAGCTTAGTTTTGAGTCTGGCAGAAAAGGGAGGAAAGTAATTGCACAGCCGCAAGGTGTGGTTTTAAGCTAGGGTTTCTTTGAGTGAAAACCCAGCAATTCACAGCCGTTTGCTTTGTGATGTTCTCTCTTATTAAAGCATAATAAACTTCTTTTCACGTCGGCTTCCCTTTTGTATAGTCATCTAATTCATACAGTGCAATTCAGCAGGCCTCTAAAAGAATGCGCTAAGTATTTATTTATATCGATTTGAATAAACTCACAAACACACGCTTCGCTGCGCTACAATTCTATCCAATTTTCGAAAAAACATTTAAATATTTCATAGGGCATGCCACCCACTTCAAGCCAACGTTGTCAATAAACAATTCAGCAACTTTGCCATTTACCACAAAAGCGATGCAAATTTGCAAAACATCAAGCGCTGTGTCGCTATGCATTTGACTGGAATAACCCAAACACCCCACATATACCATATTTCTCTCGGCTGTATGCGAATTTTGACAGCTGAAATAAAAGGACGGATGGGACGGATGCGACGGACGACTGACTGGCATAGCAATTTTCGGTGCAATTTTTATTATTTTCCAAATGTCATTTGCTCATAAATCACTCAAAAGTACCACATAGAACCAGTCGAAGAGTCGTCGCGCAAGAGTGTTGACGATTTCATTTAACGCGCTGCAAAATGTATTTTGGGCGTCCCCCAGCCCAGCGCATCGCTCATGAAAACTATTTCCACTATTCCATTTTTCAATACAGTGTTGTTTCGCTTATTTTTCCCCTTTTTTTTCCCCCTTTTTTTGCCATTTTTGGCCGGTTCAACGGTGGTTTTGAATGGCTTTTCGGAGAGCTACGCTACACAATTTGTTGTCTAACGTAGAATGGAAAGCGCAGAAAAAGCCACAACCATAAGGGAAAGCTGCACTTACCATTAGTTCTTTGTCGGAGATAATTGCGCCGAATGTTATCGACATTACGGGACCCATAAGCGGCGAAACTAACATGGCAGCCACTATATTCGGGGCATTATTCTCGACGAGACCGAGGGCCGCCAGGGAGCTGGGAAAGGATTCGGAAAGCAGGACCCTTTAGTGCTTGTTTTTAATACCGACCCACCGTCAGCTGGTGGAGTCCAGTGAATTAAATTTGTAAGCTTTCCTAGCTACTTTGTACTCACTCGGCGGTAACGATTAGCAGCAGATAGTCGAAGGACAAGGATCCTCCGGCCCGCACTCCGTCCACCACCTGTTTGACTGTTAATTTCGATTTAATTGATTCCACGAAACTGTTCCATTTCGAGGCATCCTCGGCTTCCTCGCTGTTGGGATGGTGGAAAAACATATAAGGCTAAATAAGTAAGCAGCGTCATAAAACGGAATGGGTTGTATGTGTTCCAGCTGTGTAGTTGGCCTGTTTTTTTATTGGAAATGTCTTTGTCCTTATTTTGTGGTTATTTAAGAAATAAAGTTATTCAGAGAACAAATATTCATATGTTTTTAGAATGATTTTCTGATAAAATGATACATAAATTATATATTGATGACTTTTGAACGAGCTTGTGAATGTCTAAATAATTCATATTCAGCATATAAAAGCTTGATTTGAAAAATTGATGACAGAGTCGCCTGTCAATTCTCTGGTTGCGCCTTCATACCTTTCGCATAATTTCCTTTTCGTTTGCAGTCTGCTGCTGATTAGAATGTGGCTCTAATTACTCAACCATAACATCGCCTCAATCATCACCCAAAAATAAACCACAAGCTAACCCCAATTACAAGCTCATCAGGTATGCACATAGGTATTTTGGCCTGTGACAATTCCTTGCCGAGAAGTCATCGGGTGTGTATTTACTGTCGGCTTTGCCATTTCGGCTGAGAGCAGCCACATAAATTGTGAGCACACAGTGGATGCATTTAACCCCTGGCCCGGAGATCCCAGCCCCAAATCACCCGGTTCCCTATGCAAATTCTGACATTTTCACTTTCCAACCCGACGAATTCCCTGGCAATACTCGTTCAAGTAGCTCGTAAGCCTGGCCCCAGGACGTAATAAACTTGGGCCTGGGCCAAGGCCTGCCCCAGGACATCTCCTCCGGCTAGACGAGCCGCAAAGGATAAAAAGCCAAATAGCGATACCGCGCCAAGAGCCAAATGTCACGTTTCCCACGCCAGAAACGGACTGAAAGTGAAAGAGTAGTGCGAGTGAAAGCTAATGAAATGACTGACGCCTTTGACACGTAGGAGAACACTTGGAATTAGTTTTTAACAAAGCGACAGCTGCGGCATCCTGACAAAAGGTACTTCTCCGCTAACGGGTCCACACAAAGCCAGAAAACACAATGCGACCGGAACACAACACCCAGGCGCACGCATCTAAACACCGAACTCACCTGTAGTCATCGCGCATGTTGGCCGCATCTGTGATGGCATCATAACTAACGCTGCACGGCAGCACACTGTGGGGAAATACACGAAAACAAATGAAATGTTAGCAAAAACATTTTTAAACGAATGACGAATATTAATATAGTAAAATGTATATCTCATAGAAGTCGAATGATATATACACTTTTTGGAATAATACCTATTCTTAATTGATTAGAAACTTTTATCATAAAAAGCCTTTTCTTTGTATATAGGCTTTTATATCTATGAAAATGATAAGGTCCTACTCTTATAACAGATGAAATAATAAAAAAAGTAGTGTTAGAGTCTGCACATCGTCTATAAAAATTATTACTCATACGTACTGTTGTCTCTGACTTAATAATTTATTTTCATCCTGGTGCCGTAGACGTGCTCTCCATATTTTCACATTAATTTGAACGAGATCAATAAGTTGACTGAGTTGAAATTTGGAGTACGATTTAAACGATTTTTAAGAAAACTATATCCGGCATACCTATCGTATGATTAATTTTTATGAGATCTTTGAGGCGAAAATAGAAAAAGTTAAAATTAAATTTACTGAATTTCAAATTATTTTATTGCACAACAAAATCATATTAAACGGACTAATGTTTTTAAATTTTATTTATTTTATTTTTATCATTACACGTTTTTTAAGTTACTTTTTACAAAAAGGAATCTTCTGCCCGTTTTTTCATTGTGTAGATACGTTTGAAATTGATATATGCAAGCGCGTATCTGTAACACAAGTCATGCGCATTTCGTGAAATTCAAAGGGTGGAGCAAGAAACATGACTGCTGACATCGAGATCTTGAGATGGGTGGGCTGCCTACGACCGAACATGAATTATAGATTACACGAGTGGCACTCAATCAAGGCAAGATGCATTCTTGCAGCTCCTTTTCTTAATTGAATTTCTGCGCATATTAATCAGCTTAAGTCGTACTTTGTCTACCGGCTACTCAGCTCCTCCTCGAGGGCATGAAAACATCTGCCCTTTGCCCTTCGACTGTCTTAAGGGTCTCCTTTTCAGCCGGTCACACCTTCGACTGCATTTTAATCCCCCTGCTTAATGCTATTAAATGATTATCACACCTACTTGTCTTCCCTGTCTCCCCCACTTTTCCACATTGCAGATACTTTTGCTGTTGTTCCTGCTCTTTTGCCTTTTCATCTTAAATTTACCTGTAGACCTACTTAGTAGTCTGCATTGTTCAGCTCTATTGTATTTTGTTTCATTTAATTACTGTGGAATTTCTACTTGAAGGCAAGGCAAATAATTTGCTTATAGAACTGCAGCTGGATGTTTACTTTTTTGCAAAGGGCTTTAATTGGATTCGTGTTGGGGTACTGTAGTAGCTTCAAGATTGCATTTACATTATCGGGCTATTACGCATTCGGAATAGAGTGTTCCAGCCGTTGCCAAGGATAATCGACTGGAACTATCCAGCGATTTCCGCCTACAAGCAATCAAAATGTGCCACCTCAGGACCTTGGCAACCGATACCGATCCCTCCGGTCAGCCAGGACTCCTCATCTTTCTGCATTTTTATTGCATTTCTTATTGGTACCCAGATATAGTAAGTCCGACCAGCTGTTGCTGGGCTCCTTGACTTGCCCGGCACGTTCCGCGTGGAGTTTTTCGCCGGGTTCCCTCAATCCACCCCCCAACCCCCTCCAATGTCTCAACTTACCTGACACTGGAATTCAATTTAGTGCCAATGCCCAGCTCCGTGAGGCAGTGCAGGGTCGTCTCGCAGGCGGCACCTGCCTGCAGCGGGAAGACGACGTGATGGAAATATCCCTTCTTGCTGGTCGTCCAAGTAACGTGCTCAATTTCCAGCTTGACAAGCAACTCCTCAAGTACCTGGACGAACAAGGGGAGCAACAGCTTAGAGTGGCATTTTCGCCGGCTTATGGCATATAGCTTTTGCATTTAATTGGAATCGGTCCGACTGAATGTGATTATGTGGCACTCGCAGTTGCCCCACGAACTGATGATTGCTCTCGGCCTTGGCCGTCCAAGTGGTGCATCCATCAATCTTGCCAGCCCTGCGAGTCCTAAGCCACCTCATTCGTCAGTATAATCTCCCGCAAGATACAATTTGGGTAACCTTTTACGCAACGCGCTTGAGTCACGTCCTCGCCCGTTAAGTGCATCCTAACAAACGGGGCGACAATCGTTGTCGCAGTGCCAATCGTTACAGCAATCGTAGTGCACAGAGAGAAAACTAAACTTCTTTTAAGAAAGGAACTATCTTTTTATTGCAGAGGCCGACGAAATGGTCCTTTTTTCGTTCAGCCTTTTTGGAGCATAATTTAGGAAAATCAGTGTTTTATTCGCTTGTTGGATTACAAATAAAAAATCTCATATATTAAAATGGTCGTCTCTGATTGCGAAACACTGGGAAAAACGTATGAAAAAAAATTGGACCAAGAACGAAATGCTAAAAATGCCTGATAAAAATTTTAATTAAAAAACCCAACATAAAAGAAAATATTTTTGATTTTTAAACACTGTTTTTTTAATTTCTTTCTTTTTTGGTCAAGTAAATAAAAGCAAAACCGAAGCTCATGTAACTTTTGATTTATTTGCAAAGATAGTACAAAAATGTATTGATCATTAACCATAACGAATAAAATAATGATAGTTCAAATTTCTGTTCGGCCGTGTTATTCATAGTTTTCTGAAATATTTTTAAATAATATTTTCAACATACGTTACAAATTAATATGCAATAGTTTGTATTATTTAAGAAACGTTTCTTAAATCCTTGAAACTTTATATTACGAATAAAAAAAACCGAGCCCTGCTTTGGGAAATCTTTTTTATTTGGTCCTTTATATATTATGGTTAATCCTTTCTTTTATTATAATTGCTGTTTTGCAATATTTGTAAATCTTTTTCTAGCATATATTTTTCTCTGTGCATAAATCGCACTCAAAGTCGGCACAGTACCCTTGTCCTCCTGCACGACTCGCACGAAAATCAACTTTAAGTGCTTGGGGAAGGCATAAAGCTCTGCCCACTTGAACGGACCTTCTGCCGGCGGAGGAGGCACTCGTAACTGACCGTTCGACGACTTACCTTTTCAAGCGGCACCACTAAATTACGTCTGTCCAGCGGCTCGACGACCGTGGAGGTGTCAGCTGCCCCAACTGGAAGTCCTGCTCCTGCGGTGCGCTTGCCTCCTCGTCCTCCTCCTCCTCCCCCGCCGCCCACTTGTCCGATGCCCGGGCCTCCGCCACGCCCACCGCCCGCTCCACGTCGATACTTGGGCACATTCTTGTCACGTAATTCAACTTCGAGTCGTAGTATTGCGTTGTTGTTCTCCGGAAGATTGATGTTCAGATTATTGTTGCCACCTCCATGGCCGGCTGCAGCGACCACAGGATGGCCGAGGTGTCCTGGATGGCTGCCAATGCCACCGGCCGACGTCTCCACCAGGGCATTATTTGAAGTGCCTGGTATGGGTTAATGAAAAGGTGATATGGCCGTGTACATAAACGTAAGCTGATTTGCCATTAAGCTGGACTCTATGGATCCATGGAAGAAGGCAGGAGGTCTGTTTTGTTGTGATCAGTATCCGGAGATACTCAGAATTGCTAAATTAAATTTACACCCACATTTGCATCTCTGCTAAGTACGCTATTGTTTTGAAACGCTGGCTTAATTCGACTCTGATTAGTTAATTCAGGGCAATCGCACTATTTATATTGCAATTAGCGTAAATTGTAGTGATATTTCTGGATCCAGTTAAGCGTTAAACAAATATTTGGTTTTGGCCGCTAAGCTCATTTTTGCTGCAAATTACGCTAATTAAATGTCCGGCTATCGTTAACAAATAGTGGTTGTTGTTATGCAATTATATGGATAACTTATGCTGGGGCTTGAATTACGGTTGCGGATATTTGAATGGGGACCACAAAAAATATAAACACACCGACAAAAAAAAACCCGTGGACTTCGGGGCACTAAGCTCCACTTGCGCTAAATAAATAAATAAAGTGGCAAGCGAAAAATCAAATCAAAGTCTACATAAAAACCACACAAAGGATCACAATTTATTATGCCAACAAGCGGGGCCAGACAGACATCGAAATGTAATATAAATCCCGCCACATTGACAAATGCCAAAATAAAGCTTAAATGCGCTTAGGCCAGGACTTTGGGACCAGGACGAGGACCCTTCTCCAGTACGTCTGAGTTTGTTGCGCATAGTTTCTCTAGTGGCAAAAGTTTCCAAACTCAGCGAATTTGCTCTTGCCCCACCACCTGACTGTGGCGTCAATGGGCCTGGTGCTCCTTTGCCTATTTAATTCCGCCTCGGTTGCCGGCATTGAACATCTCTGTTTCAGGTCGCCATGGAATTGAGGGACCCATGATTTATGTCTGACACCTATGAGAGCCCGGCTCTTCGGCCCTTCAGCTCTCCATCCGAAGTGCATGTCAATTTTTTTGTTCTTCCTAAGTCTTTCTGTTTGCTTAAGTATTTTGCACTCTTTAAGCTGTTGCCAAGGCCAACATTTCTTGCCTACTTTCATCTTACCACATTCAAAATGGCTAAAGTTCGCTGTATCGAAGTATGGTGTACCCTTAAAAACTCGTTTGTATTTTTTTTTTGATACTAACTCTTTTTAAAAGCATTTCTTTTTATACCCTTGCAGAGGGTATTATAATTTTGGTCAAAAGTGTGCAACGCAGTGAAGGAGACATCTCCGACCCTATAAAGTATATATATTCTTGATCAGGATCACCTCCTGAGTTGATATAGCCATGTCCGTCTGTCCGTCTGTCCGTCTGTCCGTCTGTCCGTCTGTCCGTCTGTCTGTCCGTCTGTCTGTTTCTACGCGAACTAGTCTCTCAGTTTTAAAGATATCGAATTGAAACTTTGCACACACCCTTCTTTCCTTTGCACGCAGTATATAAGTCGGAACGGCCGGGATCGGCCGACTATATCCTATAGCTGCCATATAACTGATTGATCGGAAATGCCATAACTCTGCTGTTTGTTAAGTTAGGAAGTTGGGACTCTCTATGGGTATTATATTTGGCCAATCAATCCGACCTACCAAATTTCATAAGGATCGGCCGACTATATCCTATAGCAGCCATATAACTGATTGATCGGAAATGCCATAACTTTGGTGTTTGTTAAGTTAGGAAGTTGGGATTTTCTATGGCGTTTGTTTTTGGCCAATCAATCCGACCTATCAAATTTCATAAGGATCGGCCGACTATATCCTATAGCTGCCATATAACTGAACGATCGGAAATGCCATAACTTTGGTGTTTTTAAAGTTAGGAAGTTGGGATTTTTTATGAGTATTAAGAATGCATCATATGAATAATTTTGGAGGATATAATTTACAGAGTATTCTGCAAGGGTATATCAACTTCGGCTCCGCCCGAAGTTAGCTTTCCTTTCTTGTTTTTAATTTCTTTACTAACTTTAATTGAGCTTAACTGACTGTTTTTCTATCTTTAGCTGGAGTTGCAGACAATGTGATACGCAATTGCCCTAAATCGTTAGATATTTAATAGCTCTTGAACTTTAACTTATTTTTGTCAGAATTCAACCTTGAAATGTTCTATTTTAAATGAGCATTAAATTCGAAAAAACACAATTCCCAATGTAACGGATTTTTTGCAGAGCTTAAAATAAATATGTATCAATAAACAGAAGGTTCAACCAAATAAAAATTTAAAAAAGAATAAGTTAGTGATTGTTTTGCACATTTTTTGGAACAGATGTTTTTTGTTTTTAAATAAACCTCATCAATAAAAAGCATCGAAATCAAATAAAATTCAAGAGAAAAAGTCATGGCCCTTTTTTTTGACAATATGTATTCTGTTTTTAAATATGTGTTGTAAGCACTTACGCTTTTATCGTTTAAATACTCAAATAAGAGATACATTTAGGTTTAAGAAATACTAACTTTAAGGAGTCAACTGTCCCTGTCGGTACTCGATATACCTCGGGCCAGGGTACAAAGGTGATTTATTTTTTCCAGGACCCAAAGCTACTTTGTTCACGCCCCACTCGGAGCCAAGCCCAGCACTTTGCTCATCAGCTCTGTTTCTGCTTCAATGTCATTATCAGACCGGCGATGCCATGGTGACAAACTAAATTAATGATGATTCTCTTTGATGGCTTTTGCCATCGCTGGTTTTGTATTTAAATAAATATTTGATTAATGCTTCTCGCTGAATACGACTCCTACATGCCTGTTTTTGTCGCCGGATTGCAAAAGATGCCATATTTTCTTGATGCCATTTATTTCATAAATTATATTGTTTTATGGGTTTTTATTGTGGGCTTTTTATCGCCTCTGATTGTGATTAATGGTAGCTACATAGGCTAGTGGCGAAAGTTGAGTATTTGCAATTAATACGTCGTCTTATATTCTCAAGGTCTGTGACTGTACTCCTTGAGAATTTCCTTTCTCCGCCGAATCTCTTGGATACAGTGGCTTATTTTTGAAGCGCCACTCAATAGCTTTAACTTTCTTATACATTTTCTCAACCTGTTCGCTCCACATTCCGCCGAACAATTTCTCCGTGGCTAATTAAATTTTAATATTAAATTTTCGTGCTTCGAAATGTGCCACACCGAAAAAAATTGTCTTAGAAACAAAACTATTGTTAGGTGAATTCTAAACAATTGATTATGAAATATGCCTAAATAAAACACCACCAATTACTACAAGATGTCAATATTATTTAATGTTTAATTTTATACTAATACATTTATGCTGATTATGACCAAACTATGGTTAATTTTTTTTGTGTGTACCCTCGGCATCCGCTTGTAAAATTATCTTGGCAAAGTTTTCCAAATGCCGCAATGCTGGGTTAGGCCCTCCGAAAATGCGAAGCAAAAAATCTGCTCCCACGTGTGTTCTGTCCGCCGGGGTTCATGCAACATTTATGGCGAGCTCTTAGGCCCGCAGAACACTTTTACGATGTCATAAAATAATTAATAACGCCACTAAACAACGTAATTACGCGCCTAAACCCAATGCATACAGGTGTATGTGTGTGGTAGGTACTATGTGTATGGATGGTGGTGAGTGGTTCAGATTATGTGGCTGCCGACGCCTAGATAAATGCTACGGTTTCGTGTAAACAAAATTGCAACTTTGTATTTAATTAGGCACGGGCGCTTATTCAATTTGCCGCCAGTTTTTGGCCCTCCTACCTTACCTTACTTACCGTAAATCAGCTCACGTTCAAAATTCGCCGTCGGCACAACGATTAGGAAGACCACGCCCGGCATCCTGTCAGTCTGCGAATGGATAAACCCGAAAAAGTGGCAGTTTAGTTTGCAAATCAGGCTGCGAGGCCGGAGGATCTTAATGGCCTGGCCGAGACCGAGACCGAGGCACTAATTTAAATTCGTTGGCCAAAGACTTGGCAACTCGGCTTGGCCAGGAGACCTGCCAACGCCTAGATGTATGCAACTCCAAAACAGAGAGCCGAGTTCTGCACAACATCCCTCCATTATCCCGACTTCTATACCCAGTATACTGCATTAGCATCTCTGTCCGGTTTCATTTTCGCCTTTCATGCTTAACTTTTCAGAGCCAGAGCAAGTTGCAGCCGCTAATGGGCTCTGAAGGTTGCTATAAGTAGTTTGCGCTGTGTTTGTATTTTTCCAGAAGTACTTTTAGAAGTTCTGGCATGCTGATGGCTTGCAGATTATCGCAACAATTTCTTAATCAAAGAGCAGGCCAACTCGTTCGCTTGGCGAATTCTCGGGCGCAATTTTCCTGTATCAATAAAAGGTAAAATGCTTGCGGGCAAACAGTCTGGAGCAAAGAGAAGTCCTTCGAGGATATTTGCACACCCAGTGCTCCGACTACTCGAAATTAAAATGCCATTAGCACCGAGTTGGGATAAAACCGATGCGAGTGCGATTAAACTGAGGAGCAGACAACGACGCGAAGTGCGGAATAATACTGCCTCTGAAATGCTGATGCCGAGCTCTACGGAGGGCTAACGTTAACCCTCAGCGCTCCTTGCAGGATCTGCTCGAGAGTCCTGTTCTTCCTGGCAGAAGGAGCACATAAGCGAATAAGAACCTGAGATTTAATGGAGCTGCGATTTTTACCCTCCATTGAAATCACTGCGGTTCTCGAGGCACGCCGGCAAGTCGTAAATGCATTTCCCCGCTTGAGATTTACAGAAGACCGGACCAACAATCATACTCTTGGTTTGGTTAACACATTATGTTGTGCACTTCTGTACAGTATATTGAGGTTGCAGAAAAAAATATAGTTTTAGGAAAAAAGTTAAATCAACATGAGCGTATTGGGCAACAAAAGCCACTTAAATTTAGGTCCTACTTTAAGAGCTCAAAGAACTAATTAAATAAATTAATTAATTAAATTGGCATAATAATTTAAGTCAAAGCTATTAGTTAGTACTATAAAATGGCTACAGAAATCACAAGGGTTAAACAAGCAGTTATAAAGGTGGCTAAAAATATTTGTAAGTCTAATGGATTCATTACTAAAGACTGCATACTTCAAGACACCTTTATTACTATTACTTATTTAAAAACTCCCTGAAATAGTTGTAATATAATTCCGCTCTTAAAAACTAAAAGAATTTCGTCAGAATTGCCCATTTATTTTAAGAAGTTTTTGTTTTTTAATTTCGAGTGTATTATCCCGGCGAAAAAGAGTAAACAAGGAAAAGGTTCTCAAGCAAATCAATATTCGAATACACCTTATGAGCAGCCAGTTGTGGGCCCAGTTGACATTTTCCGGTCCTTTCAACTCCGCCAGCACCGAAGGCATGAGGAACTTTTTCCACAAACTGTTGGTTTTTTTTGTTTGCAACACTTTACTTAAAAACTTTTCACAGCAGTCCCAAACAAACGGCCTACTCATACTCATACTCGTGCTCCGGAGGGACAGGGCCTAGGATCCGAACCAAACCATTCCCCTGTCCTGTTCCGGGTTTTGGTCGGACTCGTTCACCCGGTTTCCACAAGCCTCTTAGCAACTTTCAAGCCAAACAACCGAAGCCACTTTGCAGCACGTTCACTGTTGCACTTTTTTTCTTACCACTTGCCATCTTTCATTTTGCGGCATATTTATTAAAAAGCAAGAAGCGCAAAAAATGAGCCAAGGGAAAAATCGTGAATGGGGTGGAAGGGGTGGAAGGGGGGTGAATTCTTTTATATTAACCGAAAATATTTATTTTCTTGCTTGCTGCCTTCGTTTTTGTGCGCACTTTTCTGATTAATTCCGTAACTATATATTTGCACAACTTGGGTGAAGTTTTCGCCGCGACCACTTGTGAAGAGTGCAAAGCCGGAGACTCCAGCCCTTCGAGCTTTACTTTCCACTTCTGGGCCGGATTCCACCGGCATTCACCTGGTATTCGGCATTCGGCATTTGGCATTCTGGCATCCTGGCATTGTCGATCCGAGTGTTTGTGTGCCACCAACAATGGGGCCTGCCGGTAATTTGTATGAGTACCTGCCAACCCACTAATTAGGGCACGAGAATTGCATTAGTTTGGCGTTCGGTAAAAATAATTACAAACTGCAGTGGGGGAAAAAAAAGCGAGCTATCAAAAAGCCAACTGAAGTGCTCCAAGGTTTTTAAAGGGCCCATAATTACTTCCAATAAGTTTTGGCCACACAAACCATAGTGACCAGTGTGCAAACTGGCAGAAGAGACTTTCCCTGTCAGCTTTGATTTCATGGCTTGCCACATTCTCCCGGGAGTTCTTTCGCCTTTCCCACTCTATTGTGAGACTCTAATGCCATCTTAATTAAATGCGCTAATTGGTTATGTCTGGGTGTGGCACGAAAAGGCAAACCTTGGCAAATTATCACCCCCTTTTGCGTCACTAAATAATTCAAAAGGTGCGGAGAACTTAAGACTCGGCACAGTCACTCCTTTGTTGTATTAAAGTTGAAATTTAAGAACAGCCATTGAGTTGAAACCCTTGTGGGATTATGGAGATATGACTCAATAGTGGTATGAATATTTAGGCATGCAACAAAAAGCGGGGCAAGCACAGAAAAAGTTGCTAAAACTTTCAGACAACACAACTAACCACCGTATTAGGACTTAGGTGGACCACCGACCAGCCAAAGCAAACGGCTTTAGCATAATGCATAATCATTTAAACAAGGATAAGCCTTGCCCGGGATGCCCACAAGTCGAGTCCTGCAGCCGGGCATTATGACACACCCTGGTGCAGAAAAAGACCGACAAAATTCCTTTTATTGCCAATTTGAGCGGGAAAAGCTTGGCCCGCAGCTTAAAGCGAAGCGATAAGAACAAAGCAGCCGAAAAGGTGAACTTCCAAGGCTGCTTTAAGCGCTCTCCAGCGTAAGAATTCCAGGTTAATCTTTTTTTTCCCCGCCCAAACTTGCTATCTGCTGCCCGATGTGTGGCCAATGCCCAGTGGTGCTATTTGGCGGAATATATTATCATTAATTTCAAATTATGAAAAAGTGGCGACGAGTTGGGGCTTAGCTAGAAAAGAAAGAAAAGGTAGATGCGCCATAAAGGTTAATATTTGTTTGGCTTTAATACGGTCCCAGATGAGGTGCCCAACTAAAAACATTTTCTCCTTTCCTTTCAGCTTGGTCGTGTTCTGCGCAACTTCAACATCACGAAGATTAGCGATCTGGAACTGATATCAAACTCCACCGATCGCCTGGACATCACCTTCCACTTCTTTGGCATCAAAGGCGACTCGCAGCGTATCCGGGATGCCATCACCAGGATGGTGGAGCGCGGCAGGATTGGGAACTTCACCCTGGTGGCGAACTTCCACCACTTCGATGAGAACCCACCGCTGGGTTTGCTGGTGGGTAACGAGTGAAAGCAATAATCCATCTCTTTTTGCCTTTGTATGGGATATATTTGATTGGCTAGTAGGAATGTGGGTGTAACACATTCAGGCATTTATTTGAAAAGCATTCGCCCAAGTTATCTATTGAAATTTTCCGGTTAGCCTGAATTTTCGCACAAATAAATTTGAAATTCGCTCCAGTCACTTTTTCACTTTGCACTCTGGGCACATCCATCAATTGGAGCCATTCCATCATTGATTTTTGCCGAATGGTATTTTCATTAATTCGCATCCGAGACGGCCATCACGGCTATTAAAAGCGTAATAAATAAACTGGCATCCGCATTACATAGATGGCACTCCTTCCATTTCCGTTACATATTAAACAATAATTTATTAACTATTGAGGCACGTGCGGGAAAGGCGAGCCAATAAAAATAAAACAAAAAAAAACAGAAAACAACAGAAAGCGAAAAATCGGTAATAGCCAATGTAGCAAAGTGCCGTGTTAATAAATATGCACATAAATATGTCAACAGTGTGGCACTTGACACTCGGACCGGCAACGAAAATAATTATTTATTAATTGCGGCCTGTTCGCCCGAACAATTGGCCTCATCAGGCGGCCTGCAATTAAGTGGCATTAAAGTGACGAACAAGCCGCCAAACCTCAGTGGCCCCAAGTTTGATGGGCAGGATGTGAGGGTCCCTCAGCCCACCCTCTCCTCAATCCGAAAACCCCAAAAGCCCGAAACCGAACCGCAGCAGTCCAGTGTCTAATTAGTGTGACATTATGTCTCTTTGCAGGAGCTGAGCGTCAATCAACCGCAATCAGGAGCCCGCGAGGCCAGCGAGTTCATCATATCCTGCACCGCCCAGGGCTCATCCCGGATGCAATTCCAGTGGTTCAAAGACGGTGCGGTGGTGAATGCCAGCAAGGCGACGAGGTGAGTGAACTGTTTGCTATCCAACCGCTGATTGGCGGTGCCAGCTGCTTATCTCGCAGGACCAGCTCAAATTGCAATTCCATAAACTTTCCAACCCCCTCCCCCACATCGAGTCCGGAGTTTTAATAAAATAGTATAAAACGGAAATAGGGAAAATCTCTGGCTCTGCGGCCAATGTCACACTCGGGAAAACAAGCAAGGCCGAGTCGCGAGGGATGGATATGGTTGCCACTGCCACTGCCACTGCCAGCACAAGTGTTCAATTTGACTTTATGACTTTTACACATCAATAAACATGACATAAAAATGCCTGGCAGAATAAAAATGAGACGGCCAAAAAGGATAAATAAGTCAGGGCAAAGATAAAGATTTGTCAGCCGTAGACGACGGACACAGTCGCATTCATAGACATAGTGGGGGAGTCTAAACCGGAGTCTGGGCTCTGGACCAGGCCGAAAGCCAACCTAACCGCAGTAAGCCTGGGCGAATGATTGATCATAAATCCAACAGTGTGGGGCAGCCGGAACACATGTGTGGCCAACGTATACGAATGGCATTCCCATTTGCCCCGCTCCACAGCCCTTCTCATATCCACTTTTCTGGCGGGGATGCATGCGTGGGTGTATTACATAAAAAGCATATGGCCGTAACTAACGAGGGGCTGTTTCTTGGGCGACTTGGCATGGGGTTACGAGGAGCTTAGCCCTTCTTCCACGAACATCAACATCAACGCCACCCACCGACGGAGGACCATGTTGCCTTGACAATTCGCCTTGCAGCCGCACCACAAAGCTCAAACTTTAAATGTGTTGCGTGAATGGCAAACGAGGGAGACAGAGGTCCTTTTGGTGGGTTTTGGTTCAAGTGAAGGGAAATACGACATGCCGGAGTGGCTTCTAGTGGGGTACAGATGCCGATACAGTTCGCAATTCATTAACAAAAATTTAAGCGCTGGCAGGAATGCTTCTAGTATTTGGGAAAAAGGATTCTTTGGCAAAGGCACACAACGAAACGTTGCCAAAATTTAAGTTTAACAGCCCTTGAATGTGCTCTCTTGCAATCTTTAATTCATGGCAGTTATAATTTCTTTGCTTTCAAAACCATTCGAGTTTCTCAAATTATCATTTAGATATGAAGCATGAAAATCATTTACATTCTATGTAAATATTCTTAAGAAACCTTAAACTTGGCATGCTTTGCTTCATAAGGAAGGCCCTAGTTTCTTTCTCCATTCTATTCAAACAAAATATTAAGGGATAAGAGTATCACTAAAATAAAATAAAGAAAACCTAACAATTACTTAAACAAACTCCTATTCGCTTATTTGTTGTTTGGTAACTCATGTATGATTACATAAACATACACAAATTTACCATATTCTGTTTGTTAAAGCACAGAATACATAACTTCTTATTCAATCACCAGATAACTATCAAACTGATAGCCGAGTGCATTATTTTTATTTGGCGTTCGAATCAACGATTGTTCATCCGTATATTACCTTTCAAATAAATAAATGAAGGGCTCCTCCCCGCCAATCGATAACCAAATCTATTCTCAGAGTTTGTGTTATCCTGTGAAGCCAACTATGCGTTTCCCAACCGGCAACTGCCAGCTGGTAGAACAATTCGGACCCTTTCATGGCCATTCCGCCAGCCCCATCCAGTCGTGGCCCGGACTTATGATTACTTTTATGCATATTTGTACGTATCCCCCATGTTCGTAACATATTCCGACTTGCTGCAGGACCTCCACGTGGCAGGCAGTCCTTCGCTTTGCCCAACGTGGCCCACTTAGACGCATTGATGTGTAAAAAATGACTGCCGTACACAGCCGCAAACACATGTTTCCCCCAACGAGGGGAAAGTATTAGTAAATATTTTAACTAAAGTGAAGTGAGTGAAGTCATTCATTTGGACATTTACCAACTTTGCATTATACAAACGACTACACATTAAATCCGTCCGATGACTTTACTTTTGCGTACTAAAATAACCGGAAGTAAGTAAATTTTTAATGCTTGATTTCACCGTACGGAGCTGCTCACTTAGGGAAATGTAATTTATTATCAGAATAGGACCAATACTAGCCCTTGATCAGTTTGCACGAACAGTATTTAAAACCAATTGGTAAACCTAGACAGTCTGCATATGCAATGGTTACATATGTACATAAAAAGATACTATTTCAAAATGCAGTTTATATTCATAGTCAAAAAGGTGTGAAGCTAAATATTTAAAAAAATCTGTCCTGATTTCTACCTTTTAAGCTGCCCTTTATATTTTTCCTTTAAACATTGTAGGTAAAAATATACAAAATGTAATCAAACTTTTAAAGATATTTAAGGCCAATAAATTTATGTAGTAATTTTTTCAAATCGTAATATTTTAAGTACCATACGTTTGAACTAATAACCTAATTATGGAGAATATGGTCTTCCGAAAAGACAAAATAAAGTTAACTAGTTTACCTTTCCAAATGCAATATCAAGAGAGACTCAAATTCAAAGTTGATACCTACATTAAGCAGCCTTTAAGTTCGAAACCGGAGGCGTTCGACCGTTAATCTATTGGATTGCCAGTCGCCGAATTGTGACCCAGTTAGCAGATGTTTATCGAAAGCAGCTCAGAGCCATACCCAGGCCATAACCCACTTAATGAATGCAATTATTTTCCAATCACGGCGCTAACGCATCCAAAGCTGGCTGCTACGGAGCCCGCAAGTACGGCTAACTGGGCCCAAACTCCCAGGTCGGGCTTTGATTAACATGCCTTGGCGTTCGCATTGCCATTGGAAGGCGGCAGTTATGTACACACATGTGTGAAATAATCTATGGCTGCCACCAGGGTTCGGCCATTAATTGCGCCCCTAATCCTGTGTCCTTTACAATGTGGGTCGCAGGATTGGCGTGGGACAAGGTCGAAGGGCTGAATTAGAGCCACAACGCCACTAATACCATTATTAGAGTTGCGGCTAAGCAAATACTTCTCATTGAGCCATCTTCGATTGTCTGATTGAGCTCCGATATTGAGGCACTTAATTGATTTTCGAAAACTTCTCAATTCACTTCATTCATTTGATTATCTTTAAGTCGTAACTCTTACTTTTAACTTGTGAACACTTTTAAAGTCGGAAATCAACTGAGCTGATTTTTGAGTCTGCCAAACAAGATAACTTTTGCCACATTTTATTCGTTTAACAAATTGTTGCTAATTCCATAAACAGGAGGTTGTGAGAATCAGTTGGACTACATATCTTTGACGTATTTTACAACATTGTGCTATGTAAGAGTCTGTTCGCACAGAGATACACAATTTGTAGCTGGCAAACCAATTGACCTTTTAAAGAGGGAAATGAAAGTCCTGCTAATATTGGCTTAACCCTAAGCACTTGCGTAATCTATATTTGTCTCAGCGCTATGAAGTGGAAGGGCTTGACTGCCTGTCAATGCAATTTTCAACCCTGCATCCCATCTCTTGGCCCCTTTTCCCGAGCCAAGAACAAGACTTTGGCTGGGACCAACGAAACTGTTGCCGTCACTTTTGGCCGGGCTCTGAAAATTTGTCAAACTTGCTTAAAAGCCAAAGGAAAAATTCAATTTCAGCAGCCATGCAGCAAGCAGCCAAATTGCCTGACCCCAGCACGAGACATAAGTAAAATATATTTCGTATATATTTTACAAATTGGCTCAACCCGGGGCAACAGTAGTACAAAATAGCAGCAACAAAGAGGCAACAACTGTCTTGACAACGCAACGTTGGCGTTCTCTAGGACAATCGAATGCAGCTCATAGCTTAAGCTCCGAATACAGGGTGTAAAGTCGGTGGTTATTCTGCCTGATGGGATTACACAAGAAATTCAATCCGACATGATTTTATTCTTTTCAACCAAAACAATTATCTGGTTATTTACATTTGCCATATATAACTTTAAAGTTATCACCCTGTATTCAGTTCTCTGAGTGCTCATCCAGCCACACTAAGAAAAATAGCTCTTTAAGATCTGAATTTTAAATTGTAAATCAAATCGAAATAATATATTTTCAATACAATAATTTATTCTTGATGCAGTATTCCTTTTTCTGTCCGTGTTCGCCATATAAATCTGCAACTTGTACTCTTTATGAAAGAATTGTTCTTGTTTTTCCCAGTACATCTATATCCAACTTGTATTCTCCATGGAAGAATGTCTTAAAATCAAATTCTTGTTTTTTCTCAGTACATCTATATCCAATGTGGGGGGTCACGATTTTCATTAGTTTCATTTGCCACAATGCGTCTGCCATACTCGTCTGCTCGTTTCCTTGGATTTGCTCTGGTTTTTTGTTCCGGGGTGACAATGGTACAATTAGTGACAGCGACACCATCGCCATTCGCTGGGCACTCCGACTGCGTCCTTTCAAAATTTGGCATTATCTCATAACTGGCTCAACTCGCTGTGCAGTGTTTTCCTCGTCCTGTCTTGTCGCTCTTTCCAATTCCGGCTGCTTGGCGCCATTTGTGCAATAAAAGGACGAAACTTCAGCGGCTGATTGGAGCGTTGCCGGGACGGGTATTGATCAAACAGTTTGGCTGGTGGGACAAGGCTGAGCCCCACTTTCTCGGAAACGCGTGTCGGTCTGAAGGAATGCGATACAGTCAAGCCTCATAATGTTGGATTTAATGAAAACTTACTTCGAAGTTTGATAAATTATGATTTAAATCAAATTTAGACTTTCATCATAATATCATCTTAAGTATTTGCTTTAAATAAAGAAGCTGTGAAAGCTTAAAAAAGTTGTAAAATATTGAACATTGTTGAAGTGTATTGAATATGGTTGAACATTGTTCAATATTGTTGAATATTTTTGAATATGGTTGAATATGGTTGAATATTGTTGAATATGGTTGAATATGGTTGAATATTGTTGAATATTTTTGAGTATTATTCTACTGCTGATCATGGTTGAATGTTGTTGAATATATTGATAGCAATGGTTCACCAGTTTCACTTATAGAAAATGGACTGTTATTATGAACGGCATTGAATGCGGGGCAAAAATAGTTTAGTAGCTGAGGCAGTAGTGCCAGGTACAGTTGTGCAGCTCCAAGTTCCGCCGATTACCATACCCTCGGCGGGCATACCCACTCAGTTAGCTTGTAAGAGTCGAACAGGGCGGAGGGCAACGGTTTTTTTGGCCACCTAAGCCAAAAATCAACACGCTTGCTCCGTGTCCAACGAACCGGAGTGCGGGCAGTCGGAGCCATGCCCATCCACTGGGACTGGGACTGGGAGCACGACCACGAGCATGGTGGGGGCCACCACCACTGGCCACCGCCGCGTCGGCACTGGTCCACCGGGGAGTCGAAGTGCCGCCAGAGGCACTACTACCTGTCCCACGACCTGGACGTCTGCGCCCGCGACTTCCACCTGCGGATGGACGACAGTGCCTGGTGCCATGGATCCTGCCTCGTTGGACGCGTGGTGATCGAGACGGGCACCGAGCCGGACTCCCTGGGCCGGGGCACCTTCAAGGTGGTGCTGGACGTGCACCACTTCCAGATCGCCGAGCTGACGGTGAAGGCCCGGAACAGCGACACTGTGTGCGTGGAGGGCAAGCAGTCGGATGACCGCGCGGACAAGGGTCAGTTGTGCATCACCCGCGAGTTCACGCGATCCTACAAGCTGCCCCGGCACTATGATGCCACCCAGGCCCGGGCCACCTTCTCCGCGGACGGGATCCTCATGATTACGGTCCCCGCACCGCCCAAACTGGACGACGTGGAGCGCCTGGTCGAGATCGAGCCCACGGGCAACTACTTTGGCAGCGTCTCCGATCCCACGGCGGCCAAGGCAATCGAGCAGGCGGAGGCGAATGGCGATGGTGGCGATTCGAGTCCTGCTGGCACGGCGATGGACAAATGAAGCCGGCGACGTCTGGCGGTTGCGCGGGGCTGGAGATTCCTCTTCCCAATTTGGAGGCGGAAACCCAAACGCGTTTAGGCCGCCAGAGGCAGTCGATCGGTGGGCAAGGAGCTTAGAGGGCGGAACACATCCCAGGCACCAGGCACACGCACGTTGGAGTACTTCGCAGAAAATAGTTACTTGGATTGTCCTTATTTTCCTACATAGCTAGCACGTAGACTCTCGTTCGAAACGTGAGCAAATATGGCGCGGTCAACATTGTTCAAGGGTTTTCTTAAGATAGCTTCAATATAACGTTAAATAGTTGACAAACGCTTGAGATTTTGTTTCATGCCAATAAAGGACTTTATCAGAAAACAAAATGAAGGTGTTTTGTATTAAATTTAGATTGGGAAATATGATAAAAAGTAACTAATATAGATTCAAATCACTCTTAATTTGGTTTTTTTCGGGTTTTCGGATGATGAATGAATAGATAACGAAGATTCATTCCATTGGATTGTTATTTAAAATACAATCTCACACAAAATATTCGCCAGCTAATCGCCAAAACAATCCCAAATCAAGGATAAATCATGCCTCTGGGAAAAACCCGGCTCGGCTACAAATCCCAAGCGAATTGGATTTCTCGCTGCTCTTAACTTTCCTGTCACGCAGCGTTTGATTAGCGTCAAATTTGAATAAAATTCACTAACACCTTTTGTGTATTCTTCGTCTGCATCTGACGCTCAGCCTTTTTCCTAAGGCAACATGGCCCATAAAAAGACAAAAGAAACCCAGATAGTCAGCAAAAAAATAAGGAAAAGACACCGACATATGTATGTAGTTTGCTTATCGACCTAAGAAAATTCCGAAAACATGGTGGGGCATCAAAAAGGCAAAGGGAAAATACTCGTGATATCATGTTCACCCTATTCCAAGTTGTTTCTTGAGCACAAAACGTTTGGGTGTTATCGAAAAACCATCATGAGCTAAAGAAAACCAAACGGAAAACCTCAGTAATTAAACTTATTACTGACTGTACTTTGTGCTGCTAAAACTTACTTGTATAGTAAAATATTAAACGAGGTCAGAAAGTGTTGGTTATCTTTTCTGTTGCACCCTTAAGTTGCCCCAATTTTTTACCCAAAAAAAAAAAACAAAACTTGAAAACTCCGGGGCGTGTGGCATACTTCATAAGAGCCCAATCAGGCCTTCGGCCTTCTCCGTTTTTGATTTGGTTTCCGTCCCTTGCAATTTAGCTGTTGAGACACGTTTTCTTGTTACGATTGTAATGAAATTTGCTACATCTTGAAGTGAATTGTTGCAGGCCGCAGCCCACAGCCCGGCATCTGAAAAAATTGCCACCGAACGATGGGACAACGAGGTCGCGTACTTTGTCATCGTTTTGTTTTTATGCGTAGTTGCGTTTAATAAAGTTTTTATATGGCCCTTGAATGAGGCGAACCGACGGACGGACGGTGGGACGGACTGTAGGATCTCCGGACTTTGGACTCCCTTATTTCTAATCAACTTACGGTTGCGGAAATGCCGCCTGCAGCTTTAAGATATTGGACCGACTGCCGGGCCGTGGCATATTCATATTTACGAGTATGGAGAAGGACGGCGATAAAATATTCAGCAGAAAAGTAACTTCACAATTTCAATTTCCCCTGCTATTGGTGCCGGGGACAAACCAAAATAACACAACGATAATAAACACCTACACACCAATTTTATGAACTCATAAAACACTCGGATGGAATCGTATTTTATATATACCCCGCATATGAATGCGAGAGTGCGAATGTTTGTGTTTAAAGCACTGGGAAGTAGGCAGTCCTATAAAAAGCCCATATGCAGCTCTTCCGCTCCCAAGCCCTAGAAAAACATCGAACATCGCCGGGGGCCATTCCCATTGTTGTTTTATGTTTCGCTGGCCAGAGCTCACCAGAAATCGGTATGCGGCCCACAACTAATTTTTTATGGCCTTTGATCCATTGTCGGTCCGATTGAATGTGTTTCTGCCAACTTTTCAATCGGGCTTTAATCCCACATCCCCCGGGGAGTCGTCAACTTGTGAGCGACACGACCGAGTGGGTGAAGGCCGCGACAACTAATTACGCAAATTGATGTGACATCAGACGATGTCGGATCACAAAAGTTTACTCCTCCAAGGGGACACAATACACCGGCGCTTTTCCCGCCCAGTCGAGCTGCTAAATTGACAATACTTAAAGCAATGGTGGCAAAACTGAACAGTCACACATTATCATAATAAGTTTGGTCTTTGGCTTAAAACAAGAAAACATTTTACATTAGAGTATTTATTATTTTGATTATCAATAAAGAGTAATCTCTGCAAATGCACCTTTAATTTTCATATATTGTGGACAAGTGGACTCAGTCCTTTTGATAAAGCCTATTTAACGTATACGTATTAATATTACGTATACGTAAAGGCATGAGTGACACATAAATGTCTAGTGATCTAAAGTCACTTGGAAAAATATTATATTTAAAGAGGTATTAATAAGTATCGGGTAGTCAAGAAAAACTTTTATTTAAGTAAGTACGTGATTAGAATATATTTACATAGTCCTAAAAGAAATCTATAGTACCTAATTTTAAATAAAGCACTTGTTATCATACTCCCCAAGAGCTTAAGAACTTTGACCACTTCTTTATCCAAAGAGCCCCTAAAAGTTCGATTAAAAATCAAAGATTACTCCGGAAATGTGCTGAATTGGCATCACAATCACTGGTTAGGTAATCTGTGATGCTGGAGCGTGTCCAACAGAGTTTGCTGACATCGTAAGAGCGCGCCAGCAGTGGCGTCGTAATTGCTCCATTGAACTTTACAGCCAATGAGTTGTTATGAGTTGTTTGACCAGCAACCAAAGCACACCAGCTGAAATGAAGCGCAGATTTGGATTCCCCCGTCATGAACTGGCATCCTGCGATCTGCTGGGTTGCAGTTGTGTTTACAGGACATGCACACAGGCACGCACGCCTACGCAAAGGCATTTTGCGGGCCATTTGTAGCGCGTGCAACTCCGTGGTGGGATGTGTGTGTGTGTGTGTGGGGAGGGGGTAGGGATTAGAGGGGGCCTGCGGACTGGCAAATGCATTTTGCAACTGCAGCCGAACACGGGAGGAAACATTGCTGCCCCTGAAGCAGCAGGACCAGCACCAAATGCACTTGACGGAGATGGTTACGTGAGGGAAATCGCATTGGGAAAATGCATCATTAAGAAGAAAGGAGCTGCGACCACTGAGACCGGATCCTGAAATACCCTGGCAGAACCATCGGCGTAATCTAATAATGGATTTGTATGTGTGGCACAGGATAATAGAGTATCCTTTGGGAAACAAATCTTAACAGCTGAATTCCGATTAGATCAGATTACTGCATTCAATTGCTGCCTTATTTCAATTCAATGTGCTATTTTATTCAATGTGCTTATTTCAATTCAATGTGCTATTTTGTTCAAATTAGCTAACTTTATTTCTTAAATAACTAATTGTAATAAATTATATAATGTAGAAGCTTTTCAAAAAATCAGCTAAGGAACGTTTCCGTCTTTTAAGCACTTTAACGAGAGTCTCGTTAAAAACGAATACCAGCTGTCTGTCGTAAAAATAAATATGTTTAAAGTTGAAACAACTTTAAGATTATGGTGCAAACAGCTTAAATGGAAAAAAAATCACATGCATTAGGAATTCGGATATGCTTTCTTAACTACGTACTTCAGTGTGGGTATACCCCTTGCGAGGGCATCAAATTGAGCACACACCATGAAGCGAATCGAATGGGAATCCAGCCACCAACGACCCAAAGCGAATAATGTTCATCTGTTTCGAACCGATATTAGATGGCTACCAATAGAAAAAAACTCCATCTTCTTTGGCCATCACGAACGCATCGCTGAGGTCCTGTTTGTGCGGCGACTAATCCTTAGTCCTGCGTTGCAGTTGCTGCCGTTGCAGTTGCAGTTGCCGATGCAGTTGCAGTTGCAGCGGCGGGGAATGCAGTGGCATTAGTGGAGCTGCTGCGGCTTAGCCAGCTTCCTGGACTCCCTGGACATCCTGGACGCCATTGCCATTGTGCCAAAGCCGATGTCAATCCTGCCTAGGCCCATTTGCTGTAAGCGGGACGAGTCCTGTGGACGCTTTGCTGTTTTTGCGGTTGTTGTTTGCGAATCGGCGAGGACGTAGTTAGTACGGCTTTGGTGTTGCTGCCGTTGCTAATGTTGCTGCTGTTGCTGCTGTTGCTGTTGCTGCTGCATTTAAGCGTTACGCACTTCCTGCTGGGAATGTTATTACTTCCGTTGCCATTTAATTGATTTTGAAGGTGCGTATTTGGCGGTCCAAGGGGAGGGGGCGACCTGGGTAAGGCATTCTTCCGCCCTGAGCAATTAGTAAATTGTAGGTTAAGTGCTCTGCATGCGAAAGCCCAAAAGCCAATGCCCATCACCACCCCAATCCCCATTTCATAGAAAACGCATTTTTAGACGTTACACCTGTAAATAGCCGTGGAGTGGGTGTGCGGTTAAGGAGCCTACCACCGCACTGCGAAAGTGCGGTTTTTGGGCACTTTTTCGAGGCTCTTGTCGGTGTGTGTGTGTGTGTGCCGTGACGTCAGCGCTATCCATGCGTAAAAGTTATTAGTGAAATGCACTCACCCGGCGGAAGGCAGGAAGGAAATAAGGAAAGGGCGCAGGTGGCAGTGGCAATGGCAAGCTGCAGATGTTTGTTGGCCACGAAAACCTCAAACAGCACTTAAGTTGTTGCCAGCTGGAAGGTTTTGGTTTTCGGCATTCGGTTTGCTTTACTTAGTGCTCTATGAAAGAGGCAGGTGCAGTCGCAAGCTGCGATTTGCAGCTCTCGGGAGGATTATGAGGCACACGCCTAATAGGCTTAGCAAGCATTTTCGACATCTTGCACAACTTTTGCGCAAGCTGCTGACGAACTGAATTTAAATTCGCAATTACAAGATTCCACATCGCTTGTCACAGACACGAGAGCCGTGATTTTCGCCATCCTCATCCTCTGTGAGTAATTGGATGCGAGTTTATACTTTCAGTCATCAAATTCCAGCTCGCTTATCTCAGACAAGAATGTGAATGAGACTGAAACTTTCACCACACACCCCCCGTCCCCTGAATAGTGTGATTGATTCCCGAAGCCCTCGACTGATGAGCCACATAAATCCCAGCCAGAACTCCACGTTCACATCCCTGCCAGCCGTGCACCGACCTATTTATCCATGAAACCAACAACTATTAACAATTTTAGCAACAATGCGCTGCCGCCGCATTCGGGGCATTTCGAAAAACATTTGAAAATGAAACATGTTCCCGCTAATTGACTTCGAACCGCAGCATCCGCGATTGTTTCCCCATTAGCTATGATTTCTTTCGGGGAATGAGCTTCGGGATGGGGCCGTGATAAGTGAGCTGCTATTAGTGAGCCAATTAGCGGGCTGCAGCAATATGATCCAGTTCACTTGGCTCCATGGAACACGGCACATGACTTATGGCATATGGCATATATGGCATATATGGCTGCTCTGGGCGTGAGAATTAATGCATGACTGGCACTGTGCGAATCGGTTTCAAGTACTCGCGGAAACCGAAAGTGGAGTGCTAATTAGCATGACTAACTAACGCTTTCATCTGCACTTTTCAGGGAAATCTGGACCACTGTCCTACCGCCCGAAACTAAAGATGTCTACACCGCGATTCTGGGCGTCACCAAAGCGAGTCGGATCGACGAGGGCGTCTACAGCTGTAAGGTGAGTTATCGTGTACAATTGAATTTTAAACTAAATGTACAAAACTAACACACCAGTTGAATTCTTTGTTTAAAAAGGGTTTTTTTTATTATTCCATAGGAGTAAGAATAGCTTTCTTTTCGGTAGGAGTAGGAATAGTTTTTTTTAGATATTAGCTATTTGTATTTTTCTTTTTAGATATTTATTCACTATTATAATTTAACCGGACAGCAAAATAATAATCTATTTTTTACTGTATCATCACACAAAAATGGGAATACATTTATTTTTAAATTTTAAATTTTCTTTATTTACATTTATACGAAAAGTATCTAACGGCAACCTCCACCAAGTCCAATTTTGTTGTCTTGTGCTATTAGCTGAATAAATTCTTAGAAAACAATTGAACAAGAATATTCAACTGCCTTGATTTGTCTCGGATTTGTATCTAATTTTAAACTAGGCCAACATTAATGCTACCCATCACGTGCACATCAAAGCATTAAAAATATGTTAATCTAAGCCGATGATCTGGTAATTCCACTTGGGCCTGTGGTATTTTTATAATGATTCCGGTTCCCCGGGCACTTTCAGGCCTTCGCAGACAGACCGTAATATTTTCAGCTGACTAATCAGTCTAATTGCCATATCGCAGTAGGCCAGAGCTATTCCGAGAATTGGATCCGTCTGGGAAACCCCAGTGAAGGCCACATAATTACATTTGGCTTTGCTGCGTTCTGTTCACGGCTCTGTTCTTCACTTTCGCTATAACGTTGCTTTTAATTAGACTAATTAAAATATGGTAGACCGGCCAGATGGAAAGGAGTGATGATGGGAGAAGAGCTTCACCGAGAGGAATGTGGGCATCCATTGCACTTGAATGGTCTTTCTCAGTGGCCAATTATATTTTAATCTATGGTATTAAACATTCTTTTGACTGCGGCTTCCGGGGATGAATTTACGTTCGCCCAAAGATGATTCTAAGCCCAACTTTGGTTCCGGACTTTCCCGGTTTAGGGGCCAGCACTAAATAAGAGTTTTAAATTGTTCCACACCATTAGACCCAAAACTGCCCGGCTCCCGGGCCCACATCCCGATCCCGGCCATCCGGTAGGTCCTTTTCTTTACGGCTTAGGTAATAACATATTACGCAAATGGCTTGTAAAAAATATTGGCCCGCCGTAAAAGAGGCCAAGTTATCCTGCCGTACGTACACGTGAAAAGTTTCCCAAGAAAGTTGGCCGCCAAGTACGTGGACACATGACCGAGGCACTTGGCGGTGTCCATGGATGGGAAGTTAGTTATAAATCAAATGGTAATTTGATTGCCTGCCCCACGGGAGATTGTAATAAAATGTTTACGTTTGTTGTGCGTATAAATCAAATTCGGAATTGTTGCAAACTCAATTGAACTTTGGCATTAGCATAATAGGTTTTGATTCGGGACAAAAAATCGTTATTTTTGCTGTATTTTTCACAGATTAAAGAAGGACCAAGAACGCTTTAATTCCGTAACTAGGGGCTGCAACCACAAAAAGCGTCAGCATCTGTTGCACCACAGCCATCCAGCTGGCGTTTCTTGGGGCCCATTGTATTTAGTGCCTGGTCCGAGGCTCTCCGAGGGGATTTTGTTAAGTTCTTTATGGGGGAGCCAGCATTTTCAGCTGCCTTTGCCGCTTTGTGCCTTTAGCGCGCCTCGTGCCGCTCACTTATTATTGTCGCTGCTCCCCCGTAATGACGCAGCCAGATCAAAGGCAGGACTTGCCACGACGTGGCAAGGAGGATAAGGACAAGGAGGGGGGAGTGCGAAACGCTTAGCAGCTGCAACAACGGAACGATAATCAGGAGGGCTGGACTGAAGCTCAGAGCTCCGAGCTCCGAGCTCGGGCCCTGAAGGTCGATTGTGCCCACGTCTCGCAGCTGTTTGCTGAAAACTCGAGAGCATGAATCCTTTTCAATAACACGGCCTCGAGGTCCAAGTCAATAAAGCGCCTGCCGATGCCTCCACGGCCCATTATGCGTTGGGGACTAAGGACTGAGGACTAAGGACTGCATGTCCACGTCCATAACTTGTCGGTGGAACACACACACAAAACATACAAACACACACACAGCGAACGTACATTTCTAATGGGGCGTGTGCCCTTGCGCATTTATTATTTATGTATTGATATTAAGTATACGCCTTGTTGCAATTAATTCATTTGCCTTGGGGAACGCGGGCGTCCTGGGTCCATTACGTGCACAATGGCCCAAAGCGATTCTGTCTTAAAGCCGGCTGCATTAGCCCCACTTCTTAAGCCATTTCTGTTTTTGCAGCTTAAGTGCTCTCGTGATTAACAGACTGGTCGTGGATGGTATCATCAGCTTACTATAATAAGTCAGAGTTGTGCATTCACCAGAAGGTCGTACAACTATTACAGTTCAAGCAGGCGACCCAAATATTTAGAGCAATGCAAATTAAGCCTGTTTCTGGTTTTCGTGGTTCAATTTCCAAACCACAATGTTGTCAATATCCATTAGCCTAATAAATGCTGGTGGCTCCGGAATAACCTATTTTATGAACTATTAATTCCGTTGGAGTGTTGTTCATTAATCGAGAAGAGGGGAGAAGAGAATGTTTAGCCATTCCAGGGCACAATGTGTTGTTTAACGACTTGGCCCGTTAATGAGACGCGACTTATCCGGGCCAATAAAATACCATTTGGCTATAAAAACCGCTCAACTCGGTAGCGAAGTTTTGCAGTCGGCCAACGTCGCAGCTTAATGAGTTAATTGGCATTTGGATTTTGTGGCCGGCAAAGATTTGTTGACGTTGCAGAGTCGTAAATGACACTGCAAAGCCAACGGACATTTCACGATTGTGTGGATTGCAAAAGAAAATTTAAAGCCGCCATTGACATAAAAAAAGCAACTAACCTTTGGCTTACACTAAGAGCGTTTCGCTGTCTATTAAATGTTTCCGGATCGACTGAGGCCAAGTGCCCGTGGGGCTGGATATCAGACGAGGATGCAGGAAAACCCAGCCAGACAAGTGCGATACCTTCACGGTGGTGACAATGATGCCGCCCCTCGTTAGTTGTATCATTTTTCTATTTCTTTCTTTTTTTTTTTAAATTTGAAGCGGAAGTTTGCTCAGCATCTGGCACACTTGTGCCCATCATCATCTTCATCATCATCACCATCTGCATCGTTGACAGTGTGGCAACGTCTAGGTCTTTCTCTGTGAAGCGACAGCCACTGCACTTGGAAAAAGTAAATATGAAGTGAATAAAATCATAATAATGGAAACCAATGCTCTTCTTCGTTAAACGATTGAATTTAAGGAAATCACGTACAAATTAAAGTCAAATAAAATAGAAGGGAATATTTTGATGTTTCTTAAGGACTAAAGTCATGTTAAGTTTGCACATTTATTTAAAGTGCTTGGGGGACATTAACTTTCTGAATATTCTGTAAAAGTTTATCTCAATAAAAGCTCTTAACTAAAGGCTATAAAATTAATATATTTTGGTTCGTTTTGCAGTCCGAATAAATTCCAACTTGTGTAACAACAGACCTTCTAAAGATTTGAAAATGAACATCTTTCACTGGCGGATTAAAAACTAGAACCCTAACATGACATTGACAAATCGGCCCCTTATCACATTTGCATTAATAAAAGCTCACTTAAGTAACTTTTTCAAATGTAAATATATTCAATTATGATTTTTACGAGTGTAAACTCTATGCTTTCCCAAAGGATGAAATGCAACAACGGCAGGATCAACAAAGCAAGTTTACAATTCGTTTGCTTGCCAGCCGCGTGGAAATAAATAAATGCAAAGGTTGGCTCAAACCCACACGGCTGCACTGAGGCTTTAAGTAGCCATCCCCTCTTGGCCAAACAAGTGGTCGTAAATACTCATGCTCGTGTGTGGTTGAAGAGTCCTTGAACCGGCGAAGGATTGGCTGGACATCGCCTGACTTACCGTTCGAGTGCCTAGGCAAATACTAATCCCAGCTCAATGCCTGATTTTGTTACGACAAATACATTTTGCAATCCCGTTCGGGCAGTTAAGCCTTTAAATTACATTTCATAAACTAATACATGAGGCTCAACGGCAGGCCGAACCGAGATTTGCCGTTTGATTTATGACTGCATTTCACAATCGCCCCAAGTCAAACAGCAAACCCAAGCAAAATCAGGGCTCGTCATATCCAATCAGCACACAATGAAGATGAAGTCTGCCTGACTAGCAAATAAGTCTATTAAACAAATCCTTGGGTTCGCAGGCGACGGCTGACATCCTTCGAACAGAAGCCGGCCACAATTGTTTCCCTTGTCTCGAGCCGTCGTGCTTGAAAAGGACATCGCCAGAGTCCGACCACCAGGATGTGTGCCCTGCTCTCAGACAAGGCTGTTGATGGTTGGCTGCTTGGTTAGTCGACTCTCATTGTTATCAATGCACGTACAGCAGGGGTGCTCTAAATATGTCATCCAAATAATTATCATTACCAAATTTAATATGGATATTATTATTATTTCTAAATCTTCAGTAATCTTACCAATCGAGCGGATTCAGTCACTCTTCTGACTTCCGTTTTTCGCCTCAATTTAATTTATTGCCTACTTCATTTTTTTCAATGCGGGTTAATTCATTAAAAAGCAACAAACCATGTCATTCGTATAGTGTGTTCTGAGCCATTTTTTTTACATCATTATCCATTTATAAATATTTAATAGGAATAAATTAACAGGAATTATATATATATTTAATTTACAGTTCATTAAAAGAAATATTTTATACAGATATACATTTTTTTAAACAAATAGCTAGTACTTTTAATACACAATTACGTTTAATAAAATGGCATAATTGAAGGTGACAATTTTTAATTAGTCTGATTTGAATTAGTTATGTGAAATGTGAATATATCACTCTAACAATTGAAATGCATTATCAACAGTAGTTCGGATTAATGATACAATCCTAATAAAAAGCGTATTTCTGATTTCCCAGTATATATTTTTCTTGACCACCACTGTGTGACTCTGTTGATATGAGTAATCAAAACGCATGGCATTCGGGTCTGCCGCTGACGGGCGTTTCTTGTGGCCAGTCCCTCTGACTAGACTTTGTCTAATGAGCCCCACTTACCAACTACCGTATCTCATCCCCCTCCTCTCCTCCAGGTCACCGACTGGGGCGTGGAGCAGTGCCGCTCCCTGCACATCCACATCAAGTCCCCGCCCCGTCTGCGCGTGGATCCGGCGAGTGTGACCTTGCAGCGGGGGGATTCGCTACGGGTGCGATGCCTGTCACCCGGCAACGACGACATCAAGCGGTACGCCCAGCTCGGCTACAGCTGGACCCGCAACGGGGTGCTCTTCCAGTCGGACGCGGGCACGGCCATGTGGGAGGACCTCTACCCCGACGGCAGCATCCTGAAGATCAACAACATCCAGAAGTCGGCGGAGTACGCCTGTCTGGTGTCCAATAGTGTGCGTCCGGTGTCCCGGAGTGTTTACATCAATGTCATCGAGCGAAATGCGGCGCATGTGTGTCCGGCGGAGTCCACGTACGGCATCCACTGGCCCACCAGTGCCCCCGGTGCCCCCATCATCACCGACTGCCCGCGGGGATTCGAGGGTCACCTGCGACGCATCTGCGAGCAGCGGGACACGGGCAACTCCACCTGGCTGCTGCCCGACTTCTCGGGCTGCGTGAGGGACGAGCTGCTGCTCATCTACAACCGCTTCCTGGCATTGAGTGCCGGCTTCCAGCAGACGAACTCCTCCAACATCCTGAAGTCCTGCTTCGACTTCACCCTGCAGCGGCGACACAGCTTCCTGCCCGGCGAGGCAAGCTTCCTCATCGACATGCTGCACGAGGTGAGCCGGGGATTCCCCACTGGGGACATGACATGGGGTGACTTCGGAAGGCGAAGCTCAGAAGGGTATTCATGCCCAATCACTTTTATGAGAGCAGCATTGCCTTCTGATTCCGGTTAGACTCAGTTGGGTTTACAAGCAGGTACATTTGTCAGCAATAAAGGAAGAACCTTGAGCAAGCTCAAAAATAGAATTTCAATCGGCAATCTCAGGGACTTTGAGCCAGTTACCTTTAAAAATTACCAAGCTATTAAAACTTAAAAAAGGAGTATTTTTAGAGAAATATATACAGCAGTACTACAGAACATTACGATTAAAGAAATCACTCTTCAGATCCTGATTAAGCATCATATTTGTAGTTTTGTTTGAAAAGTAAACTAGTTAAATATAAAAATCAAAATATTTGCAGTATCCGCGCACATTATTATAAACAATTTAAAATAATATTAGATATTGAAAGAATAATGATAGAATAACCGATGATAATTTATAGCTTAATTCACTCAGAATAACTCTTCAGAAATATATATTTTCCATAGGTCCCAAAATGCCATTTTACCGGCTCACAAAACCTCTGTTAGATGTGAAATTATCCCCAGCAAGGGTATAAATGTGAAATAATCCTTAGCAAGGGTATAAATGTAAAAGCCACCAAGGGGACGACGGCAATAACATTTTCGAAATGTGACAGATTTGGTTAAATTGGCCTAATCAAAATCGGAATTGCGATTCCCTTTGCGGCGTAATATCATGTTGCCGCAGAGCTCGGCAGACAGATTCCGAACTCCGTTTTGAGGTCCTGGTCCTTTCCGTCCGCAAAACCCTTAACACACTTAAGCTGCACCTGGATGCCGGGCACTTGAGAGGACGGAGGAGCAAGTGCCTTTTGGACCGGCAACTATTTTTACACGCAAATGAATGCAAAAGCTGCTGAGCCGGGCGGCTTGCCATTTTTCACACAATTTTCGGTTGCCCAACTGCAGTCAAAGAAAAGTTCCTGCTGTCTCCTTCGCCTTTTGGGGTCGCCTAGCAACAATTTTTCATTTTAATGCGCACACAAATTTCCCGGCTAACGAATTGCCGTGAGAAGTTGAGAGGAGCCACGCCGGATGGCTTCCATTCTGCCTCTTAACAGGAATGAAAGGGGGTGGGGATAGAAGTTAAATCGGTGCTTGTATTATGTTGTCTCAACTCTGTTTCCTTGGCCATTTCACAGCTCGACACCTACCTGCAATTGAAAGGCACACAACTGGAGCGTGAGATGGCCGCGGAGATAATACTGCGCATCCTGGATAAAGTCATGCAGAATGCCCAATCCCTGAACAGTCAACAGGTAAGTGTGGCAGGACGCTTTGGCTGCAATTGCGCATAAGTTATGCCGAGTGTACTCCCGTATGGAGTGCCATTGGAGCGTTTGGGGCGCCATAATTTATACCCTGCAGCCATATTCAATATTTGCCAGCCGGGTTTCCGACCCGTTCGGGGATTTATTACGCCCGAAAACACACACACACACACACACACGCGATCGAACTAGGGCAAAGGTGGGGCATTTTCCGGCTTTTATTTAGCTTGTAGTTGGCCTGTCACTGGGCGGTGGCAATTTGCATACGTACATTTGTCTCCCCAATCCGTGTTCGGATTTCCAAAGCAGCCGGTGAATTGATGAGCCTGCCGTCTGGTAATGAATACCTTTTTCGATATGCATGAGGTTGTGCATTTTTCGGGTTTGTCTGTGGCTTTCGTGTCCTGTGAGAGGTAAATTATGTGATTTCCTGAGCCGACAAGTTCGTGCTCCACGTGCCGATTTTACTGCAGCGATAATTGGTTAGAACCCCAAAAGATTAAAAATCAAGCCTGCCAAATTTCAGTTCTATTCTACTGGAGCCACACAAAAAGCCTATTTACGCTCCATTTAGCAGAACAGCTAATAGAGAAGGACCACAACCCCCCCTCCACCGGCGAAAGTCAGTTGGGTCGGAAAAGGTGTTGCTAATGAGGGGCAATCAAACAATTTACCCGCGACCCCCCCCCACGCACCCTACCCTTGTCGCAGGACAATAAGGATAACCACTTCCTTATCACCGGGAAAAAAAAAGCAGACACTTCTGGCCAATCTCGAGCCTCGAAACGGCGGTGAAAAGTGCGTTTCTTTATTTTTTCAGCTGGCTGGAGGGAGCGTGTATCCCCGCCCGAGATTGTGGTTTCCATTGTTTCCGGCTCAACTGAGGATTTTAAGAGCGCAGGACGAGGGTGTATCCGGGTGGAGACACTTCGCGTCTCATGTATTATTCCGTGGGCGAATTCTGCGTACGCCAAGTGCGGCATAAAAGTGAAAGAAAGAAAGGACGGGCGTTCCCCGCCAGGATAAGGCAGAAATTTTGGTATGCAAATTTATGGGAGTGTTGATTGCAACTGTTTGAATATGGCCCACCCCGCTCAATGGACCTGTCAAGAAGTGAGGATAATTGGCAAGCTCCCTTTCGGTGCCGAGTTTGTTTCGCCCCCCGGACACCTCCAGCATAATCTATTAGCCAGCCGACTGACTTATCCCTTAATATTCATCTTTTACGAGCGAACCAAACAAGTTTTTGCTCCTTTCGTGGACTCTGTTTTGCTTAGCACACAGTTAACGGCTAACTTAGAAAAATGAAGGCAAGGAGAAAGTTTGTAATGCGTTTAAATTAATTTAGTTTCGCGAGAGTTCAGCTGAGCTATGGCATTTCAATATAATGCGCCATGTGAGCCGAAAGCCCGAAAGTCGCTTCAGAAAGAAAAATTTATGTTAAATTTTTATTAGCTGACGCAGTCGGAAAAACTTGGCAGCATAATTGGGTCGATTAAAAAGCGTTGGCATTCGCCGAACTTTTCCTGAAGTTGTACAAATAGTTCGCATCGTTTTTATTGACTGGGCGAAAAGTTTAATGGAGTGAGCCGAATCCCGGCAAGTTTATCGAATTTTTCGCGCGCAATCAAGTTTAATTAGTGCAAGCAATCCGTGAAAGTAATCAGCCAAGGCCATTCAACGTTTACGGCATTCAATGTCCCTCAGCGAATTGAAAACTTTAAAACTTGAAGTTGAGTTGCACCCACTGCCATACATAAAGCCACTAATTTAACAAAAAGAATTTTGCAAATAAATTGTCATTTGCGGGACCGCTTTTAATATGCGGCCAGCCTAATCCTCATCAATATGTTGATAGATAATAATAATCCCGAATGGAAATTTGTATGATAGCATTTCCATTTGGTTTAAACCAATTTTCATTTACGCCCAGTGGACTGGATCTCAATGCGGATCGGAGTGGACAGGCTAGCCTCCATTTGCGGTCTGTGGAAATGGCAATTGAAAAAGTTTTTCCGGATGGCAAAATGCTCATTTTTGGATGTTTGCAATGCGAACGAGCCCGAAAAGTTGATTAAAGCACTTGTGCGAGCATGAGTAGGGAGCTGGGATTTGCATAAGTTGGTGTATTGACCAGCAAAGTCAACTGACCCACTTTGGAGTATGGTCGGACTGCAAGTTTTGATCGCACGAGGAGGTAAAAAGTGAGCACAAAAGCGCTTCCCATTCAAATCAAATCACGACGAATCACTTAGCCAAAAAGTATTCGCTGCAAACGTGACCCTAAGTCATGGCTCAACTTCGCAGCGCAAAGTTTTGCTCACACATGGCCACGACCACGCCCCTTTTTTATTTGGGGATGGGATGGGGGGGCGGCCAAGTGATTTGCCGGTAAACTGCTAAACGTGGCCGGGTCGAAAGTCAAGTGAAATTTGCACATGGAAAACTTTTTGCAGGCCTGCTCTTTCTCTCTTTCCCTTTTTTTCGAGAGTTTCTTTTCATCGCCTTTTAAAGAAATCATACGAATGCCACACATTTGAATAGGCAGCACCAGGTCGAGGGCGTAGCAAAAATCGGGGGCGTGGCACTCATACATACAGCGTACTAAGCTTAATGCTCTGATGATGCTGAAGTTTCCGGATTTTTGTTCCGAAAAGTTCCATTACACAAACTTTTCCAATTGGAATTGTTTTCGCTTTCGATTAGTTGCCCCGAACATTTATGCAGCAGTATGTTTGTATCTTATGTAAAATACAAATGCGTTGAGTTTTCCGATGTTATTTTTGATTTGTAACGAAAATGCTGTAAAGGACTCTACTCCTTGGTCAGAAAGCTGTGCCGGACTTTGCATTATAAATTGCGAAATTCGAAAGAGGAGGATGAGGATGAGGACGAGCCGTTGTAATGGCTTTCGCATTACAAATTGCGAAAATCAAAGCCCATAGTTGGGCCCTGCTTATTGGCCTCGGTTTATGGCTTTGTAACTGCACTCGAGAACGTAACAATTTATGATTTTTATGCCCGGGTTATTGACAGCGCTCTCTGTTGCATTCTGCCCTCGTTGGCATCCTGAAAATATGCCACATGGCCGGCGGCAGACCGACTTCGTCCGGTTTTCCCCCCTTGTCCTCTGTGGCATTGATTTCGGCCAAAGTTCATCGCCGGACTTTATCCGATTGTTGGCTCGATTTTGCGGAGGTCTGTGGATGCCGAGTAAATATAAACATGGCATACACTGGGGTCTTATCTGTACTACCTATCGCTCATATTGAAACACAGACAAGCTCTCGAGTTTCAGCCACACTTGCAAAAAATGCTTCTGGCTTTGGGACCAAACCAACAAATAAACAAATAAGAGTCTTTTATTTGGGGAATGAAAATCTTATTTTTATTAGAAAACTAAAGCATAGCTTAGGCGAAAAGTTATTCATATTTTTAGCTTATTTTGATTTTTTAGGCAAATTTAAAAACGGATCCCCTTAGGGCTTTTCAATAAATTTCAATGCGAAGTTTATGATTTTTGTATTCTTTTTATAAGAAATAGTTTACACAAAAGAAAATAAAATCTTTGGAAAACTAATTTTGTTTTCTTAAGACACAGAATGTTAAATTTTGTGCTTCTCACATAGAAAAGTCATTTAATTTTAGCCATGACATTGTTTTATAAAAATACAATATTTATTTCAGCTTTTATTGGGGCTTCAATTGAAGAAAAACAGTTTAATAAATTTGACTATTGACTCACCAATTAGAAAAGTCATTTAATTTTAACATTGCTTAATAAAAATACAATATTTATTTCAGCTCTTAATGAGGTTAAAATTTATGAAGAATAGCTTTAAAACTTGACTATTATATAGCTAAAACAAACATTTTTGTGATTTTTTTTTTTTGGAATTTTGTCAGACTTTAGTTCTGTACCATACTAAAATAAAATATATATTTCTTAGTAATTTAGTGGCTCTAAGTTTCAATTTTAATTTAATTTTACTCAATCAAATATTTTCCAATTTATAATAAAAGTTGTGCTTAGAAGCAAATATTGCGCAATATAACTTTCATACTTCGAACTTCCCTAGTTCGAAGGCTTTATAAAGGGGCTCAAACTATGGAATATTTCAAAATATTTTGAAATTTCATGCAAATTAACAAACGCATACACTTGTTGCGATAAGTGGAATATGTGGACATGTTGAACAACAATGAAAGCCATTATTTAACCGCCGTGCGATGGGCTCGCTTCCTTTTTGTGTGTTTCTCCTTTCAGCAAATTAAAAAGCTGCAGCAGCTAACGCAATCGGCGGCGCTGAACCGCGAGACCATCGCGGCCTCCCAGTTGGCCACCTCGACCAGCGGCAGCAGTCAGCCGGCGGCAGGTGACAGTTCGACCCGCGGCGACGATGGCAGCGGGTCAGGGGTCACGGCGGGCGAGGTTTCCGCGGGTCCTGCGGGCAGCCTGCAGGCAACACGAGCCGGCGGCGGAGGAGGAGTGGGAGGTGCAGGAGGAGCAGGATCAGGATCAGGAGCCCCCAGCATCCTGACTGTCGATGAGGACACGCTGTCGCTGGACCGACTGAACTCGCTGCGCATTTACATGACATCGGTGAAAACGCTGCCGTTTAATTTACGCATTTACGGGTGAGTTGCACTCGCAAACAAACAGATAAATGGCCCCTAAATGAAATCAGACACACTACTGATTTCCCAGCCAGCAGAGCGGGCTATAATTTCTAATTACGAAAAGGGGGGGTGATGCGAAATGCAAATTTGCAGCCCAAGTAAACAGTAAACTTCATTTTACGGCCCCTTGATTAATATATGCGACGAAGGAAAACGATTTCCCCCCCCTGCCAGGGCTCTTAATGGAAAATTTATTTTATGAGCAGGCATAAATAAAAAATGCATAAAACAGGGCGAGGTCGTGGCATGAAGAATGGCCCATAAAAGTGGAGCGCTCGACGGAGGAGCTTGCAACCAAGATGGAGGAGCCGAGAGGAGACCTTGTCGTTTCCGGACAGGTATTTCCATCTTGCCTCTTTCTTAGGCTGCCGGCTTCCAAGTGTCTAATTTAGCTAATTAAGTGCCCTAAGTGCAGGCTACTACAATTTGCCTGATTTACGGCGACTCATGCACTTCTCCCACCTGTCTTTCTTTCCCAGCGAGGATTTGTTTTCGGACCAGCTCTATATGGACATTGGACTCTCGGCCCGGCTGCTGCACATCATGGCCAACTCCACGATATTCGCCTCGGTCATCTCCTACAAGAACCTGAAAAGTTTCCTCCCCAAAACCTACTACACGCGTGGCAGGTGAGTAAAAGTTTCCCGATTGCTAATTAGTGCCTGATAACGGTCTCGCGAAAGTTCAAAAAAGTTCCCAAATTTAAGCGGAATTGGTGGATAGAGGAAGGAGTTAAAGATTAGCGCCACTGCACATGTTTAATTCGCCCCTTTTGTTGCTGTGAGCCCAAGAAAGTTGTCTTGGCTAAGTCCCTGCTTATGGCCACCGATGTACAATTCGTAAGCCATGTTTGCCTAGTCCTCAAATGTGTGTAATGCCAACTGCTGTCACTCTGCAGCTCCGCATCTCCGCCTCCTTTGGGCTGCGGCATCAAGATGGCTCCTTGGCTTAAGCGTATTACAGCCAGCTGGAAAACACTAGCAACAATACCACAGCTACGAGTGTAATTCCCCAACTGTAAACAAAATGCAAATATGCAGCTGCCAGCACAAAGGAGAGCAAAAAATGAAATGGGGGGAAAGTATGCTTTCCGGGGTACATGGAATGCCAACACAGTGGTTATCAAATCTTGATTATTGCACATAAAAGATGCGACTGAAGCTGGATCTGATAAGCAGGAACTGTATATAATTTCAGAAGTTTACGGAATACTTAACGTAAACAGTCCTTTTAAATTCATTCCGTTTTTTGCTTCAAAAGAGAAACTTCTGTTGCCAGTTTTGTTATAAGGGCAAGGATTTGTTTTTACAAGAGATTTTATTGGGAGGAGGTCCTTTCCCTCTTAAGAAATTCTGGTGAAGAAATAATTATTCCTGGATCAAGTAATCCACGGACACAATAGTTTTTGCATATCGTTTGTTATTTTGGTAAGAATTTTCCCTATGGACATATGCATTTTCAATTTCTCATTTTATTGTCGAATGTGAACAACTTGGTTCTATTAGACGCATACAATTTAAAGAAGCTGAATAAATAAATTGGTTCTTTAGTGACAATAATGCAACAATATGCAGAAAAATAAGTGTTTGATATTCTTAAAGGATAGTTAGACAGTTAGCCAACAGATTTTACTGGTCAGAGGTATTACAACAACCAAAGAAAGGGGCAGGATAATAGATATTCCTTTTATTAATTTTATATTGATTGGTAAACACATTTTCGTGTATGTAGCTGTTAATGGGATTTTACCAAGACAGTTTTTTGTTGAAAGTTAAGCCTAAGTTGGATGCTTGGTCAACAATTCTCATTACTGAACAGCCAATGCTGATTGGTGGCAACTGTTTTGTATCCAAATCTCGCTTGTAACCACGCGTTAGGACTTATTAATATTTAATTCGAACCAATTTTCTTTAGCCTATTTAAGAGTTACAAGTATTACATAGTTATTTATTTCCATTTACGTCAGACTAACATAATTTGTCATTCATATGGTTATTACACTTAAACAAGTTACATGAAAGTTCGTTAACGTAAGCAGAAATAAAAAATAAATAGAAAACATTGTTGAATTAAAATGTACCTTTTATTATTGTGGCCCTTTCTCATTCTCATCCAATAGCGATCCCCGGGACTCGGACTACGTGCTGGCCTCGCGGATCATCCAGACCTGGCTGTTCCAGTCGAATCGCTCCAACGACAACTTCCGCGAGCCCCTGGATCTGCCCTTCGAGGCTGGTCATGTGGAGATTATATTTCAGCACGAGAGTGTTCCGAAGACAGGCGATTGGGTGGCCGTTTGTGGGTAAGCGAGTGTGGCACATTTAGCACTTAAGGCAACATTTAATCGAACATCGTCCATTTTCCATTGTCCATTGCAGTCACGACTACAAGGCCTCCTTCGACTCCACCTGGCGATCGGATCTGTGCATCACCAAGCACCTGATGGCGAACATAACGCGCTGCATCTGCCCGCTGTCCGGAACCTACGTGGTCATGCTCACCAAGCGCCAGCTGAATGTAAGCCAGGGTCACCAAGGTCGCCAAGGCCACCAAGGCTCTGGTTCCCATGGAACTCGGCTGCCCAATTCATGCAATTCACGTGTACCAAAGTGGAAGGCCCTCCTTTGATTTATGGCACTTTGAGGACCTGCCATTTAGTGGCCCCCACCTGGGGAGCCCGGCTCTCCCTTTGTGCCGCCCCAGAGTCCGCATTTCCGCTTGCCTTGCTCGCAATCAACAACTTGGCCTTTGCTGCCATGAACTTGCTCCAAATTCACTCGGTTTTTACTGCGCTCCGCTTCTGCATTGTGCTGGCTGCATTCAGTCACAGCGGAAATACTTTAAATCAGGGATGCACACCGATCAAATAGCCTTAGGGGTTTCATTCAGGGGCTCACTTGGTTTTAAATCTACTGCCTGAATTTCGGTGACTAACCTTACTCAAAAGATATAAATTGTTTAGGTATGACTATTTTGTTTGTCCCTATTTCCTGGCAAACATCTTTTAATATTTGGAAATAAATATTTATTTAAAATCAAGGACTAGCAGAATAAAATAAGTTAGTACATATACATTTTTGCCAGTCTACGATTGGAAATAAAGTTTAGCCATTAGTCAATATATAAGTGAATTTTTGTATTTCATTTATTATCTGTTAAATTCTCGAAAGTTATATTTAAAGTCAAAATGTTCTATTTAAGCACACCAAAAAAAGTTGCAACCGTTTAGACTGCATCCCTGACCAAATTTGAATTCGGTCGATTGTTGGCAGCAGCCTGCCAAGGCAAACAGCATTTTGGCCGACTTTAGCCTTCGCTTCGTCGCTAGTTTGAATTGCTAATTGTTTTCTGCCTTCCATCGCATTTCCCATTTCCCATTTCCAGGCCACTCCGTCGCACGTCCCGCGGCGTCCCATCTTCGTGATCGCCAGCTGCGCCTGCTGCCTCCTCCAGTGCGGATCCGCCCTGCTCATCCTGGGTCCCATCTGGTGCAATCGCAAGTGCGCGGTGACGTTCCTCAAGATGCAGTTCTGCGTCTCCACCTCGAGTGTGATGCTCATCTACTTGCTGGGATTCATGAAAATGCTGCCGGTGGTGAGTTGACCGCATTAACAAATAGTGTCTATAAAATGGGGAGCTTACATTGATCCTGCGAATAAAATGTAAACAATTTTATCTTTTATTCTAATGGCTTAACAAGAAAAATACCTCTTGAAGAAGAGATTTTTTTCTTTTTACCTTATTAAAAAACTGTAATATTGAATGCTTTTTTGCATTATAAAAACCGATAAAATTAAATTAAAAAGTATTAAAAATTACGTTTATATATTGCCACATGTATTTTAATACTATCTGCAAATTAATAACTTGCTGTTTAAAGAACATATAGCATTAGTTTCTTATTCTGTCGGTGGACACAGATTGGCGAGTGTCACGCCACACAAAATTTAAGAACCTAAATATATTGTGACATCAAAAATTATCCTCAGCTTTTTTTTCTCTCAACATTTAAATTTGCAAATTAGTCGCACGTATAAACATAACACAAAAACTAGGTAAATAAAAGACTCAAAGAAGGTTAATTGGAAGTCGTTGTACAACAAAAAATACTGCTACTTAAAATGAATTAATTTATTGCAATTTAAGAAGTAAAATTATAATCCTTGTCGGATTTAATATATATATATATGAATACGTCACAATAGGTAGGATTCATGTTTCTACATGGCTTCTGCTTTTTAGCCATTTGATTTTTAAATGGCGAGCATGCAGTAGTGCACTTAAATGCGTTAGTGCTATGCGGCTCTTTAAAACAAAGCCTTTGAGAGCCTGCATTGGGAGCACGAAAAAAAGGGAACCAAAGCGTGAAATTTAATTACGCCAAAATAAATAAACAAGTAAAACGGAGGAAAGCCAAGCTGAAAGCAAAGCAACCCGGAACCCGAAACCCAAAACCAAACATACAGCGGCAACCGAGCAGCAGAGGAGACGGAAAAGTAATAACAAAAAGTATTGCATGATATAAGGCGTGCGGGTGTGCAGAATCCGTGAAGGAAAAAGAGAAGGAAAATCGCAGGGCAATCGAAGCACAAACGAGTTTCCCACACCCTTTAAAAATAGGAAATCCCATCGGCTTAAACTAGCAGGGCAAAACCCTTAAGTTGTAATTATTTGCGGTGTCTGCTCGCCGGCAATCACCAATTTCCCATCTCACGAGTCTTATTCGACTTTTCAAATAATAATCACGGCCATGGAAAAATCTGTAATCATCATCAAAACAAATTAGCGTGTCGTCTGCAAGTCGTTACCATACCATACCACACCATACCACTCCATTCCATTCCAGGAATTTCAGGGAGTCAGTGGACAACAAAGCAAATAATTTACATTTAGTTTTCGTGGCAGCCAAACGGAAAATTCATGGAAAACAATTCCCAAACCTGTTGGCGTCGACCTCCTTGGAAGGAAATTAAAAGTCAACAATGCACGACGCCGGCTCGGAGGAGCAGGTCAGGTGTGGGTGTGGGACAGAAGGATCCGCCCGAAGGAGGCAACTGGAATCGAAATTAATATTTATAAACGCACACTCTCAGACGTTTGAAGTGGGAAAATGTTAATGGGAAAGACGCTAACCCGAGCGCGCTGAAGGAATATATGCCGCCCTGAACCCGAACCCGAATCTGAACCCCAACCCGAACCCATTGGCCAGGGATCCGTGGAAGTGGAAGTGGAAGTGGAAGTCCCCAAAGCACCCGCAAGCCGTCTAAATTATAAACGTGAAGCGAAGAAAGCATAAGCGAATAAAGTTGCGATGCCTAATCCCCGGGGGTCGTGAAACGCCCGGCGAAAAAAAGTAACTGCAAAGCTCTAACAAGAAATAACATTTTTGAATTAGTAATAAACTGGTCCGCCGTGGAGGCAACGGCTCAATAAACGAATGAAAAACAAATAAAACATTGTGTACGACAACGAGGAGACGACAAAGGCGCGGGCACTTGCAGATAAAGATTCAGCAGAGGATGCGAGGACGCAATATGGAAAGGTTTACGCCAGGCAAAGAAAAAAAGGAGGCACACTTGGAAAAACACATTTGGATATATGTCATCCCAAATATGAGGCATAAGTTAGCCACTCATAGAGCTTGTATCAACATACAATAATCCAAACATAAGCCACGGATGATAATTCGGCAAGCAAATTTCCCAAACATTGTCACTATCAATTTTGTATTACGAAATGATTGCTTTGCATTAAGCTTTGAAAATGGAAGTTGATTTCCCTCAATTAAGTATAGATGGAAAGCGTTTCGTTTAAAACGGCAATTCTGATCACAATTAATACTTCATTAATCGACTTGTTTTGTCTAACAGTGTTATTACGAAAATTTTATTAATTAAAAATAGCTAATTTTGCAATTAAATCTTATAATGGAATACCAACAAATAGTCTGATAGAATCTCTGGGGATATTTGCCTTAAGTTTCCAATATAATTCAAGTATAGATTGTATGTTTTTTGTACAAACATCATCATTTCCTGACCAGCGAATATATCCTAAGCAACATAGCACCTCTCCTTTTAAGCAACCGGATTAGATTAGGCAATTTCTCTCCGTACAGCTCCTGGGAAAACGCACAGTCTCGAAACGTTGACAAAGGCAAACGATGACGATGACGCTGATGGCCTAGGCACAAAGATGCCTGTGAATCCGACCATGGACGCCACATTCGGAGGAGTGGTGCGAGTATGTTTCGCTATGTGCATCGACATTTTTGCCGCACGCAATACGGGTTGCGTCTCAAAGGATTGCAATGGAGGAATTTTTGAATAATGAACATTTGTGCCACAGGACGCAGCAGCTTCTGTTGGGGACCGTCCCCTTCTGTGGACAATAAAATAAACCTGGCATAGACTGGCCCCCGGCACTGGAAACGTACCACAAAGCGGACTCTCCTCCGTTGGCCAAGTTAATGAGCAACTTACGTCAGTGCGATGAGTTGCACAATGCGCATTTCGCATTTCGAGGCATTTTCAGGCTGGCACAAACGCCAGAGGAAAACTTTGTCTTAATAACACAACGCGCACACACTTATTATTATTATTATTATTGCACATTAATTGCGCGCACACGCGTTCAGGGCAACTTTATTAAAAAGTACCACACAGCCAAACATGTGAACACATGCAAATTTTATGGTTTGAAACACGTGTCACAGCGGCAGGATCACAGGAGCAGGAGCAGGGGGCGGGCAGGAGGGGCAGGACGAACGAAGATGCGGCTGCCATCGGCGACGGACGTCAACCGCAGCCACCAGAAGAGCAGACCGCCAGCCCACCGACCACGCCCACCCAATGCCACAATAAATACAATTAAAATATTCATTTTACTTATTGCATATATTTGCGAGCATAAATAAAATACAATTTCAGCACGACAGTTAAACGGAATGAAAAAAACAATAAATAAATAAGAAAACATAAATTACGCATACGACGCGTACGCCCACCCTCAAGGCAGAAACGGTGCGCGGGGGGCGTGGCACTGCATCAGAACATGTGAAAGGCGAAAGCTTTTAAGCGCACTTAACTCATAATTTTCCGCGGCGAACTGACGGGGTGGAAATATTCGCATTCGCTTTCGTATTGTAAATTGAAAATTAAAAAGTTGACAAAATGTTTTCCTCACATTTGCCCCGAAGGCTACTAAAGATGATGAGTTGGGTCATAAGTTTAAGTCCGTGTGCCAACAAAATTGGTTAAGTTGAGGTTCACGATAAAAGGCTAGCCAAGCACTCCAAGGTTGATAGATAAAGGCTGATATACATTTGAAGATTTATTTTTCGTTTGTTGGGCATATCTTCAAAATAAAAAAGTAAAAAACATTTCCATTAAAATTATTGCTTTGAAGTTGTAAATACGCCTAGGTATCTTTGTTTATACTCAGTATATACTTCTAGGTTAAAAGGTAAAGGCTGAAATTGTATTTTTCTACGACCGTCTAAATTATATATTTTAGGAAAAAGAAAAAACTGAATTTTGCAACCGCTGTATAAAATATAATTAGTCCTTCAGTCTCACTCTTCCAAAATGTGAGTTTTCCTCCAAAAATAATCAAACACTGCTTAAATTAGCACATCGTCCGAAATCGTAACTATGTATTGAAGTTACAATTACGACTGGAAAAGTATCAAATAATTTTGTTTAATTAGAAATCCACAACCACAATAGCAATTAGCAATAAGATATCTGTTAATGCAACCTAAGATGCCTGTTTATTATGCTGTATTTGGGTTCTCCTAATTGGTTATGAAAACAGGGTCCGAAAAATGATGTTGCGCAAATTGTTTACAACTTTGTAATAACCAATGTCCAGTCACTGAAGCGCGGGAAAAGTGTAATAAAAAATTTATGCCAAAATGTCACCATTAGGGTGGTGCAAAAAATCCCACCAAATGGCTTCTTTGGCTGGGTGTTGCTCTTGCTGTTGCTGTTGCTGCTGCGGCTGCCACTGATGCTGATGCTGCACGATGACAACTTTTTATATTTAATTAAAAATAACGATGTTGCAGCTCAGCCGTCAAAGCACTCCATTTCCTTATTAACGGCCGTTCATAATTTCCTCTTGCAGAGCTGGCACGGCATCATTAGCAGCTCGCTGGCCTCGCTGTTGTTGCTCGGGATCTCGACGCTGATTGCGATTGCCTTGGCCATCCACACGGAGCTGATGCCGAAGAAGTATCTGCAAATTGGCAGCAAGCCGGGCACGCCAACTAAGCGCCGCCTGGAGCGGGAACGGGAACGGGAGCGGGAACGGGAGCTGGAGAGCTTGAGCAATATCACGCAGATCCGGGCTCAGTCGCCTTTGGGGGCCACCGCCTCATCCGCCGCTCCTGGCCAGCGCCGCCCACCGCCCAGCTCGGCGGCGGGATTGCGCGGTGCCATTGGCATCAGCTGGCTCCTGCCGCTCCTGTTCGCCGTCGCCGCCCCGCTAATCTGCAGCATCATCGGGAGGTGGCCGCGGCACTGGTGGTTGGAGGTCCTCTGGTCCTCGGGAACCGCCTTCCCGGATGCCGCCGCGGGCAGGCCGGAAACGGAGGAATCGGAGACGGAGTCGGAGTACTCAACGCACTCGCTGCTCAATGGCGATAATTTACTGCTCGAGTCGGAGGCACTGCTGGGAAATGGAACGAGCCCGCCAACAGAGACCTCATCCTCATCCAGTCGGGCGGTGGATGATGTGGCCACGTCAACGTCATCAATCACGGGAGGGACAGGGACTGCAAGTGGATTTGGTCAGGAGCAGCACTGGCGGGGGCGGGGCAGTAGCTCCTCCACTTCCGTTTCCGCGCTGGCTGCGCCTCTAACTTCCGGCCTGAGTGACGCTTCGACAGCGCCAACGCCCTCCTTGAGCTTCATCCTCTTCATCTGCATCGATCTGCTCTTCATCCTGCTCTTCTGTGCGCTGTTTGCCATTTTAATGAAGAAACTTTTGTGGTTGTGGCACAAGAATCGCAATGTGCATACGCATCCGTTGGATAAATTCAATCTGGCTTTGCGAAGGCGGTAAGTCGAAAAAGGCTAGGCAATGGGCAAAATGGAAACGGGGCAAAAGATAAGGCTCTGGGGGAAATACTTAGATTTTAATGACCACACAGGACTTTCCATTCGGTTTTTTTTGCGGAGTTTCCATTTTCCTGTCTAAGCTAATCTGATAAAAAAAACGAATCTGAAACTGAAACCGAAACCGAAACCGAAACCAAAACAATCGCTGCCACAATGCCGTTCTCAAAATCCGCTCTTCCGTCTAATTTAATGTATTCGAACAGATTTGGACTGCTCTACCGGGCGGGCGGATTGCTCCTGGCCAAACTCTGCAGCGACGGACTCTTCATCGCTTATGTTAATTCATCGCCGGATACTTTGTGGGCATATCCGTTCGGCATATCGTGCATATTATTGGTAAGTGCGGGGAACCGTTTACATCCTCTTAGCCGGGCAGGTGGACCAGCAATTGAAATTCAATTAAGCGCACCAATAAAATATATATATCACTACCTGCCGGGATGGGATTAAGGTCGGATGTTTGATTGGGGTCCAAATCCCGGCCCGTATACCGTATACCGAATACCGAATACCATTTGCCGGTTCAACTGGTGCACAACTGTTAGGGGGCGGCATCAAACGCACTTGCCGCCGAGGCTTATGCAAATCGCATTTCTCGTTTTTATTTCCGCCGACTTATTTAAGTTGCATATTTTATCAAAGTGTAATGCCTGCATATTTTCACAACTGCCGTGCAAATTATGCATGCAAAATCAACTGAAAGCGAAAGTGGGCGTGTCCCGGCCCCCCAAAGGTGACTGCATTAACTGCCTTGCCTGATCAAAGAGCTAAAAGAAGAAGCCTTTTCGTGTTTATTTTGCCCTTGGCTTTGACACTTGACTTCGGTTTCCACTTCCACTTCCACGAGCTGTTATTGTTTGCTTTTTATTCCACTTCCCGGTGATTTGCTGTGCAAATGAAATAAGTGCGCTCGACTCTTCCACCTGCCACTTGAGTGTGGAATCACATCCTCCTGTTTCAATGCCACTGCTGGGGTCTCGCTGGGATAGAACGGACCCCTTGGCCGACACCTATTTCATTTTTGTGGCCACCAGAATGGCATTAAACGGTTTAACGCTCTGCGCACGCCCAGCAATCAGCTCCATCCAATTAAATAAACAATTATCTGCACGGGCGGAGGCATTGGGATACGTAGTGTATCCTTGCAAAACTAATCACATAATTACACGCACACACTTTGATGTGGGTAGCCGGCAAGTGAGCGCGTGTGCGTACCACTCGGCGTATACGTAATGCGCACACGGCACATTCAAATTCAAACACAAACAAATTAGGTCGAGCCGCCGCCCCTTGAATCCAAACCGCAATGTCTACAACCCTCTCAATCTTGCCGCTCCAGGACTATTAATGTGCACCAAAATCACTTTGATTGTGGGCGTGTGGGCATTGCTCTGTCTGCTCTTGCTATTTAATTATTTAAACAGTGGCCAAGACGCAGACTGCACGTGGAGAAAATGTGGCCAAGATAGGGTGTACATTCTACATGGCATTGACTTAAACGAAAGCACTTAAATAAAACAGAATTGGAATTAACTTTGATTGGAGGCGTAAATCTTTGATTTTGTTATGTATTTATAACTTGCTGCGTTTTCGAAGCAAATTCTTGCATTATAAAAATTAATTCGTATTTCATATAAGACTTATAAAGTATTTAGAGTTCACGAATAATAAAATCAACTCAGCAAAATTTCAAAAAATACTCTTTTAATTAAAATAAAAGGAGAATTGTAGTCCAGATTTCCCTAAATCCGGTTCTATGGGTTGTACACTAATATGTTTGAAAATTCAGTAGTCTTTTTATATCTTTCCTATCTCAAAGTCCAATTAGTTTTATTGGCGGTAGAGAATACAAATATGTGTACAAAAATATGGGTCGTTATTATGTTCTTTTCCCAGTGTAATACCCTTATACCATGTATTTTAATATGCTCGAAATCCTAGTGGAGCATGCAAGGGGAATCTATACAATGTGAGCAATTCAGTACATCGAGCTTAAGACTCTTTCGCTAATTTCGCAATTAATTTTGTTCGAAAATCCATGCCTGGAACTTGGAGCATGTCTCCCATAAATTGCGCTCATGAAAAAAGGACATAATAGCCGTGTATGGCCCATATGCTTTGGCCTCGATTTATGGCCGCCTTTCGGTCATGCATTTAATTTCCCAATCGCTTGGTTTGATTTCACGTCGAGAGGGCCTTTTGGGCCATCACCTTGCCCGTAATCGAAGGGTCTTCCGTGGCTTAATGACTCCATTCAGGCGACAACCCATCCCGTTGACAAACGAATTTTATTAGGGTCAGCCCAGATGGGCTGGAAGTTTATGCCGCAATCACAGCAATGATTCAATCCCACTTCCAGGGCGCGGCCATCCTTATCTGTTTCGTCATCAAAGCGGAGAGCCAGCTGCGAGGACCACCATTCCTCAGCAGCAACGGGAGCAGCCAGAACAGCTCGCTGAAGCAGGCCAAGTTTAATACGAGCAGGAGCAGCCTGGACGAGAACTACTGCACCACCACGACGACGGCCAACGTCAATAGTCCGCTGAGCTGTAGGTTCCCCGTCCTGGAATCCACCCCCCGTTTCCATTTCTAACCCCCCCCATCCCACTTGCAGTCTACACGAACCACGACAAGGAGAAGGAGAACGAGTGCGGCGTGTCCTTGTCAATGTCCAGTGCAGGCGTGTCCTCTGCAGCAGTCGGAGCCTTGGCCTCGTCGGCCGGCGGAGGTGCCCCGCCCCTGCAATCGAAGGTGGGCCTGGAGATGTCCGCAGCACCGGGATCCGGTGTGCCACTGCCGTTGACAATCATCTCGACGGCGCCGCGCTGCCAGGCAGGAGCAGATGGGCCGGCGGAGTCCTTCTTGGGGGATCGTCAGACCCTGTCCGTGGCCCCCTCCCCCGACACTCGTTGCTGCGCCATTTTGGGCGGCGGAACCGCCTACGATGCGTACACCATGGGCATGGGCATGGGCGTCGGAGTGGGAGTGGGCGGACTCACAGGGAGCCTGGGCAGGCGTACACTGCATCAGCAGCCGACGCATTATCGCCCAGGACCCTGCGGCGAGTTTGTGGGCGTCGAGACGCTTGATATCCTGCAGGGCGTGGCAGCAGGTAAGTGCACGCTGAAAAACTTTGGCATTAAACAGTACGAGTTTATCGTATTTCGAACTAATTAACAATTTATAATATATTATTTCTGACCAATTGAGTAATATACTGATTCCCGATCAAAGAAATTGTAATAGGATAAACAAAAGTTTAATATATTCATAAAAAATGTCTTTAAAATTGGCTTTCTTAAGAGACAATAATCTTTTAAGCGTTTAAAAAAACATCATAAATATGTTATTTTATACCGTTTGATATTCTAAGACAAAATAATTAACTAAAATATATATATATCATAAAAAAAAATATAATTTTAGCCATTCATTACATTTTTAACAAATTATAACAAATTAAAATAATCATTTTATTGACGTCATCGAGAAAAATTTTATTAGGTTATGACGAAGTGAAAGCATATCCAAATTTAGCGAACAAATACGATTGTATTATTTTGCTAATTTTGCATATTCTGGATTTGGATATTTGGTGTCATCTTGTTAACATGTTTAATTAGGCATATGTATAAAAAAAAACTTTACAAATTATTAATAATTTTGAATAATGTTGTTGCCTAAGGTAAAAATTTTACAATCAATTTAAAATCGACTTGTTCTCTGTGCAAACCCAGTACAGACAAACACTTCAAGGATTGAGGCATGCATTATTCTGAGTCTGATGAACATCTTCTCTCCCCCTTTCATTCCTTACAGACAGTATAATTGGCATTCACACCAGTGCCATAATGCCCACGGCCACCAGCACTTCTCATTATGTTCCGCTGCAGCATAATCCCTACGTGGACTTTGTGCCCAGCTCCCTAATCCTGAGTATGGCGCCGCCTCCGACCATAAGTGGCAACCTGAGTGGAGCGGCGATTCCCGGGATGTCCCTGCCCACCCAGACGCCAAAGACGCAGAAGCGAGTGACCATCCTGGAGCCCACGTCCCGCACGACCTTTGACCCCCTGCTGCCCACCATGGTGGCGGCTGTGGTCTCCACGTCGACGGTCACCAGCACGGCGACCACGACCCCAGCCACGCCCACTCCCACGCAGAGTGGCAGTGGCCAATGCGGTGCCAATGATGCAACGCTGGACCGCATCACCCTCGATCTGGACTACTTGCTGAACCGCGGGGGCGGGGATGCCCCAGAGGGGGCGGGGTGACACCACAACCGCCCACCGGTGAGGACAACCAGCAAAAACAATAGCAGTATCTGTAAGTTGGGAGGCCCATCCGACACTAAGATGCATTTAAGAGGCTTCGTTTTTCTACTATAAACTGTAAATATATGTAAATCAATTTTCAAAACTAAACTACAGTAGAAATCTCTGTGAATATTCATGTACGTATGCATCAAATATACTTAAAATGGTAGTAATCAGTTGAAGTCATGGTTTAACCCAATACTTTATCAAATGAGCCCATCCAGCCCTTGTTTTGGTTGAACCTGCCAGATTCTGGCGCGGCTTAAATAGAACTTCCAGTTCAATCAATCCATGAAATGTTCAAAATTAAGGTCTTTCAAAGTGATTTGAACATCAATCATACCTAGGAGTCATAATTAGAATACAAATTTAACTTTATGTCATTGCATATGTAAACAAATTGAAAGAATTTAAACTCAAGATAACTTTTTAGCTAGATTTACAAAAGCCTATTAAACAAAACACAATGAAAATGGAAAATTAATGAGCGAGAACACAGCAAGGTGTGAAAATGTTTTTGATTCCATTTAAAGTTTTCCTAGAATTAAAGCAAAATTAAGCCCCCATTAAGATACAAAGATAAAAACCTACAAAATACAATAATTGTAAAACTAATAAACATAACAGGACTATTTCTGGAACAAAACAAATTATACAGATATATCTTTAAATAAACTCAAGACTCTTGTTAGAAAATCTATGAAAATAAAAAAGTGACTTGTTTTGTTGATGGGGGTGGGAATAGATTTTTTAATATTTTCTTTTCTTTTTTTTTAAATTAAGAATAAAATGCCATTAACAGCAAAAAATTACAGAATTAATTATACCCAAAATAATGTGTACGTTAGGAATTACGTCCATCTGCCGAAATGTTCCTATCAGAAAAGGGATCTCCAAAAACACCATTACCATACGTCTATCGAATTAAAATACATCGAACGTTTGCCCAACTTAGAGAACAAATCCAATTGACAATACAGAAAATATACACATATTTTATCATCGGAAACTTATTTTTTGTTTAGTAAATATTAGTTATTTGTTACTTATTTGTATATAAGTTTAAATATTGCACCAAACCCTACACTTTTCTGCTTGTCCCAGTGAGAGTTAAAATTCCACCACGTGACCCATTAGATAGGTCACATTCTCACTCCGAATGGCAAAGAAAAATGGGTGGTCTGCTCGGAAGAATTTCTGGCGAGAGGAATTGCTGATCACAATGGGCTTATACTCTGAAAGAAGGTAAAAGTGAGGTGCACATTTTTTGGGATTATTAGAAATACAATACCTGCTGCAGTTCGTGGCAACTCGGGTCCGGATCCAGACTCGTTCAAATTAATACGCAGCTTTTGAAGAACATCGACAACGGGCAGACTTCCAGAAGGATGCAAATGCTTGAAGTTTGCCGATGCTGCAAATATCTCCTCAAAGCCAAGCTGTTGAGCAAATTATTTGGAAATAAAATCAGCAAACGGGTCTATTGATTGATTTCACTGACCTGTTTCAGAGGCTGCCGCAGACTGCACTCAAAATCAATACTGAATTTGGGCAGCAGCACCTGAACGCCCTCCATCTGCATGCGCTGCTGCAGTGCACCCAAATCCTGGCCACGCAGCTGCTTCTCGAGTTCCTGGAGCCCGTTGCGCTGGTTGGGCAGGATGAGCAGCATGGACAGCTCCTCGGCGTGCTCGTATGGAAGCTCTATGGCTCGGGCATCCAGATCCCTGAGCTCCGCAAACTTCACGAACATGTCGTCGTCGAAGAGCATGGGCACTGATTTGACCTGGCTACCGCTGTGGAACTCATAGAGTCCGGTTCTGTAGGCACTGAAGGGCAGGAACCACTTGCTCTGGAGATTCGCCGCCAGCAGGAGCAGGGTTTTAGAGGCAGGGCTACTCTCCAGTTGAATCTGGTCCCAGCTGCCTCCTCCAACGCTGGCCAGGATCTGTTCGTTTATGTGGCGACGCAGCTTCTCCGTTTGCCCCAGGTCAACACACTCGGCGGTGGCATGAAAATAGGTCTGGGCAATCTTCTGGAAGTCATCGGCAATGCCGGATTCGGATACAGGAAGCGGCTGGAGCATCAGTCGGTTCTGTAACTTCAGGCTGGTATCTGGATCCGATGTGATGTTCGCCAGTTCCGAGGCATAGAAATTGGCCATTTTGGCATTGCTCGGGAAGCGTTCCTTCAGTCGCAGCAGTTTCTGCAATTCCTCTGCAGTGGCTCCATCTGATCCAAGGTAGAGAAGTGACAGAGTGGCTTCCAATAACAGCGGTGACACGACCACATTCTGATCTATGAAACTTGTGGCTATGTTGTGGTAGATCCCAGCACTTATGTTGGATTGATAGACCGCAATACTCGGCACAGGATTGGAACTTTCACTCATTCTGCGCTTGTTTGTCCACTGTTCTTCCGATAAAGTCCTGTAAAAAAAGAAAAGTTAGTCAAATTGATGGAGAGTCGAAGACTTAATAAAATTATAGGGATTCTCTTTTATAAGTAGTTAAATTTTGAATTAAATTCAACTTACTTAAACTTACAAGAAAAATAATAATCACTCTTTTTTTTCATTTTTGTTTGTTTTTAAATAAAGTCCTTTTAATCATAGTAATATTACAGGTCATTCTCTTTTATAAGCAAACAACTTTTGAATCAAATTCATTCTACTGTTAATACATTAAAACTATAAATCATATAATCTTACAAGAAAAATATTAACCCCTTTGGTCGTCACATTTTTATACCCTTGCAGAGGGTATTATAATTTTGGTCAAAAGTGTGCAACGCAGTGAAGGAGGCATCTCCGACCCTATAAAGTATATATATTCTTGATCAGGATCACCTCCTGAGTTGATATAGCCATGTCCGTCTGTCCGTCTGTCTGTTTCTACGCAAACTAGTCTCTCAGTTTTAAAGCTATCGAATTGAAACTTTGCACACACCCTTCTTTCCTTTGCACGCAGTATATAAGTCGGAACGGCCGGGATCGGCCGACTATATCCTATAGCTGCCATATAACTGATTGATCGGAAATGCCATAACTCTGCTGTTTGTTAAGTTAGGAAGTTGGGACTCTCTATGGGTATTATATTTGGCCAATCAATCCGACGTACCAAATTTCATAAGGATCGTATAGCTGCCATATAACTGATTGATCGGAAATGCCATAACTTTGGTGTTTGTAAAGTTAGAAAGTTGGGATTTTCTATGGGTTTTATATTTGGCCAATCAATCCGACCTACCAAATTTCATAAGGATCGGCCGACTATATCCTATAGCTGCCATATAACTGAACGATTGGAAATGCCATAACTTTGGTGTTTGTAAAGTTAGAAAGTTAAGATTTTCTACAGGTTTTATATTTGGCCAATCAATCCGACCTACCAAATTTCATAAGGATCGGCCGACTATATCCCATAGCTGCCATATAACTGAACGATTCGAAATGCCATAACTTTGGTGTTTTTAAAGTTAGGAAGTTTGGATTTTTTATGAGTATTAAGAATGCATCATAGGAATAATTTTGGAGAATATTATTATGAGAATTCTGCAAGGGTATATCAACTTCGGCTCCGCCCGAAGTTAGCTTTCCTTTCTTGTTTTTAATTTGTGTTTGTTTTTAGATAAAGTCTTATTAATAAAGGCGTGAATTTATCGCTTCCACATGGTTAATCTATCAAAAGCACTTGTTTAGCATAAAAATGCCCTTCGGCATAATGCAAAACATATGTGCCTACGCTAATAAACTTAGTGTCATAAAATGCCTCGAATAAAACGAAAATATAGTTTTAAATAATAGCCAGCAGATATATTGAAACCTATTTAAATTCACCTTGGCCCATGAAGTGCATTTTGTAATGAAAATGTAAATTGTCTTCCATTTCATTTGGCCAGGCCCCATCGAGCACACTCGCAATCCGAACACAAAAGAAACGCCTTGAATAAATAAAGTGAACAAGAGAGCACACTAGGCCAAACTTGACACTATTTTCGGCAAGTAAACAAAGCGGAAACGCCGAGGCGGAAAACTTTGTGACAGTGCTGCGGCTATATATTTGCGGCAACTTTTAATTTCACGCGAATTTCGGCAGCCGCCTCCGCTGTGCTGCGGCCATCAACACCCCCCACCCACATGCCACCCACCCCCACTTCTATATAGTTTCCCGATCTAGAGCTGCATCTCTGCATGCCGATTTCTAAGCGACGCGCACACTTGCGCGCTTAATTGCCACATCAACAAACAAAATGCGCGCCCACCCGAACTGGAAAACAAAAACGGAACGAAACGAAAAACCGTTTTCCGTTTCAAAATCGAGAGAACGACACAGCCTACAGAGAACCAAAATCCTAAATTGTAATGAAAAAATCTTCGAAAATATATGTCATAGCTTACAGCCATATTTTGTGTGTTAACAAATTATAATTTGAATCCGAAAATCTGATGAATAAATACCACTTTCATAAACCTTTTTAAGTTATATTTAATCTAAAGAAATATTTTGTATTATCTCCAAATGATAATTTTTTCTTTTGTGCATGAATCCAAATCTTGAATTGTAATAAAAAAATCTTCAGAAATATATGTCATTCTTGGAGCTTACAGAAATCTTTTAATACTTAAAACATAATAATTTGAATCCGAAAATATAATCAAAAGTCGCGTTCGTTTTTAACACAGATCACTTTTATAAACCTTTTTAATTAATATTTAATCTCTAGAGATTTTTTGCGGTACCCAAAAAAAAATGTTATTTTCTTTTGTGTATGGAGCACACCACTGTCGCTATAAAGTCGCGCTGCTCTAGTGCTAGATGTTTATTGTTTATTTTTGGTGTGCCAATTTTTTGTTCTATTCACCGAAATTAACTAGATGGTGAGTTTGTCAAGTGTTTCAGTTTTTTTTGTCGGGAGACTTTTTTTTAGTATTTTTTAAACGTTACATTGCAGTCAATGGATAATATCCGAGTGGCATATGGTAAATACCCACTGGATTTTTAGTACGGCGAACGACTATGAGGTCACAGAATTGTTTTCGAAGTGGCATCATCAACAACAATAGTTTATTGTGAAAATTTCGAATAATTTTCGATGCTGGTTAATCGTATATTTGAAAATGTATTTTTTTATATTTAGGTATTACTTAGATTTACAACTAAGTTTTTTCACTCGCTCCACTCTATTACCTTTGGCCGAATTCGTTACGATATTAGAACGACGAAATAAAGATCGGGTAGCAATTATATAAATTAGTTGCCTTTAAAGATTCACGCCCGCACGCAGCTTCGGACAAAATTCGACTAAACGCTTGCGCTCGGAAATAATAAAATAGCACAAAAAAGAACCAATTAAATTCGCCCGCCCCATCGGTGACGACACTTGGGCAACGCAACGCGGGGGCAAAAGCTCCGTCCGGCCAATGCTTCCACAGCTCGGTTCGAATTTTCGGCAACTACTTTTCCGATGCTGAATTTTGAATCTATTTTTAAAATTTGTTTGCCGTGAATTTACACACATACGATTTGGCGAACTAAATCTGCATCCGATGGGAATGGAATAGGAACTTGGATGTTGATGGGACGACGCTCCACTTGTTTTGTTTTCTCGCTGGAACGCTGCAATAGACGCGGATGCTAATGCCGCTCTGCGACTCATTTTGATTGAGTTGTTTGTGGGGCTGGTTCTGTGTCAGTAGTTGTTGTTTAATCAGTTTATCTAATCTGGAACATTTTGGGTTCGTACGATTCACTCGACAATTCTGCATAAATGCGCACAGAATGACTACGGAAGATAGGCCATAATCTTCTTATGATCCGCTTACTGCCGGACTGCGATTTAAAATGCACAAAAAACTTGTACGGACTGCACAACTTTTTATCAAAAGGCGCTTGTAAAGGTTGGATAATACTTCAAATTGGATTGACTTGAGCGGGACATACAAATTGTATTTATTTTAACACCACAAAAATTTTTTTTTATAAACCTAAATACCCAAAACTATGCTCTTATTGGCGTTCATATTATAAAAATATAAGATTTTTATATAGCAAGTAAAGCTTGAACTCCCGAAAAAAGCATAATATAAATTCAAACAATTCATTATTTATTGATAACTGAATATAATCTTACGAATCGGGGATGAGGACACTGTGTGAAGGGTATGAGTAGGTTGTTGTAATGCTTGCGAAGGTGGAGGATTTAAAACCATTTCTTGTATACATAAATAAATACTAAACAGCCTAAAATATATCCGAAATGAGCTCGTTTCCAAGTAAAAAGGCCATGCACGCACATACAGAATTTCGCCCTAGCAAACGGGTTTGGGCAGCAACCAGGATCTTAGCCAGCACAGCTGCACGAGAGGTTGCATCGGAAAGGAGAAAATAACCGTGCTGCCAGGCAACGCCGGAAGATATAGATGGGAATGTTAAATTGGAATCATGCGAGTACGAGTAGTGTGTTACAAGTTGTGTTTTTGCTAACCCGCTGCAATTATGATTTGAGTAATATATAAGCAAATGCATTAGCCAGTGTTTGCATGCATGCCTCCAAATGTTCGGGATTGTTAAAATGTTATGCTTACGTTTGACAATGGCATAGATTGTAACAAATGAATGTGTGAGCGCGGTCGAGAGTCTTAACGAAATGGGGTGTTATATGTAAGGCGTGTGAGAGGCTGGATTATGTGGTGTGTGATTAGCTTAGAACGTATAGCCACCCTCGGGAGCCTTTGGCTGGGTGGCATTGAACTCGAGAGCCCCGTTAACCTCCTGCGGTGCCAACTCTTGCTCGGCCTCGTCGTCAGCGTTGCTGAAGTAAGTGTCTATGATGGCATAGGCCTTTTTGTAGACCTCCTCGTTTTCATGCTGCTGCAAAGTCTCCAGCTTGTCTAGGCCTCCCATCTCCTCAACCATCAGGCACAGGTTTTCGGTGCCTCCTAGTTTCTCGGCCAGAGCGAATAAATTGGATAAGCCTGTCTGCACCACCTTGATGGTTCGCGGATCCTTTGCGTCCAGCAGATCAATGAACGGCTTCAAGATTTTGAACTTCTCTATCAGATCCACGATCTGCTCGGGTGTGCCCGACGTCGTGGTGTTGGTCACCGCCCAGGCAGCCTCCTTCTGTGCTTTAAAGTCCCCTTTCTCCAGCACGTTGCGCAGCTGCTGGAAAATGCCAGCCTGAATGACCGCCTGGATCTGCTTCTGGTTACCTGCCGTGATGTTGCTGACCGTCCAAGCAGCCTCCTTGACAATGTTGCTTTTGTTGTGCTGCAGCAGAAGTCCTAGCCTGGGCAATCCTCCAGATGCAATTACCACGTCAGTCTAAAAAACAAAAACATTGATTAAATTTAATTTGGTTTTGGTTAGTCAGCGCTACAAAATGAATTTATATTTTTTAAATTTTATTTATCAACGGGATTAAAAGCAGTATCGGAAAAGCAATTGGTTAACTCACCTGTTGATCTGTGCCGGTCACAATGTTCCCTACACTGCGCAGGGCGGGCACAATGATGCTTGGCTCGTCCATTTGCAGAAGTTTGACCAGGCGCGGCACTGCATCCGAGTCGACCACTGCCTGGATCTTGCTATTGTCATCGTCAGTGACGTATGACAGTGCCCAGCAAGCGTCGGCTAATACTTGAATATCCTGGCTAAGCAGGAGCTGCGACAAGACTGGCAGAAGGCGCTTCACCTGCTCAAAGGGCGGTGAAGGATTCTTGTTCCTGCACAGATTCGACATCAGCCAGACGATGTTACGCAGAAAGGACAGCGGCGTCTCGTTGTTGATCAGTGGCAGAATGCCGTCGATCACATTGTGGTGGATGACAATGTCGCGAGCGGCGGCTCCATCGCCAGCAATGTTTCCCAGGGCCCAGACAGCCTGCTCGGCCAGATTGATGGACTTCGACTGGAGCAAGGCCACGAAGTGCGGCACGGCATTTTGTTCAATAACGCAACGCGTCTGATCGGAAGTGCCAGATGCTATGTTGGTCAGGGCCCAGGCGGCTTCAAACTGCAGCATAGAGCTGGAGGAGGGGATTCAGTACCGTTTTTAAGGAGGTTTAATTGCCACTACTCACTTTGTGGTGTTCTGCAGGAAGCGAATGCAAATGGGCACAATGCCATGTCCAATCATCAGGTCAATAGGCGGATTGCGCTCTCGGCTGAGCATCTTGCGAGCCGACTGCATGCCCAGGAACTGGCGCTCCTGATCCTCGCTGTTCATGGCCGCCACTATTTCGTCCACGGACAGCTGCACCGGCGACTGGCCATTGAGCTCCTTGAGCGGCGAAGTGAGATCCTCGTCGTTGATGTTGCGCCGCTTGAACATCTGGTCCTCCTTCTTGGATTTTCGTAGCTCGATGGTCACCTCATGGCGGCGCATGCGCGAGTCCTACGAGAATGTGAGGTTAGTTCCGAACGGAGATCCGACGCGATTCTGTGGTTATTACCTGCGTGTTGATGGTGTTGGACTTGTAGGAGCCCTGACGCGAGTTCGAATCCGCCTTACTCATTTTATGGCAGTTTTGTTCCTTTTAATTTTAGAAGTTGAAACTGAAATGGAAATTGGGTGCGGAAATAAGTTACAGGAAAACGAAACTGAATTCAAGGGCTACCCTTTTCAATGCCTCCTCTCTCTCGGGACCGGCTTTTGCAACGGCGCTCACAAAGAGCGTAGCCAGAATTAGAATCGGGGGTAAAACGTTCAAATTGTCTTATTGAAATATATATTTAAATTTCAGAAAATATAAGATTCCTTCAAAAATTTTTTATTTTAATTTAAATTAATTTGAATTAAATTTGACACGTGGGGAGAGGACGAGAGCTTGCGTTCCCAAGCCCCCTACAAAGGCGTGGATACGCCCCTGGCTAGCAACAACAAAGCAACAGCTGCAGAACCCGCCATTTGCAGCATCGTAGTAAGAGGAGAGGTAACGAAGGAGAACAGGAAGAGGCGGCAAAAGAATAAAGGAATGGAAAAACGGCAAGAGAAACGGCGAAAAGGACAAAAGGAGCACCCGACCACACACACACTTACCTTTGCGTTCTCAGAATGCGTATGCTGGCTTTTTTGGCTTGGCTAAAATCACTTCAACGAAAATTTACACAATTTTGATCATTCCCATAGGAAAAACAAGCACGGAAATTTGTCGAGCGTGTTAGCACGCTGAAAGTGCCGGTGAAACTGTGCTGTGAAACACGTAGACGAACTTGAAATCAATGCGAAATTGATGTCAATGCTTACTGTGCGCCCGCCGGATTTACCGTTTGATTTGAAAAGCAAGCAAGTGAAGCCTTAGCGGCGGGAAAATGATAGCGATCTATCGATCTCTTCAACTATCGATATTCGCTGCCAGTGTGAACGTATGCACCTGTCTCTGTTCATCGCTCCGCGTCATTAACCGATTGGCAGCCTGCGGATTTTGTTTTAATTAAAATTAGACTTTATATTTTCGTTTAAAAGCTATCCAAATCTTTTTATTTTTCGCCAAATATCTACCGCTAGCATGATAATAACCCAAAAGATGCACTGCGATCAATGGTCGTAGTGCTGATCGTCGCCGACTGAGGGCGCTGCCGTTTTTCATTCCGCTAAGTTCATGTGGAACGTGGAACTCGTTTCGATGGCGCGCATACAAACTAAATTCAGCTGTTCAGCCCATGGCTGAATCTGCAAAGCTGGCGGGTGAATTTAAATTATGTGTAAAAAAGGGAAGTATCTTTACTTCCGCAAACGATTTTTAAGAAAAACAATTGTAAAAACAGTTAGATTAATTTCGTTAAATGATAATTTTAATTGGCTTTTGTAAGTTGTTTAGTGGATTATGTGAATTTATAGAACATCTTTGAGCATACATTACCAAACAAAACATTATTAATGTGTAATTGGTTTTACGCAACTCAAGGTGAGAGTAAATAACCAATTTTTTAACTAACTATTAATTTCACTGTTTTTTTCCTTCAAAAATTTGATATTATTGAACTGATACCATTTAATCTCTCGTTTATTAATAATAATGCAATAAATGCAAACAAAGTCCTGGTTAATGCTCTTTTTAATCTGCCGTATTTATGTTTACAAAAGCATTTTTTATAGGTTATTGCCCCCAATCGATTTGGCTTCAACGTTCCTTTTTTCACGCAAACATTTTTTGTTTCTTTCCAGCTTTCTGTGAGGAGGAATTTGATAAGGTATTGGGGAAAATTTATAAATTTAATCGTGCGCACTTAAGTTGAGCTATCAGTTTACCGATTGATAAATAAAAAAGAATTAATAACTAAGCTGAGCGATCTATTAACTGTTTGTTTAAGTAAGTATCTTTCAAATTGTACTGTTGAGCTACTTATAGTTTTATAGCTATGGTTACTAATAAGATAACAAAATCGGTCGTATGCTATTGCAGCCATAGCATAAAGACGTTTAAGTTTAATGGCATGAATATCCAGATATAATGCTCTCTAAGGTTGGTTTTGAATCAATACTAGACGACTCTTGAAGTGTTACAAATTATCTCGACCAATAACTACTTTGAACTATCCACCTTTCTTTTGCTTATTTGTGGCAAATAAAGTTAAGGAGCAGGAATCAGCATATTTTATATATTCCCAAATTTGTGTATTTATTTTCGCATTTGTTTCAACAATATTTCCGGTCAAAACCAATCCTAAGCCGATTTCTCTCCGTTGTTTTGCTCCGTAGCTGGAGCTGCAGTGGTGGAGGTGGTGCTGCTGTTGGCTTCAGGTGCAGATCGGGCCTCCACCACGTCGGAATCATCACTGTCGGGGGCAGGAGAAGATTCCCCCGATGGGGAGAAGGGCGGGAACTGCTGATCCTGGGGATAGGTTTGCTGCTGCTGCTGCTGCTCCTGACCCTCGTTGTAGTCGATGGGCGTGGGCTCCAGCTCCGGCTGAGTGGCCGAAGGAGCGTCCACAACCTCACCCTGCTGCTCGGCGACCTGCTGCACCTGCTGCTGGGGAGCAAACACCTGCTGGTGGGGGTAGTAGATGGGAGCGGGCAGAGAGGCGGGCACATGGACGGGAAGGGGAGCTGGGGCAGCCACTGAAACCACGGGAGCAGCCACGGCACGGGCAGCCACCACTGGCTCCCGCTGAACCACCGCATTGAATCCATTGATATCGTCGGCGGTGTAGGTCACAGTGCGCTTGTACCCATCGGCATCCAGGACGGAGTAGGATCCCACCACGTTGCCTCCGTCACGGGTCTCCACCTGGCTCTTGATGTCCCCGGTGATGCTGTCATGGACGCCGTAGGAGAAGTCGTAGCGCGGCGAGGATTCCAGCTCCACCTGTTTCAGCACAGGAGCAGCAACCACTGGAGCAGTAACCACTGGAGCAGCAACCACGGGAGCAGCAACCACGGGAGCAGCAGCCAAGGTTTTCACCACTGGAGCAGCCACGGGCAGGGAAAGAGGTGCAGCCACCGTCTTGACAACTGGGGCTGGCAGGGCATAGGACCTGGTGTAGACGGGAGCAGCTGGCACCACCGTTTTGGCGAAGACCGGAGCCGCCTGGTGATAGACAGCAGGATGAGCCACTGGAGCGGCATGGTAGACGGCAGCCTGGGCCACTGGAGCGGCATGGTAGACTGCAGCCGGAGCCTGGTAGGTGGCATAAGCGGGATGGTAACCGGCATAGGTGGCCGCGAATCCTGCACGACAGGATCCAGCGAGGGCCAGAAGGGAGAATGCAATCAGGTGCTGCAAAGGGAACAGGTGGATAAGATAAGACTCTCACTCGAATAGGCAATTAAAATATATTGTCGATCTGTCTTCGTCTATTTTTATAAAGAGCTTAACCATTAAATCAAGCATTGTGTTAATAAAACTATACTGGTAAACTTTCAGTCACCTGAGCTACTTATTAATTTCATTTAAATTAACAGTGCTTAATAGTTGGTTTATTGCCATAACTAAATAGCCTTTAAATTTAACCTTTTTTTAATGCTTGTTAATTAATTGAATGCAATTGATTTAAATAAAATTCCAGTTTTTAATGAAACAATATTGTTATTATTTATATGATTATGCAAATCACAGCAAATTGATTCATGCATATTATAATTGTTTCACCCGCACATTTTTGGCCAGTAAAGAATTATAATTTTTAATAGAAATTGCTTTTTTGGTGCAGTTTAAAAATGAATAATTATGCACACCTTTAAGCTAGCTGATTTAATTTTTTTGAAACGGATTCAATATCACATTAGTCGAAAAATTCCATCGCAAGTTAAACACTTTTTTTTACAAAAGAAATGCATTTCAAATCGAAGTTGAGTTCCACTTTATTAAACTTACTTTGCCTGCCATTGTCAAAGTGGAATCACTTCCTTTGGACTGGGATTGCTGGAGGACGAACTGGAGAATGGCACGTGCCGCACAGGAAGCTGCTAACTGCGATTGGAGACTGACGACTACGTATCCGCTCGACTCTGGGAACGACGCCGACTTAATGATGTCGACCACTCCCGACGCACGTCACTTTATATGGGGCGACAGATCAGAATTGGCCAAAAGAAGTGGCGCCCTGAAAAAGCCGAAGAGCAAACCGGTAACAAGTACAAAAGTATCTCGGCTGACAATTTGACAATTTGACAATTGCGGGCCAAAACTGGTTTCGGGTAATTTGTCTTTTGTCCACGGTTTAGATATAGGTATCGTTTTCTGTATCGGTTTCAGTTTCGTTTTCTGCTCCATTTTCGATGTCAAGTTCAGCACCGCAGTTGGCGCTTCCTTGTGGGCCTACTGTCGTTCGGTAATTAATTGCGATTTGAGCGCTGTTCAATTAACTTTTCAATTGTCAACTCGGCACCTTGCAGCGCCCCATTCCTCGGGAGTCATTACATCACGGCTGGAGTTCGGCACTTGACAATCATCTTGTTTTTCTTGGCGACATGCGCAGGCCAATGGAGCGCGAAATTTGCTGCCAACGGATTGTCAGGTTGTCGGTGTCCCAGAGCCACCGACTCCTCCACCTCCACCAAAATATAGGTGACTTGTCAGCACATATTCCCCCCAATTTGTCTTTCGGCTCGGGGCGTTTGTATGTCAGCGGCGTTTGCCTCATTGGCTGCATGATTTTCAGTTTTCGGCTATTTCTCACTTTTAGAAAATTTATTACTGCTCCACTTGGTGTTTACCTTATGTCCCCGCATGCAGACATTGGCACAGTTTCACATTGATTCGCACTTGTAATTTGCGGAACAAAAACACAAGCCTGGCAATTGCCAAATCGGATTACTTTTCTTTTGGGGATCGAGAGCATTGCAAAGTGGCTCAAAATATGCGGCATCAAAGGGGGTCCGAAATATGGAGGCTAAAAACCAGGAACAAACCGCTCATTGGGTTATTAAAAATGGGTCTTAATTAATAATGTCCAAGAACCGAAGGTTGTCCGAAAAGGCTTTTCTTAGAAATGACCCAAAAATGTGTCAACTCATTTGAGCGGTTCGAATCGATGTAATTAAGCGCCTTCAAGGAACCCGCCGTCCCATTATGAGCTCAATGGTCACCAATTGTCTACGTCTTCGGCTCTGGCTGGCTGTAATCAAGAGACCGTCGAGAGATCGCCGTTCAATGACTCCGACCGGAGCCAAACGAAACTGAAAGTGCGTGGAGCGTCCATGAGGTTGCTGTGGGCCATAAACATCCGATTACAGCGTCCGAACACGTAGCCCAAAGCCATCAAGATGCGTAGGCAGACAAGAGACGCATATCGTTCCACAGAAGTATGGGGGTATATGCATATATCACACGCCTGAACTTGAAAAGTCTGCCATCGGAGAAGGGCACGCTGGAGGCGAACAGAAGCCACCTGCCTTAACCCGCTATCACACCAAAGTGCCTCAGGACACGCCCCAAAAGAGCTTAGGTTTCGTTTGAGTGAATCCTGTATACAAATGTGGCGGAAGGATGAATATAAAATACTTGGGCATCGAAGTTGCTAAGGAGATTTTGCAATCCCATTTTTGATCCTTTATTTTGATTTGATTTTACTAGTACGTTTTATAGAAATCTGTAAAAATCATCCGCTACTTACTGACCTTTCAAAGACAGTTACATTTTGCTACCTAAAGCATTTTGCGATTTTCTGGAGCAATAGGGTGTGCGGCAGCTTTAAAACTTGGCAGCCTTCTGAAAAAAATGGATATTTTAGTGTACGGAACTTTAATTTGTTCGGAAAATAATTGTTTATATTAAACAATAGGAAAATATATAAATACATTTCCCAACCCTAACCATTTAGCGATTTGAAGTTGCAAAAGAGAATGTGTTAAAAATTAAAATAAAAATATAATTTATTATAAAATATGATAGGCTTTTACAAAAAATACAAATCTTAATCTATGAAAATATTTGAAAAACAATTATTTTTATGCAACATTAGCTTTTATATAAAAGTAAATTTATAATTTGTGAAACCAAATATGTTAATATGTTAATTAAAAAGGATATATTTAAAAATACAAACTGTTTGATTGATACAAAAAAAGTTTCCATTAGAGAATTAAAAATCTAATAGATAAATATATTTGTATATAACATTAAATACAAATTGTTTGACTCTTAAGAAAAAGTATGGTACTTTTAATTTCTTAAAGAAAAACGTAATAATTTCTGTTCAGTGAAAGCCATCTCCGTTGTACTTTTTAATTAATTTAGACTTGAGTGTCGGAGGGTTAATGGTATACAACGCAACGACCCTCTAATTGATGAGCCACCGCGAGAGGCGGAAATTGCACATCAAAGCCAGGTGGCGAGGATGAAAACAGTGGGACTGCTGGGTCGGGATCAGGATCAGGGACAGAAACAGGGACATGGACAGGGAGTGGCGAATCACTTGCCTATCGGCGTGGCAATTAAAATCCAATGTGTGGCTGGCCAGGATGTAAGGGGATCCATTAAGCCCGCTATTTGACATTCGACAAATACTTAACACTATTTGCCCGACTTAATAAACCCGCCTTCGTTGACTTTGCCACCGCAATAAAAGGGACGAGGGGAGGGGGGGGGCGCGGGGAAGGACAAAGGGTGGTCCTTTGGGTGGAAACGGGCACGGCAATGATTGATTGCACGCTAAAGCCGGAGAGCATCACATCATTTCCTTTTTACACTTGACAGGAAATGCATTTTTAGTTGGCGCTGGCGAAATGAGCATCGGTGTGTGCTGCCCGGAAAAGGGAGGAGGAATATGCGATGGAATAGGATGGGATAGGATAGGATAGGATAGCATGGGATGAGATGCAGAGGAAACGGAAGATGTACGTATGCAAAACGAAATCACAGCCAGTGGGAAAGTGGGGAAAACTTGAAAACAGACAAATGCAAATGCAAAAGTCGAAGCTGAACCTGAAGCTCTGGCTGAGCCGCAGCACTCCATGGCCGTTTTCACAGACAATTTACACAAGAATCACACAAATACGAGTACGTAAACATTTTGTGCGACTCTGAGCTTGGTCATTGAGCAAACCATTCGCACGGAAAACCCGTCCAGGTGCAAACGTTTTTCCACCCGTCTTTACACTCGGAAGCTGCGAATTTTTTGGCACAGAGAACAAATAGAATGTGCCCTAAGAATAAATACAATATTGCCTCTTACATTTTGTTTATATCTCTGTTTAAGTTTATAGATTATAACAAAGACATAAAAACTTTGATATAAAATTGGTTGTTTACATATTAAATCCAAAACAAATATATAGTATGTAATGTTATAGAACATTACTATATAAAATGTAATAAAAATACCTCCGATTTGATTTGAATACATATTTAAGACTCAGGGCTAAAAACTAATTCTGATTAAACACAATTTAGTTTCATATTAAAAATTAATCCATCTTTCATTTATATATAATATATTTCATATATTATAATTGATTATATATATTATTTGTATTGGATATCTTAACTGCTGTGGATGATTTATTTTCAAAAGTCCAATTGAACAGGAATTCCAACCATATTGTAAGCCAATTTAGCGTTAATATTTGCGCTGGGCTATCGATCAACATTAGAGAACCCCGAGCGTATAATCACCTTTCCGCATTCTGTGAACAAAGTACACACATAGCGCACCGGGCGGATACGTAATTGCCGGCCGTCCAACCCGGCGGATAAGACAAACGACCCGGAGCAAATCGCTGGCGACCACGCCCCCTCCCCCGCAGCCGCCCCCCGGCCATTAGCTGTGACCACGCCTTTGTTTGACGCCAAGATGCCGACACTGACAACAAATGTCGCCCCAGCCCCATTAATCCATCAAAATTGGCGTTGAAGCCAAAATCAAAATATGCGCCAAAGGCCGCGGAAGGCGTGTGCATATGGACAAATGGGGGGGGGGGGAGGTGAGACGTTCTGACGAAAGCCGCAACAACAGGAAGTTAAAGTATCGACTGGAAATACCAGAAAATTCGCACTATTTGTAATGACATTCTGCTCAACATTGCGCGAAACTTGTCGAAGGCAATTTACCCCAACTGCGTCTCAGACTTTCAGTATTAATGCAAATTTCGTATTCCCTTTAAATCGCCGCCCTGTCTAATCCTAAATTTGATTGCTTCGGGGACCAGACGAACCCCTTCGCAGTCATTCACTCAATCTCGAATCGACCAGGCGACCGCAATTTCCAGCGGGTGCGCAAATAAAGAAATTAATCAATTTAACGATACGATTACTGGCGAATTCGGGGGCAGAGGTGTGGGTGGAAAAGCGTAATGCACAAAGGGGATAGTTTAGGGGAAAAATTGTCAACAAAATGATGACTGTTTTCTAAAAACATAATTCTTAAAAATTGAAAAGAAATCTCAATAGTTATTGAAACAAATGTTTCCTGTTTGATTTATTTTAAATGAGTCAAAAACAATAGATACTTTTTGTGTCGAATTACTTTGGACTATAACAGTATATGTATTTCATTTAAAATTTTCATGGTTCATGGATAATTTTAATTTAATGTTAACAAATAATGCCCAATGCTTATTATATTAAGCTTTAAATTTAATAACGTAATTTTAACGGATTAATCCCATCGTTCAGGTATTTCAGTTTACATTTAATGTCATATGAATATAACTCATAACAGAATAGGTATTTTAATTCAGATATTCATCTTTCAAAGATGATTTTGTATGAGAATTTTTGTAAGCAAATAATATCCAACTTCTAAACATAAACTTGTATCGTAACTATACTTTACTGTTTCTAACAGAATAGGTATTTCTAGTTAGATTTGCATCGATCAGGGACTATTTTAATTTATTCTTATACTGAAAGTCAACTTTTAAACATGCTTAGTGTTTACCCCCTGTTACGTCCATGGAAAGGAGTAGATTTCATCGGGGCGAGTGCCGTCAACTGACGTGGCATTTGTCTGGGTCGAGGCAAAAAAGTGACTCGAGTCTGCCGCACGCTTTTCGGTGATTTATTTCCATTGATTTTTTA